ATAATGTTTCCTTATCATGAACTTCATGTAGCTGGTAACGGTAAACAATGTTGGAATTGGAAGCCATTGATTGAGAGAGCTTAGAAAAGAGAAAGAAACGGTGTAGATGCTAAAATCTACTGTTATGGAAAGAATGATGGATCCTGTGAGATTGAGGGCATTGACAATCCACTGTACCTGCACATAAAGCAAACAAGCTTGAAGCTTACGTAAACACTGGTGTGGTGTCTGGTAGTGTCTACCGTAGGCATTCCGACGCTCAAGTCAATAAGATTTAATGAGGCAATTTAGTAAGAGCTAAGGGAATGAAGGGTTACCAAAAGTACGGCACATGTGTCTAACTCTTAGGAATAAGAGTTTGGGTCTAACTAGGTGGTATCGAGATTTAATACATAAACAAAGGAGTAACCCCTCTTTACATAGCAGTTGTTTTCGTATCCTGGTAAGACTTTAAATTCATAATGGTAGAGGTTTAGTGAATAGGAAAGATCCTGGTTCACTTGCCTCATTAGTGCTAAGAGTCCTAATTCACCTAAGATACGGAATCTTGGGTGAATTAGGATGGAACCCAAATAGGAAGAGTCCTAACTACCTTGGTCCGAAAGGCTTGACCTTAGGTGAGCTATCGATAATGCCCATTCTGGAGAGAGGCTGGATTTGGGCCACATGTTTTTACCCATGCTATGAATTCTGATGCTGGCCCCAATCGGAATTAGGCCGCAGCCTTGGGCTATGCACTGGAAAATACCTGCGTGGGCCTAATAAGGTTTAAGGTGATTTTTGGTCCATACAAACAGACCTTATAGAAACTTAAGAAAGAGGAAGAAATAAACTAGTTGAGTGAAAATAGAGAACATAGACAGTGTATACATAGATGATTCGTACTCGTCCTGAACATAAAAGGATTTAGTTTCCTTTTGTTAATAGGGTTCTTAAAATTTACGGTATTTGATTAGGAATAACAGTAGTATTTTAGTTTGCGGGATTTAAAAGTTTGTTCTGTATTGTTTTCTTTTACTTTCCTCGAAAAGAAACCAAATAGGAAACTTTTAGGTTGAGTAATTCAGTTTGTGTTTGGTTAACTGGAAACAGAAAGCCATGCAAGAATGATTTTCGAAAGAAAAATTTAGCCAAAAAAAAATCGAAAGAAACATATTGATTTATTTGCTGGATAGTTTCATTTCTTGGCTTATAAATTTGTTCAACTGGTTTTCTAAACTATTAACTATTTTTACATATTATTTGAATTAGATTAAATATTGTCTTCTAGTTGAAAATAAATAAATAAATAAATAGAAACTTAAAAGTAGCTGCTTTAACTATATATATATGATGGCAACAAATTGATGAAAAGATTAAATAATATCATAAATCGAAACAAAATTATGTTAACAAATAATTGAAAGCTACTTTACATAAATTTCAAATAATTAAATAAATAAATTAACAGGCAATGGGGAACGACATAACGGACAGAAACGACTATTCCACCACCACTTTCGATAACAATCTTCATGGAAAAGATGAAGACATGGAAGGAGTTTAACGCTGCCATCCTCCTCCTTCAACGGTTCGATGCAGATGGCACAGTCAGGTTCCTCATTTTCCCTTTCACGGTGCATTTTTTCCACCTTGCGAACCTTCAAAATCACTCGCATTTGAATATTTTCACGGTTCTTTGGCATCCATGAGGGCAGCCTTGACAGAGTTGGTAATGTCATGTTGCAATCTGCGTTTTTGGTCCTCCAGGGCTTCAATTTTGGAGAGTGAGAATGAGTTATCTGATTCGAATTCTCTCTTGCGGCAAAGTATGACGGGAGGTTCAATATTCTTGTAGAAGATATTCTGTATGAAAGAGTCAACAAGTTGGACAAATGATAAGTCAAAGTAATTGTCGACGTCTGGCATGGCCTGACGAAACTTGTTTAGAGCGTCTGGTGAGGTGAAGTAGTCACCGTCTCCCAATAATATTTCGTTGACTTTATGTATTTCATAGCTATAAGTGATGCTAAAATTGGAAGCCATATAGAGAACTTAAGAAGAAACTTATAAAGAGAAATAGAAACAAGTTTGAGATAATGAGAAAATACTAAAGGGTAGCTGTATTTATATAGATATTAATGAATGTCATAAACATAAATGGATTTGATTTAGGTTTCCAATGGTTAAAAGGTTTAAGAAATGTTTAATTTAAAAGTATTAGGAATATAGAATTTATAATATATAGTTTTAGTAGAAGCAAGTTTCCTATTATTAAAAGGTTCAACAAGTGTTCAATAGAAAAGGAAAAAGAAAGAATTTATAATAATATTAGTATGTAGCAGCTAATCAAACGATAATCATATAATTTAGAAGGAAGAAATTTGTGCATGATTAGTGGAACCTTTAGGAGGAAATATTAATAAGTTCAAAATAATTTAAACCGAATCGAAATCACCCTATACTTTTAAAGATTTTGCATTTGAATTCTACCGTTATTATATATGTTATTAATTAAAGACTTTGATATAATATATACAATAATTAATAAATATTGACTCAAAATCTAATCTCACAAACTCTTTCTAACAAATTGGTCAGTTTGTAATTAATTAGACAGGAAAATTCATTAGAAATCATTGACGAACTGTCACGTTGAGATTGTGTGAAAAAGTTTGTGAGATTAAATTACAAATGTAATATTACCATAATTTATAACCTAGAGCGGAGTAAAAACCACAAAACAATGGAGCGCTTTGTACTCAATTGTAAGCACAGAACTATTGGAATTTGGCATGCTACATTAAACATTGACTAAGAATGATAACAAATTTAAAACTTGAAATCCATGGCCTGGAAAATCATGACAAGAAATCTATCCCAGAAGATAATTGAAAATTTTGCTAGTGTCTACAAAATAACAAATTAAGTTAATATTTAATGGTAAAATCGAATTGGTTATAAAAAAATTAATTAATATTTCTTCAAGTGCTGTTAGAGATAAATGAAAATTCTAACATTTAAAATATATTGCGTGGTAGGTAAACTCATCAAGTATTTGGATCCTCAAAATGCATGCCAAAGCCTGGATAGATAGAAATGCATGTAGAATGAAGATAGCATGCATTTGTTTGTTGCAGTTTGGGCATGTGTTGAAGCAGAACTCTCACTTTATAAGCCCTGACGGTTGTAAAAGAAAATAGTTAGAAAGATATTAAGTCAATACCATTTTTGAGAGATTTTAACATGAACAAAACTGTGCTACTTAAGATCATCGGTGGAGGGTTCACAACTGATATCGCAATGCAAGCTTCGGCAACCATTTCTGATCTGAAGAGCCAGCTTAAAATGCTTATGAATGTGGATATGGAGAGGCAAACACTGATGTTTAATGGTGAAGAGTTAATGGACCATCAGATTATTGGTGATTATGAGTTTGGACAATCTCCAACACTTGCTCTTGATATCGCACCAACTGGAAAAACAAAATTCAACATTTTGGTGAAGTTCGGCACTGAACAGACTCATATCATGGTGGACGAAACAAGAGTAGTTGCTGATTTGAGGGCTGAAATTGCAAGGCACTGGGGGATTCCAATTGAGAATACAACCCTCTTCTGTGGTTTACCCATGGAAATGAAAGATCATTTAACTCTGTCTGCTTACAATATTTCGGAGCATTCCAAAATTGAAGTGAAGGTTAAAGCTAGAACTGGTTAATATTGATATGCTTCGAGTATTATTATCGTCAACTTAGTATAAGTAAGATAACAAGTATGAAATAAATGTCCTTGCATGGGTGCATGTTATGCTATTATTAGTATTAATTTGTTAATTCCGGAAGTTAATTTAGCACATGTTATGCTCTTGATTTGAAAGAAAGGATGGATTTTACAAACTTTTCTAAAGATAATATATGATTTCAAAATTATGTTAAAATTGAGTTTTTTTTTTTTTTTCAAATTAGTTATCAATGACATCCCAAATGTTCATGTAATTATTGATCTTCTGTAAGTAGCAGCCCAACAATAAAATAAATAAATAAAAACATTAAAACACTTAAACTTCCAAAAACTCCAACATTTAAAAGTAATGGTAAATTCATGAAGCATTTGGGTTCTTTACATAGTGAAAAAATTGAAATTGGAATCTGAGTTCACCTAAACTTTAAAAAATCTTATAACATCTAATTCTTATATTATTTTATTAATAATCTTTAATTTAACTTTAGTTTAAGGAAATCAATAGAGAAATCTGATTCAAAAACTCTTATGTTAAATTTGAATTGATAAAATAATAGTTGGAGAAGAAGTATTACATTTCATGATTTGAAGGCTAAAATTGCAAGGTTTTGGGGCCTTTCAACAGAAAATACTACCCTCTATTTGTCCATGGAAATGGAAGATTTTGTGCCTCTCTCTGACTACAATGTTTTTGAGCATTCTGAAATTAAAGTGAAGCTTAAAGATACAACCGGTTCACATTGATAATTTGATATTCCTCTCTACAGGACTGGAACAGCAATAATTTTATAATATCATTATATAGTAATACCAAATATTTGGCTCTGAAAATTAATTTTAAACGTAGTAATAGACTCACCAAGAATTTGGCTCCTTTAAATGCCAAAATTAACATTAAGTTAGAATATATGAGTTCAGCTAAACTTTAAAATTTTTTATAATAAGGTAATTATCATTATTAATCTTCAACATTAAGCAAATGAATAGAGAATTCTGTCTAAATTTTGAATGTCTAATAAGAGTGATAATTACAGAAATGCATTTAGAATGAAGATAACATGCATTTGTTTACCATTGATTACTTCGTTTCGGTTTCGGCATGTAATTGAGAAATTAACAAAGTTTCTTTTATTAATCCGAATGTGGTTCTAATAAAAAATCAATGCCTTTTGGAGGAAATATTACTTATTAAAAAAAAAAAAAAAATGAAATCACCAATTAATTTTAAAGCTTTTGCATTTGAAAGACGAGATAAAAAAGGGAGTGGAGTAAAAGTGGTAAACAGGAAGGAAGAATTTATCATACAATAACCTCAAAGCTGTTGGCTTGCTACATCAACATTGAAAAAAGAATGTTAAAACTGGGAATCCATTCCATGCAACCAGAAATAGCAGCAAAGTCACCAGAAGAGAAGTCTATCCAACGGGATATTGGAACAATCTGCAAATGTCTAGTGGCTGTGGAAGAACTCTGCAGGAATTGATGGAGGACACAACTTCTTCGCCACATATTTATACTGAAATATAAACAGCACCAGTTAGTTTTAATTATACAAATAGGATTGGATTGATTCTGCATATAGGATTTCGAAGAAGAGAATCTTTTATTACCTTGTGCTGACTGTACTTTTCCCTGATTGCTGGTAGACTTGAACTATTGCTATTACAGCATAGGCGATAAAGATCTTTAACACAGTCGATCAAGTCCAAAGGCTGGTAAAGTGTGTAATGCTGCAACGTCGAACTCTGCACCAAAAACAATGATCAACATTTGACTAATGTTTATAGAAAGTTCTCAGTCTGAAGAAACAAAGGGTGGCTAATGTTTATGTAAATACCCAAGGTCTCTTTGATGGGAGAACTATGTATTTTGCCAAGAAAATTGCAGAAGCGGCAATGAGTGATGGAGCATAACAGAGCATACTGTACTCTAGAAGAGATAATTCTGCAATGTAGTTTGCTAAGCATTCCAACTGCATTGATGGAGCCTGAACCAGCACAAAGAAATAAAGTATTAGGGAAAATATAAGTGGTCCTAAACAAGAAGCAAAAGAACTTTGCTCCATCACATTAAAAACAAAAATATTCACGAATATCTTGACTATCTAGCAAAATGCTGCCATTTGAACATTTGAACATTGCATTGGAATAATAATGTAAAACAAGGATACTGAGAACTCAAGTCCAGACAAATACCTCGTTTATCACTTGAGCAGCGCGAACAAATCGCCTACAATTCATATCATTGATCACAAGTCAGAAAGCAGTGCAGATCATATGATTGCAAAAATTATGAGATAATTGAATAAAAACCTTTACCGTAAGAAACATTTGGCTGTGGGAGCTGTCATTTCAAACTTCAAGTAATTCAAAACTGCAGATTCCATTTCAAGAACCTGACGCAGTTGTGATAGTAAATTATTTTGTAGGCCAGGTAGAATAGCAACAATTTGAGGAAGCGTATGAGTATTGCGGAGGTCAAACAAAGTTGGATAGAATTAATACCTCTTCCTTGAAATACGTGTTATCAGTAATATAACAGAATTCCTCCACCTGGGGTGCACAAATTTCTTCATATTTTCTGGCAATTTGGTCACATTTCTTGTTAATACTATAACCATGGAGGTGAAAGTCATGGTGTAAAATTTAGATTTGATAAATAGAAAGAATCAAAAAGACAAAGGGAAATGTTTTCTTACGCTGCAATCATCATGCAGGCAACACCAAGCAACTGGAGACGTTGCCTATTCATTGCATTCCCTGAAAGATACCGATCTATGTAGTTTACAGTCAAATACAATGTATCAGGTACAAGCCTATACTCTTCAGCCACCTGCAGTTGGAATTAACCATCACAACTTAGCAGTGTCACACGGTGGTAGTACAAATAAAATATCTAATATCAGTCAAAGCACATGTAAAGCATATCTAATAGCAGCATAAGAATTCATAAATTACCTCCACAAGCCAATCAATCAGTATTGCCCGCATACTGCAATTTATATCTTTCTGAATTCTCTCCATGAAGTCTGTTGCAGGCCTTTTCTTTGCCTAAAAATCCCCAGAAAGGGCAGATAATAAGAAAAACACTATTGAAGCAATAGTTTATAAGTTTTGGAATCGAATTCATTTCCAAAATATGCCTGTTACCCATAAATAATTATGCGTTAATTTATGTCTTGGCAAAACAAACTACCTAATCTTTTTCCATTTAATCTCATACTAAAATGTACCCTGCTGCCATTCACAGCCTTATGAGTATCCAAGTAGACGTTTTATATAGCCAATACGGTGGAAAGCAAAAGCATTTTAAACTATAATTGTTCGAAAAAAATCAGAAAAACTCTTCTTAAGTACCCGAAGATTTCAAAAAACAATTTTAAATAGATATCATAATCTCTCTGGGTAAGTAATGCTTCCCCTCTAAGACCCAATTAAAGCAAAGTAAAAGGACGAAATTTACCTCAGATGCGCGCAAGTGCTTGTAGATATCACAAGCAAAAGTTGCACAAAGCTGTGGATCCATGTAATTATCATCGAGATTAACAATTTTATCGTCCATTTCCATCTCCACAAGTATGTCTCTACTGCAGCCATTCCCTACAAGCAAATTAATAGATAATAAGTTCAAGTGACAACCTAAACATTAAAAAAAAAAAAAAAAATTAACTTTTAAATGAACACATTACCTGTTGTTTCCGCATGGTCTGAAATGTAGAGATTTCTAAATGTATTCCTATTAATAGAATCAAGTGCCGGCACATCATTGTTATCAATATATTCAACATCAGGGCTCTTGAAAGAATCACAAGCAGACATCGTCTCATCCATAGAAACTGAATTTGCATCTGATTTAGAAGGAGAAACATCCATGCAACAAGAAGCTGGAACTGCAGCAATACTAGGTACAATTTTATCACTTCTGGGTAATGATGCAACTTTAGAAGGAAAAACATTGCTTGATTTTACAATACTAGGGGCAGGTTCTTCAGTTCTTGGTAAAGATGTAACCTTAGAAGGAACAACTGTGTTTGATTTTGAACTTAATGATGCAGGTAAAAGGTTCCCAGAGAAGCTTGTGCTGACACTGGAGGCAGGATTAGATTTCTTTGTTTTGGCAACTTTACTCGAGCATGGTACCTACAAGTATGAAGTAAATCAAGCGCTCAAAGTTAGCATTTTCATTTACCATACAGCTAAACTTTGAAAATTAAACGAGACTACTGTGAAATTCCAAACTTATAAATGAGTTACTTTTTAAATTTCACAGATGTTCTTCTGATTTCTCTCTGTTAAATTAAAATTAGTGCCAGTTTTTGCTATAATCCAGTGATATTCTTTTCTCAAATCAATCTTTTCATTATCTGGAAATCTTAATATATTCTGCCAGTAAAAGACTACTTACATATTTAACTGTTATATATTGTAATTATTCATTTTCTTTTCTTTTCTTTCCATTTTCTCAGCAACCAAACTGGTGATTCTTTTTTTTTTTAAAGAAAAAAAATCATCCAGAAACACAAATTTTGAAAAACCCACAACTCAAGAGAAAGTTTCTTTCCCAAACATAGTTCCATCAATTATTCCTCATTTTCTCAGAAGCCAAAAAAAAAAGTTGAAAAACAAAAAATACCCACCAAAGAAGAGGAGGAGAGCCAGCTTTTTGAACCACTTTGAGTGACATTCCTTAGATTGCTAATGTTACCAAGTGGCGCTCGCTTCTTCGTTAAATGCGGTGGGACCGCCATGAACTTGCTCACATTCTCTGACGAGGACGCATGCCGTTTAGCTAAAGACGACGTCGTGGACGACGAAAAGGATGACCGCCGGTTCTGCGTCGACATTTTGAAATCAGCTAATCTTTCTTGTTCTTACCACAAGAACAAGAAAGTGGGTGAACTGAACAAAGAAAATTTGAAAGAAAGACAGAAACTTTTCAGGAGCCTTTAGCAGAGAATTTGGAGAGGTTTTTGAAAGATTTTGAATAGCTGTTTACGGAAGAGTGACATTTAATAAACATTTATATTTATAAAATTGTACTTTTGAGGCGGGGAAGAAGGCGATTTGAATTGTTGATAGCATCATGACCGTTAATTCAACTCGATAAACGTTAGGGAGCGTGGTGTGGGGCCCACAAAGTCTAACGAAAAGGTGCTAGTAGAGTGATGAAACACGTGGTGCACTGGGAGTTGGTTTGTTATCAGCGAAAGGTCACAGAGCTGTCAGGTTATGTTTAATGGTTTTGAATTCGAAATTTAAACGGTCACTGGATCTGTCTTTACTCTCTTAGTACAGAAAACATGCTCAAAAAAAGAAATCAAAATAATACAAAAAAATTAGACCATAAATTACTGAATATTGCCAGCCCCACAATGCCTATCTTGGATTCTATTTCTAATTTCTATTACGTATATTTACAAAACAAAGTCAAATTCAATCCCCATTTGCAGTTGGTATGAGAAAATTGGATTTTGGCTCTTTACCTTTCTAAAATTAGAATAAGGAAATACTTACGTTATAAATCTTGAGAAATCTTTAAATTTAGCATGTGATGTTTTCAGCCAAATTGTTCGGAAACTTTATTCATAGATGGAAATCATCTGTACAAAATTGCATTGATTCATAGCTGTAGATTGAGAAATTACCTAATAACAATCACAACATAGGTCAAAATTCACTATACATCAATTAGACTGTCAATAGGTAATGTTGACAGCTACTCACTCATGTCTTGAAAAATCTCGGCGGGTATTGAACTGGGGCAGTACTTTTTGGCCACGTATTTGTACTGTACAGATGATAAAACATGTTAGTTTGCACCAACAAACATCACAATACATGAATAAATCCACATAAATTTCAGCTATTTTTTTTCCACAGATCATTATGGATTTTGAAATGTTTTGCAGCTTGCAGTTAAAATATTTGGAAATCAACAAGTCTATTGAATTTCATATGGAAGTGGAACGGAAAGAAGTTCATGGAAGTTGTGCGAACGGAAAAGAAGTATATAAAAGTTGTGTTAGTCATCCTATCCTCAAAAGAGAGGTTCAACTCACCTTATGCTGACTGTACTTCTCCCTGATTGCAGTCAAATTAGGGTGACCACCCTTACAAAAGAGACGATGCAGTGCCTTGACACAGTTACACAAATCTGGGGGTTGGTAAAGTGTGTAATGCCCCAGGGTAGAATTCTGCATCACAAGAAGTGCAAAATTTTACTTATGTTTTAGCTGAAAATAACGGGGAAGATAGAGATCTCTTAGCAACAAGCAAAATCAAACTAATAATTTTTCCTAATGCATACCCAAGGTTTCTTGGATGGAAAAACAATAAAATTAGCCAAGAAAGTAGCTGATGCAGCTACTACTGAGGGGGCATATGAAAGCATCTTATATTCCAAAAGGGATAATTCCACTATGTAGTTGGCCAAGCACTCCAACTGCAGTGATGAGACCTACAAAAGGCAAGCAAATATTAAAACCATTAAAAAACAATGTTCTAACAACAGCCATTATTGGAGAAACAAAATATAAGGGTGGTAACATATGGAAGTTGATAACAAAAGCATGATGGCATCAACAACAAGAATGTTTACTGGTGCGGACGGATCCAAAAATTTCTGCTAGAGTGGACCAAAGTAAAAATTAATTATACATTAATATTTTTGCCCATTAATATTTTTGTTAGGGTGGGCCAAAATATATAAATTATACATATTAATATTAAAAAAAAAAATTCATGGCCCACCCAAAAAGTGGCTGGATCCGCCACAGCTGATACAAGTAATTATTCACACTGTGTTTTAATGCATTTAGTGAAAAAGAAATGAAAATAAGTGGGGGAAGACAAGATAATGCAATTCTAAAACAATCTATTCCAATAAAGAGTACCTCATTACTTCCTTGAGCAGCATGGACAAAGCGCCTGAACATTTGTTGTAAATTGCAGGTCAGTTCCACAGATGTATAAAAGAAAAGCACTTAATATTTCAATAGGAACATAAAAGATGAACTTTACCTCAGAAAACATTTAGCTGTAGGGACTGTCATTTCAAACTTCAAGTAATTCAGTACCGCAGATTCCATTTGGAGAACCTGCAGCAAAGGATATTGCATAACACTTCTGAAGTGAGGAGGAATAAAGCTATATAAATAAGAATCTAGACTTTGGAAAATAGAATCCTAACCTCCTCTTTGGAGTATGTATGATCAGTAACATAACAGAATTCTTCCACCTGGGGAGCACATATTTCCTCATATTTTCTGCAAATATTATTACTTTCAGTTATTATCGATAGTCTTATCATAATATATATTTACGCACTTGCACATAGAGATTGCTAAGTTATATGAAACAAGAAAATGTACGTAAACTTACGCTGCAATCATCAAGCAGGAAACACCAAGCAGTTGTAACTTCTGCCGGTTTATTACATTGCCAGAAAGATAACGATCTACATAGTTGACTGTCAAAAATAGAGTCTCAGGTACAAGTTTGTACTCTTCAGCAACCTGCAATTAAAAATTTGAAGTTCAGGATAAAAAATCTCATAAGAGAAAGAGAAATTTTATAATGCAAGAGAAAACCCAGGTATCAACATAATAAGCAGTTGTCCTAAAAAATGCAACCATGAAACAGAGAAGTGGGTCATGAATGCCCTGCCAATATCATTGCCCACAACAATTTACCTCCACTAGCCAATCAATCAATATTGCACGCATGCTGGCATTCATGTCTTTCTGAACCCTTTCCAAGAAATCCGTTGAAGGCCGTTTCTTTGCCTGAAAATTCGAAATTTAATAACTTAGATGCAGAAAATGATGAACATTACATAACTTCAGACCATATTTCTCAAAGACAATTTCCCATTCCAACTATCTATTATTGGAGAATGCTTATCATACTGCAAAAAACTACATAATTAAAAAAACCAGTATTACCACTTATGTTTGTGCTATAAACTGACATGGCAGTATGATTGATAGAGAATTACCAAAACATTAATAACATTCTTAACCTCAGGAAATCACAATTAATGGAAATATATTAATATAACCTTCTTACTCTTGAAACCGGTTTTTCAAACATTATATAAAACTGTGTCATATTCCAACCTTAAACAGAATTAGAAGATAAATAAATAAATGAACAATAGCATTTATGGGTCCATTGGGAATTTACTGAACTTTAACATTAGTAAATCGCAAAAGCCAGAAAACTCAACCGACCAGTAAAAGAAAAACAACTAAGCATTTTTGGTAAGTTAATCAAAAGGCAAGTACAATTTAAATATCATAAGGATGCCAAACCTCAGATGCATGCAAATGCTTATAAATGTCAGAAGCAATGGTTGCACAAAATTGGGGATCCTTGACATTGTAATCAATATCATCAAAATCACCAACCGATTCAATCTCCACTAGTATATCTCTCTTGCAAGACATCCCTACGATCCATAGAGCCAAAACAGCATTAGGATGGCCATAAAAGTAAAATTCTATCAATCTGCAATTGCAATATATGAGAAATAACTACAGTATCAAAGCCCACATTGGCAACACACATGGGATAGGAATTGAACACATGAAGAAGCCCAACAGAAAAATAAATTAGATTAATAGCAATCAAATTCTTTCAAAGAAAAAACCTTCTCTTTCAGCATGATCTGAAATGTTGAGAGAGCTATGAGTCCTCATCTCAATGGATTTAATTGTTGAATCACCTTCATTATCTATATATTCAAATTCTGGACTCCTCAATGAATCGCAAGTAGACATGGTCTCATCCAAAGAAACAGAACCAACAACTGATTTGCTTGGAGAAACATCTGTGCTTCGGGGTACCAGAACTGCACTATCAGGAGCAGGAAGGATAATGAAACTGCTATTTGGAGAAGAGAAGGCTCTAAAAGTAGGTTGATCACTACTGGGGGAAAATATATCATTACAAGATACACTTGAGGTTGCAGGCAAAGTATTTCCAGAGAGCCCTTTATCATAAGCATGAGCAGAAGATTCCTTTTTCTTGGCAATCTTAGCTGAACATGGCACCTTTAGGTTGAATTATAAAAAATGATCAATTATTGTTCAAAATCAATAAATGCAGAACTGAAAGTAAGAGTGAGTTAAAAAAAAAAATAGCTTCTGAACACTCAGAATGATTACTATCACAATGATTTAGGGGCATTTGGGCGCCATATTGAAACCTAATCCTTTGAAAACAAGGTAGATATCATCTCAAAGCACACGTTCAAGTTTTCTATGAAAAGATTGACATAATAATAAATCTACAATGTCCTCATGACAACATGACAGTCATAAATCACAAAATAATTTTCAAAACATGCAACTGTTCATACTTCATGGGCAAAATAATTAAATATATCAAGAACAAAGTAGCTAGAGAATAACATAGATGTTATTAATGTGGAAAATATGCAACTGATTCGACCGTAAGTGTCAATATTTAACACCATAAAATTGATCAAATTATAGCAAGTAAATGATCTGAAAAGATTATCAATTCCTTATAAATTAATCTGTCTTTACAAAGACAATTAACAATTACAAGGAAATAGATGAGGATTAACATAAACAAAACAATACCCAAAAAATAAAAAAAATACCAAGTAAAAAATGATTTGCAAAATTAATCCGAAACAAGTAAATCCAGTATCGACCAGTATTAAAAACATACACAAACCAGAAAAAAAGAAAAAGAAACTACGCACAATGGACTTAGGAGGAAGGGTCCCCAAGACCCGCGACCCGACTTTAGACCCATTTTTCTGGTTCGTAATATCACTGAGAGCCGGTCGCTTCTTGGCCAATTGCGGCTTCGATATAGTAATTTTCTTGATGGAATCTTCCGTTGTAGATGGAAGCCTTCTGGCCATTGATGATGATGATGACGACGAAGAAACTGACTGGTAACGATTTCGCGTCGACATTTCGGGCCAAACCCTAACCAGAACCAGAATTCTCTGCAAAATTAGAGAAAATAAAAAGGGTTTCAGTTATAGATGAATTGCGTTGTTGTTAAAAGAAAATCAAGAAATTGTGATAACGTGAGGATAATTACTACTTAATTTGAGATTGGCGCTTTCAATTTCAAGATTCTTGGAGGGTTTTAGAGGGAGATTGATAGAGCAATAGTTTAAGAACTAAAGAGCGCGAAAAAGTGTTGGTTTAAAAGGAAGAAGGATGCATCGCAGCCGTTGGTGTTTGAAGGAGTGATCTGATCCGTCTGTTTATAAAAAGACGATAACTGTAACACTGTGTTGGGCCCACCCTTGTCTGCCGGCTGTGACGCTTATTCAGGGATCCGTAGTTTTTATTTTTTATTTTTTATGATTATTGGTTTCAAGTTTAAGCTAGTTTACGTTTGCAAGAATGGAATTATTATGATCAAATGTTTTGATAAACACAAATTGATTTTATGATATAACTATAGTCAGATTAAATGTATTAATTTATTATTCCTAAAATTACTTAGATAATATTATATTATTTCAAATTTACGAATTAGTTTTTAACAAGTACCATAATTTTGATTCACAATTTTTAAAAAGAAATATATAATAATGTCGTAAATGATGTATTAAGTCCAAAATCCAAATTATTATTATTTATCCGGGGGTACTATTAGTCAATTTATATCGTCTTCATCATAGTATCAATTAATCCATGCATACAACCCATGCACCGCATGAATTAATCCTTCAATTTAGTGCACGGGGAAGTATAGTTAGTCGACATATTGGTATTATTCAAAAGATATATGGTAGCGAGATATTCTATTACTGCATTAAAGAGATACAAGGCAGAAAAATAACAAGCACCACACTATTTATTATACAAAATCTGTTACACCACTTACCCAACAGACCTCTTGCATGCATGCACTACCTTCTTCTTCCGCCTCGATTGTTATTGGACCTTCGCAGCTTTCTATAACGTTTTCCTTCAATCATGACAACCAGCCATTGAGGCTTCCCAGTTGCGAATACAAAAGATCCCATAATTAATCCAAACACCACCCCACATCCATACCCTATAAACACCACTCGCCAAACAAATCCATTTTCAGGCTCTACGTCATTTTTTTCTGATGCTAAGAGCTGTGGCACACTGTCATCACCACATTTCTTTGACAATGGAAATCCACACAATCCCAAATTTCCACTATAAGAATTATTTGGGAATGTGTTAAATTGATTATTTTGAGGTATGGGACCTGTAAGATGGTTATGTGACAAGTTTAAAACTTCAAGAAAGTTCAAATTTGTCAACTGACGTGGAATTTCTCCAACGAACTTGTTTGAAGAAAGGTCTAATGACTCAAGAGCTGTCAATTTCCCGAAAGATGATGGGATATGACCAGTTAAACTATTGAGAGAAAGGTTGAGAAGCTCAAGTGCATGAAGATTTCCGATTAGTTTTGGAATCTCACCATGGAAGTTATTGTTTGAAAAATCAATCATAGTAAACCGATTGAGAATTTTCATCATTTCAAAATCGGACCCTTTTAGAGTTACTATCACAGAAACTTGATAGTACCCATCACCCAAGTATCGCAACTTCTTTCCAGCTTTACCAACATTCATCATAGCTTTCATATTTTCAAAATACTTTGCAGGCAAAGGACCACTAAAATTATTATTCGAAATATCAAAGAATCTTAACTTACCAAATGAATGATTGGCCTTGCCGGAAGAAACTCGAATAAATCCGTGAAATTTATTGGAACGAAGAACAAGAACCTGCAACTCTGGAAGACTTCTCAACAAATATGGGAAGGTATCCTTTATGTTGTTGTTTCCAATGTTGAAAACTTCAAGCCTCGTACAATTCACCAAAGATCGTGGGACAGACCCTTCCAGCCAATTGTTGTTGATGGAAAGTTTCCTCAAATGATTGTCTTTTGAAAATGTATCAGGAATTCTTCCATAAATTATATTATTTTGCAGATCCAACACTTGAAGACTACTGTTGAAGTTTCCCAAGCATTTTGGAATGGTGCCACTCAAGCTGTTATTATAAAGATCAAGAATTGCAATTGAGCTCATATTGCATATCAAATGAGATATCTCTCCGGTCAAATTATTGTTCGAGATCAAAAAGGATCTCAAGTCATGTGGTAGAACTGGAATTGAACCATGAAACCTATTTTGATCCAAAAAAAGAAACTTAAGAAATGGCTTTGGAATTGAACGATGTGCCCGGTTAGTTGATTGTAACCAAGGTCTATATATTCCACCCGTGGGCCGTGGCAGACTGAATAGCCAAGATGGTAGAGACCCGTTGAGCATGTTATCAAAGAAAGAAATATGAGCTAACTTTTGAAGTCTATTAGCATGAGAGGGGATTGGACCAAGTAGTTTATTACTTTGGAAAGACGAAAAAGAAAGTTGAGTAAGGTTGACAAAAATATCAGATGGAATTTCACCAGTGAAATTGTTGGATGAAAGATCCATAGTATCGAGCTGCCCAAGCTTTGAAAGAGAATATGGGATGTGGCCATAAAAATGGTTTTCCGGAAGACTCAAAAAGTTAAGTCGTGTAAGGTTACCAAGTGATGGGGGAATTAACCCAACAAATTTGCAACGAAAGAGACTCAAGTACCTCAACGACATCAAATCGCCGATTGAGTTGGGTAATTCTCCTGAAAAACTCGTGATGGATACGTCCAAAATCTCAATGGGACTGGTCCAGTTAACATTCGGAAAGATGCCTGTTAAGTTGCGGTTCAACTGTAAATAGAGGATTTGTAGATTCGGTAAGCGAAGGATACTATCAGGAAAGTAGCCTTGCAATCTACAATCAATGAGACTCATGTATGTCAAAGAAGAAGATAGATTGGTCAACGAAGAAGGTAGTGTGGTAGACATGTCTATGTAATTAAGTGAAATTTCTTCCAACTTGGTCAGATTGTGAACCAGCCCTTCCAAAGAAAGGGTTCCAAGACTCACCTGAGAGTTGTTAGAAAGGTCAAGCGAAACTAATTTAGACAAACGGGAGATTTCTGATGGAAGTTGGCCAGAAAAGTTGGAGGTGGAAAGTCTAATGACTGTCAAATCAGGGAATTGACTAAAACCAGGGGAAATCTTAGGAGTAATTGAAATCATTATAAGAAAAGTTTAGGCTTTGCAAGTGAGAAAGGAGAAAAAGAGTGCTGTTGGAAGGAATGTCGCCAGGAAGCCAGCTACAACTGAGGTCGAGGCCAATCACATGACCGGTCTCTGTGTCACATGCAACCCCGTCCGACGAGCAGCAATCACTATCCTCCTTCCATGAGTGCATTTTTGGATAAGACTGCATCTTGTACTCATCACAGATGGAGGAAGAACGACTGTTCTCGATGGAAAAGAGTTGAGTAGTGCAGGACTTTGATCCTGAGAGCAAAGTTTTGCGGAAGTTTGAGAATACAAAAGCAACAACTGAAGACAGAAAATTAATTGATAAGACAAAGTTAACCAACCCATTTTGTGTTTCCGTAATTAATTGGAAGAACTGAGATGATTATAAATAGACCAGAAAGTGGGGATCACTTCTGTATCTATTCTAACAGGTTTACAATCAAGGAGACAAGTACGAAAGCAAAAAAATAAAAAAGTAGTTTTAATTTGGTCATGCAGTATGATGACTCCTCCAATAATTTAGCACTTTTTTTAATGGCGAATTCTGCAACTCAAGATTCACGACTACTAAGGAAATAAATTTTAAGGACTCTGTGTTGGGTTAGTGTGAACCATCTGAACCCACATTAGAGTAAAAGTTTTGGTGGCATTTGTGAGGAAACAAACAATTGTCAAGGTTGTTCCTTTTGGTTCTAAAATACCATCACATTACAGTTTAAAGTAGAGGACTTTAATAAGAAGATATGCGTGGAAAGATAGGATCAGGTTCTAAAAATAAAAGATTTGAAATTAGTGTGAATTAACCTTTTGATAAGATAATTAATTCAATGGACATGAAATTTATATAGAATTATAATGGGCAACCACGTCAGGTCTTCTCGTCACAGTCACAAAAGAAAGGATAAGGATAAATTTTGCCTTCAGGATTTTGTTGGTAGTTAACATCGCATGACCTACTGCGCTTGCATTAGCTTTGTGAAGCGCTGTTAATTTGTTTAAGGTCCACGCTAGTTTATTTTTAAATGATGGATTTAATTATTTTTTGGTTCTAATGATGCTATTTATCCCCCACTTAAAGTGTGAACAATCCCATTTTTAATTTAAAATAATAATTAAACAACATATATGGATAGAATGGGAACCATTATATATTTAAATGAAAAAAAAAGAGAGAAATGGAAGTGTAGTGTTTGAACTGAACGGAGAATAATGGGCAAAATTCCCTGGAGTAAACGACTTTTTCCCTCCCAAGGTTTGCCTTAATGACACTTTCCCACCCAAAAAGTTTTAAAATACCACTTTCTTACCCAAAGTTTGTATTTTATTTACTGCCCAAAATACACTTTCTGATTCAGCGGTCAACATAGAGCAAACTCGATCCAGACTATTGAGACTTTTGAATAGGGGATGTCGGAGAGTCTTTTGGTGGTCAGGATTGGTCGGAATCTAACTTGGGAGGGGTGGTTGCATGTTTTACAAATCTCTCGATTGTTGGCAATTGACGAGGTCCACGAAAGTAAGGTTTGAAGGATTTTAGTAAGTGATGATCGGGGAAGAGAATGGTGGTGGTGTGGGGTCGAAAAGATGTCGGAATTGGCCGACAGTTGGTTGGAATATACACTTTGGATGGAAAAGTGGTATTTTGAAACTTTTTGGATGGAAATGTGTCATTAAGGTAAACCTTGGGTGGGAAAAAGTCATTTATTCAAATTCCTTGAGGCAAAAAGGTAATAATTGACACTTATTCCCCTCTTAGAAAATTAATTAAAATATCATTTCAAGTTTAGAATGAATTGAATAGCCATAAAGTTTGAAACTCCTTATTAAAAGACCATTTGCTTAAGCAATATAAGCCTATCACTTAGACGATATAGGTTTATCTATAAACTTATCGCTTAAGCGATAAAGTTTATAGCCATTTAATTAATTCTAAACTTGAGATAGTGTTTTAACAGTTAGTCTAATTATTACGTAAATAATTCCAATATAGTCCCACCATGAAAGGGCAATAATTTAAAATTTGCAGCAAGATGTATTTTTGTATCCAATTATTAACCGAAAGTGAAAGCCAATGTTCTACTATTTAATATGTTATCCTCTTATCGTGGAGATTAGTCACAAGTTTTCTTTTATGATTTATATTTCTTGGCTTTGAAGAGAAATGTAATTTTGAAGTTGGAAAGGAACCAATACCTTTTAAATGTTTTAATTATACTTAGTTAATGCCAATAAAATGAGTAATAATGTTTTTATTATTCTCAAGCATCAAACACGAGCTTTTAGAATACATAACAACATTTTCCAGTCATGTAAATATTGAATGCAATTGGACAATTAATTAAATAAAATAATTACTTACCAAAACCTTCTAAAACTGTATGTAATTGCTTTGTTGGATGATATATTCAAGGATGGTAGTTGGCATATGATTCATTTCACTGATGAAAGCTACACAGTACTATTGTCAACATATTGACCAAGTTTCCGGATGATTTTCTCCTATTCCTAATACAGTTTCTGGTCAATGGAAATCCACACAATCCCGAATATACGCAGTCTCGGGGAAGGTATCAAAGTGGGCAGCTCAAGGTATGCGCCCCGTGAGTTGGTTTTGTCACAAGTTTAAAACTTGAAGAAAATCTAATTTTGTCAATTGCCATTGAATCTCTCTGATAAGCTTATTATTTGAAGTAGTATCTAATTGTTCAAGAGGTCTAAGATTCTCCAATGATAATGGGATACGACCAATCAAATTATTGTGAGAAAGGTCGAAGTGCATGAAGATTGCCTATTGATGCTGGAATCTCTCCATCAAAGTTATTATCTGAAAACATCAATGATAGTAAAAGTAGTAAGAACTTTCGCTAATTCATAATCAAACCCTTTCATTGTCACTGTCACTAAATCTTCGTAATACCCTTCACCCATGTATTCATTAGTTTCAGTTACATTCGTCACAGCTTTCAGCATTTCAAAATACTTGGTTGGCAAACAACCATTAAAATTGTTGTTTGAAAGATCAAAGACTTTTAACTTAACATATAATTAACTACTGTATACTTCTTCAGAACTCCACACAAAACCATGAAAGCGTTGAATATTAAACTTGATTTGGGCCCAAAACTATTTTGATTTATCACTTAAACCTATAAAAATTGTTAGCTTAATATTTATTCCTAAGCTCAGTGTAAAGAGTATATTTGACTCGTGTATTTAACCCAAATAATAGGCATTGTAACTACAAAGATTGTGTAAAAATATATCATTATTAAAAAGTTGTTAGGTAGCTATTAATTGTGGAAGGCATGGTAGATGATATTTATTAGTGTAGGTGGTAGTTGGACGTTGAAGTGTAAAAAAATCTCTTAAGCACTATAAAAGGGGTGACCCTAGCCATTTTGTACAAACCAAATTTGAGAAGCAATAGTAACCTTTTCTTTCAAAACACTTCTCTTCTCAATTCCTCTTAATTAGCCAAAAGAGACTACTATTGGAAAGGATGTTGCCAAGAAGCCAACTCCAACTAAGATCAAGGCCAATCACACAAACGTTGTTGATATCACAAGTGACTAGAGAGTCGGCGGTGGGTCATGTCATGCTTAAAAATTTAAGACATGTCATGCTGTGGGTCATGTCGTGCTAAGGCACGCAAAAATTTGTGTCTTATCGTGCCGTGTTGGCTCCCCAAATCTGAAGGCGCAGCCCACTATATAGCAAGCTATGCTGTGGGCCTAGCACGCGGGCCGACCTGCGTGCTTTGTGGGTCGGCCTACAAATTCTTTTTAATATTTATAAATTATGGTAATTTTGATTTATTATTAATAATTATTATAAAAAAAGGTTATATGTTATATCTTGTGACATTTTGTATTTGTATTAATTAAAAAATATATATAATCACTATGAAATATAATAAAATAATGAGATATTGAAATATTAATTGAATTTCAATACTTTTTATTACTCATAAGTTATAATTATAAATTACAAATACAAACTTAAAAATTAGGATTAAGAATTAATATTAACAATTATATCTCCATTAGAAATACAAGTATACAAATACAATAAAATTATCTCAAACTTTGATTCTAGTTTACAAATATTCAAAGAAATTAATGAAAATTAAGATGTATGTTATACTTAGAGTCTAAACACACAACTAGAATCTACCAAATCACATAGATCAATCAAGAACACAAAGACACCAATTTATCATGGTTCACTTGTTCAAGATTGAACAAGCTACGTCCACGATGAGCTCCAAAACAATGAGACCCGCTGTACTATAGTTATCAAGAGTGTTTACAGAGTACAATAACAATTCATCAAGAACTACTCTCTCACTAGCTACCTAATCACTCAACCCTTACAATTATCTTTGATCCTAGAGAAAGACTAACCCAGCTCCTCTAATCCTTGAAGGAACCACAACCCTCAATCAACAATCTCACTGATTGTACAAATATTACACAGTTTGAGTACTCACAAGAACCCTAGCAGAGTGAAAAAATAAAGATGAAGAGAAGAGAGATACTTTGTTATTGAACAGGGACTTTTTGGGCACTTTTATAGCATTGAACTCAAGGGGATTTGCAGTTGTTAGATGCCTCTTGAATTGACGATCAAGATTTAAAAAAGAATAGTCCAAAACGGTAGTGCTTTACTTATCCTTTAGACGACGCCGTTGTGGGCTTCAGTAATTAATAATGTATGATATTTTTTTGATCAATTATTTACTTTGAATATTCGTAAATTAGAATCAAAGTTGAGATAATTGTATTGTATTTGTATACTTATATTTCTATTGGAGATGTAATTGTTACTGTTAATTATTAATCCTAATTTTTAAGTTTATATTTGTAATTTATAATTATAAGTAATAAAAAGTGTTGAAATTCAATTAATATTTCAATGTCTCATTATTTTATATATATTTCATAGTGATTATATACTTTTTTAATTGATACAAATACAAAATAAGAGAGAAAGGAGAATGAAGATTGGAATTGGAGTGTGAAAAGCAAAGAGAAATAATGAGATATTTATAGGAAAAAATTAAAAAAATGTGAACTAACCGTTTAACGGTTGTTTTTTTTAGTGGGTCGGGCCGTGTGCCATTTTTAAGGCCCACGGCATGGCCTGCATGATCATGGGTCTTGTCATGCCTTGCTTTTTTTCATGACGTGACGCATCACATGTCGACACGGTCGATCGTCAGCTCTACAAGTGACTCCATCCCATGAGCAGCAATCACTATCCTCATTCCAAGAGAGTATTTTCGGATTAGAAGGAAACATGGTTCAATCACAAAGGGAAGAAGAATTTTTCTAGGAAGGAAAACAGTTGCTTAAATTGAAGCAATGCAGAAGTGTGGTCATAAGAGCACAGTTTTGCGGAGCTATGAGAGCAGAAAAATTGGTAAGACAGAGTTAATGTACTCATTTTGTTTTTCAGTGCGAAATCATAAGAACTGAGATAGCTATAAATAGGCAAGAAAGTGGCGAGCCAGTACTGTAAATATTCTTATCTTTTCACATGGAATCAAGTATAGAGTCAAAGGTTTAGTCATGCTGGATTTGACAGCATTGACTATAACGAGCGTTCACTGTGACTCCTGGAAATATCCTTTGTGAATTTCCTTGACCAGTTAATTGATCATTTCTAGATATATACAAACGTTGGAAGATATACCACAATTTGGAAGACTCAGTCTCCCAATAATAGGGATCATCATTCATTTTCCCCAACCTTTCATGAATCTTTCTGTATTTTAACCAAACTTAAAAAAAGGCAAAGTAAATCAAACTTGGCGGCACGATTGTTGAAGACTTTGGACGTATTTCTGCACATTTTTACTCTTGTTTTGTTCATCAAACCGAAAGTTTTCTCTTAGAGGATGTTTTGCTAAATTGGCTAGGTAATGAGAATAGCGAAATAAGTTGTTTTTCCTGTGACAAGAGAGAGTTTGAAGTGGAAGTATGAGCAACGGTTTCTGAATTGGCCGAGGACATTGATTCGGGGAAGAAGGGTTGTGCCTTTTTTTTTTTTTTTTNCTTTCTGTATTTTAACCAAACTTACAAGAAGGCAAAGTAAGCCGACCTTGGCAGCGCGATTGTTGAAGACTTTGAACGTATTTCTGCACATTTTTGCTCTTGTTTTGTTCATCAAACCGAAAGTTTTCTCTTGGACGATGTTTTGCTAAATTGGCTTAAGTAATGAGAATAGCGAAATAAGTTGTTTTTCCGGTGACAAGAGAGAGTTTGAAGTGGAAGTATGAGCAACGGTTTCTGAATTGGCCGAGGATATTGATTCGGGGAAGAAGGGTTGTGCCTTTTTTTTTTTTTTTTTTCATCTAAATAAAGAATTTATCCTCTCCCTGTTTCTTGTATTTGGTAGGAAAACATAAACGAAATATTCGAAATGTAGAGGATGTCTTATGGTGCTGCTCTGCTTTCCGTGAACTGAAGTATTTTTTGTACAGAGATAGAATATTAATACGTTTAGAAAGTTTAGGATAAAGTCACTTAGCTCCATGAAGATTTATAAGATACGGGGTTATTTAAACATTTAGTGGACTATAGGGGTGTAATTAATATTCATATAAAAGTACGATATTGCTGTGCGTGTAGACAAAGACGTGTCGTTTTCTTTATGGTATATCTTAATCCTGGTCATATTCATATACAAAAATACTTTCATCGTAATATGCTATTATAATCTAGAGATTCTTGTAGGGTTATAACTGTGGTTTCATTGAAGTAGTCAATAAGTTTTAACAAGGCTTACAGAAGTGTTTGGATATTCGTATCTACATGACGTGACGACGTCAACAAAGTAGGTTATTATTGAAGGTCGAAGTCTGTAGAAAAAAAAAAGTTTATCGACTTTTCTCTTTCTTGCTTCCCTGTGATTATTCTCATCTTTTTTGTGGTATATGAATCAGTGATTCTTGAGATCAATAAATAGAATAAGATTCAACGATAAATTGACCAAAATGGTTATCAACCCGATCGAGAACAGTGAGTAATATTATTAATCAACACTGATATTATTAGAATAACACACAGCAAATGATATCATTACTTGCACTATATACAGTAATACACGTACAAAAGAAAGACATTTTGACAAAAGCTTATAACACAAGAGAGCTTCTCGCATGCACTGGCCTCTTCTTCCTCCACGGTTGCTCACGCCCTTCCCAACTTTCTATGATGTTCTACTTCAACAATCTTCGCAAGCCATTTAGGCTTTCCAGTTGAGAATACAACATATCCTATCAACATTCCAAATACCATTCCACATCCATACCCTATCAACACAACTTCCCAACCAAATCCATCTGTAGGCTCTGTATCTTCCCACATCGAGAATGGTGGTGGTGAATCAGTGTCACATTTTGTTGGCATGGGAAACCCGCATAATCCCTTATTGCCACTGTATGAACTAATTGGGAAGGTATCAAAGTGGTTGGCTAGAGGTATTGGTCCTGTGAGTTGGTTTTGGGACAAGTTTAAAACCTGAAGAAAATTCAGTTTTGTCAATTGATATGGAATCTCTCCCACAAGCTTGTTTGAAGAAAGATCTAATGATTCAAGACCTGTCAAATTCCCTAAAGATGACGGGATGCAACCACTTAAACGGTTGTGGGAAAGGTTGAGGAGTCGCAATGCATGAAGATTTGCAATTAGTTCTGGAATCTCTCCATGGAAGTTATTGTTTGAAAAATCTATACAAGTAAAAGTAGTAATAATTTTCATTATTTCCACATCAGAGCCTTTCAATGTCACTATTGCAGAATCTAGATAATACCCTTCACTCATATATCGCAACTTCCTTTCTGTTTCATTAACATCCATCATAGCTTCTAAATTTTCAAAATATTTCTTTGGTAAAGAACCACTAAAATTGTTATTTGAAAGATCAAGGATTCTCAACTTAGCAAACGACTGAAAAACCGTAGAGAGTTCTCGTACAAAACCGTGAAACTTATTGGAACGAAGAATAAGAATCCGTAGATTTGGAAGGCTTTCTAACCAATTTGGAAAGGAATCGTTTAGGTGGTTGTTTCCAAGATCAAGAACTTCAAGCATCTTACAATTCATCAAAGATCGTGGGATCGACCCTTCCAACTGATTGTCATTAACACTAAGCGTTCTCAATTGACCGCCTCTTGCAAATGTATCAGGAATTCTACCATCAATTCTATTCTTCTGCAAATCCAAAACTTGGAGTTCATTGCTAAAGTTTCCCATGCATTCTGGAATGGCTCCACTCAAGCTGTTGTTATAAAGATCAAAAACTCTAAATAAGCTCATATTGCAGATCGAACGAGGAATCTTTCCCGTCAATTTATTATTTGAGATAAGAAAGAATCTCAACGGATATGGTAGAATTGGAATTGAGCCACAAAACCTATTATGATCTAAATAAAGGGATGACAAGAGGTTACTCTGAAATTCAACAAGATGACCGGTTAGTTGGTTGTAACCAAGGTCTATATACTCCACGTTTGGAAGATTGAATATCCAAGATGGTATAGACCCATTGAGAAAATTACCAAAAAAAGAAAACCAGGATAAATTTGGAAGCCTATTTGCACGAGAAGGGATTGGACCAACCAGTAGATTATTTTGGATAGATAAATGAAAAGCTTGAGTTAGGTTGACAAGAATATCAGCTGGAATTTCACCGATGAAATGGTTGGCTGAAAAATCTAAAAAGGCAAGTTGTGTAAGGTTACCAACTGATGCAGGAATTGACCCAACAAAATTGCAGTTATAGAGATTCAAATATCTCAAGGACATTAAATTGCCAATTGAATTAGATAATTCTCCAGAAAATCTCGTTCTAGAGACATCCAAAAACTCGAGAGGGTTACTCCAATTAACCCTTGGAAAAATTCCTGTTAAGTTGGAGTTCCACCGTAAACTGATGAACTGTAGATTTGGCAGGCGAAAGACAATATCTGGGAAATTTCCTTGCATTCCACAATCATTGAGACTCAAATATGTCAAAGAAGAAGACAGATTCGTCAAGCGGCCAACTATAGTCAAAGACATGTCAATGTAATCAAGAGACAGTTCTTCTAACTTGGTCAAATTTTGAACCAGCCCTTCCAAAACAGGGGTATCAATACTCACTTGGAAGTTCTGAGAGAGGTCAAGTGAAACTAATTTAGACAAATGAGAGATTTCAAAGGGAAGTTGGCCAGAAAAGTTTGAGAAAGAGAGGTTGAGGTAAGTCAAACGAGGAAAAAAACTGAAACCAGGGGAAATATGAGAGTGGTTGAAGTTATTGAAAGCAAGGTTTAGGGTTTGTAGTTGAGGAAGGAGAAAGAGAGTGGTGTTGGAAGGAATGTTGCCATGAAGCCAACCACAACTAAGGTCCAGGCCAATAACGTGACCTGTCTCTGTATCACATGTAACCCCATCCCACGAGCAGCAATCACTATCCTCCTCCCAGGAGTGCATTTTTGGATAAGAGTAATGTATCTTGTACTCATCACAGATGGAAGAAGAACTATTTTCCAAGGAAAAGAGTTGCTTGAACTGGAGCAATGCAGAACTTTGTTCCTGAGAGCAAAGTTTTGCGGAAGTTTGAGAATACGTTAAGAGCAACAACTGAAGGCAGAAAAACTGACAAGAAAATGTTAACCAAACCATTTTGGATTTCTGTACGAAAACATAAGAGCTAAGGTGGCTATAAATATACAAAACAAAATTGGGATCAGTACTGTAACTATTCATAACCAAAAAAAAAAAAACAAGTATGAAATCAAAAATCAAAAATCAAAAATCAAAAGTAGTTTTAATTTGGTCATGCAAATGATGTATACTCCAATAATTTAGGCCACTTTTTTGAATGGCGTATTCCATAACACAAGAGCCAATGTCTCAACAACCAAATAAAAGATAAATTATGTAGAAATGGTGTGAATTACTCTATTGAAAAGATGAACGTTAGAATATTTAATGAACGTGGAAAGATAGGTAAATCCTATCATGGATATTGGTGTTGTAATATTATGAGTAACTTTTTGTGTTGGATTATAATGAGTGGATAACCCGTCAACATTTCCCGTTGGTTGTTACCATCTCATAACATGAGCTTGCTTTAGCATTTTGAGGCTTATCCGCTGAAGGTCCAACTGCTTTAATTTTAAATTATAATTTTCTTTGACTGTTGATGCTATCTTCCCCCACGCCCCATTCACAGTGTGAACAAACCCATTTTTAAATTTAAGTGGGTATATTTAAGTAATAAATTAAAAGTATATATGGATAGAATGGATACGAATTTGTTCTTCCAAGTGCTTTAGGAGCTTTATTGCTTGTTCATATCTTCTAACTGACTTTCTTTACTCTAGAAGAAGAATTGTCTTAACGTGTGTCACATTAAAGATATTAGAAGATAACAAGTTTATTATATATAATATGTATTGAAATTAAGTTTTTTGTCTTTTAGTATCCATTTATCTTTAGGCACACATTAAGACAACCTAATAAAAAAATAAAACTAATTGTTATTCTTTTATTTATTTTGACTTCAGAGCTATATATATTACGATTTGATAATATTTGAAATGGGTTACTGCACATATGGAACCATAAATTAAAAATATTTTGATAACTATATTTGTTTCAATTAGAATTAAGGAAAGTGAATGGTTAATTAACCAAAATGGTTATGAAGCCAATCGAGAAGCAGTGCGAATATATATTAATCAATACTGATATTATTTAAAAAAATAAAAATGGATGTCAATTGATTGCTTGCACTGTTATTTTATTTTTATTTATTTGTCTAAAAGTGTGCAAATAAATTTGTATATATCTTAATTAATCTTTCGAGATCCGAAAATTAATGATCAACTAAACTCTCTGGTGACCACCCTCTTGATAATACACCAAAAAGTCACTTATCTTTCACCCGGCCCCAATGGTTGTTGATTGATTGCACCGTTACAGACACAAATTAAAGACATTTTGACTAAGTTTGTAATCACTTGAATCGGCTTTACTAAGCCAGCGCCCTTATGTTCAAGAGAAGGTTCCACTACTAAAGCGATATTTTATGCATAATACACATGACATTACGGGGTTTTAATATTCCTGTAACTGTTGTATGAATTCGAAAGTCTTGGTCATGCAATCAATATCATTTTCTGAAGGATATTCTTCGAAAAAAAGATTCTCAACGTAATCATAAGTCATAAGTCATAATATTACATCAATCACAGTCTGGTGTTGGGTAGAATAGTAAACTAAGCATTTTATCAGGGATCTTGAAGTAGCTACATAGTCCTATTATATATGTAGTAACTTGTAGGACTTCATACTATTTTCAATATTATTAGTTTTAAATTTTAATTGTAGGGGAGAACGATATTTTCTCACCCAAGGTCTGCAAAATGACACTTGTCCACCTTTCAAGTTTCAAAATGACACTTTCCCACCATTTATTAAGATCTATTATGTTTTCTGTTAATATTTTATTGAAAAGACGAAAATGTTCTTAAATATTTGATTTTATAAACTTTTTATTATTTTTTAATTAGCCAAAAAGTTACCCATTTAAAAAGTTAGGAGTAATGCTGTGAAATAATAGAATTGTTTAAATTTAAATTACTTAAATATTTATTTATTTATAATGTCATGAATATCTCATCACTATTATTCAATAATCTACTAGATTTATAATATTTTTCATTTTTGTTAACTAACATAGAAAATCAATATTCATACTTAATTAAATAAAAAAAATGAAAAAAAATATCTTTACACTTGAATTAATAAATAATTAAGTAAAGACTTTGACTTAACTAAATTTTAATTTATAATAAACTAATTAAGAAATAAACTATTTAAATATATTTTTGTCGTTTTAGTCAAATATTAACAAAGAATACTAACAGAACCTGACAAATGGTGGGAAAGTGTCATTTTGAAACTTGACAGGTGGGAAAGTGTCGTCTCGCCAAACCTTGGGTGGGAAAAAGTCGTTCTCCCTAATTGTAGACTCGACCTCTATTTGTCAATCTAAATTTTGAATCATATCTAATGTCATGCTATTACGTCAAGATTGGACGAAGCCAGGACCTTAATCTAGGGTTCAAAGTTAAAAAAAATATATATCTTATTTAATAACCCTTTAAGGTTTAAACGCTAGAAAAGTCTAATAAAAAAGGATATTGAAAATAAAAGCTTTTTAACTATCTCTGAATAACTAAGTAATTCGATAAAAACTTTTTAGTGTATTATTCAAAAAGTCCTAAGTTCAAGTCTCTTTTCGAGTACTAATAGGGATAGCCGATGGAGTTCTTATCAGATCGATAATTTCAGAATCTCGAGAGATTAATTGAAATACAAGTAAGTTAATTTGGACACCCTCGATCATATTAAAAAAAAAAAAAAAAAAAAAAATTATCAATACAAAAACTTTTTCATTTGAAACTTTATTTTCCAAATTACGATTGTAATCTATGATTAATAAAAAGTGATAAAATAAATAAAAAATCTAATTTAAATACATGTTCTCTCTGGATTTACTAGTTTTGTAATCTTCCATCTCTTAAATGTTAGATTCAGTACATTGATTTGTTTATTTATTTATTTGTTTTTCGATCTATATAACGTTTTTATTTGACAGATGGACCTGCTAATCATGGGCTTCAGCCCAAGTTTTTGTCTATTCAATAACCGTTTAAATACTTCCGATTTCACGGAGCAGGTGAGATTGTGAGAACTCGAAAGCTCGTAAGAAACGCTGCGTTTCACTTCAGCATATAATAATTACAATAACCAAGGTCCATAGTGATAGCGGGAAAAACAAAACAAAACCAAACCCCTAACTTTAGAAAGAAATTCTCGAGGACAGAAACACGAGAAAAAATGGCGCCAGTGTTGCAGAGCTCGCAACCTTGGGTTGAGAAATAGTACAATTTCGTTCTCTTTCTTTTTATCATCTTCATCTCTACTTCTATTTTATTTCCAATTTCAAAACACTCTCTTCTTTCTGTTTTTGGTTGTATTGATCTTGCAGTCGACCTAAGCAAGTGAAGGATGTGGCTCACCAGGACGAGGTGGTGCGAGTCCTCACCAACACTCTCGAGACAACTAATGTATCATTTTCACCTCTTTCAATTTTTCTCACTCTATTATTATTGTTGTTGCTACGATTTTAAGTAGGTTTGAAACCCTAATTGTTAATCTTTCTCTAATTTTTTATTATTCTGCTCCAGTGTCCGCATATGCTCTTTTATGGCCCACCTGGAACTGGCAAAACCACCACTGCACTCGCCATCGCCCATCAGCTTTTCGGGTACTACTTGCAATTATTATAGTGGTTTTGGTGCTTGTTTGTCCTTTTTGAATTGGTACCAAAGTAGGTAGTTACAGACATAGTTCTAATAGTGGAGTTTCACTTTTCTTTGGATCACAAATGTTTGTCATTGGAAGCCTGCGTAGGGCACTATTTTTATTGTTCTGTGTGATTGATCAAAATGCTTGCAGACCTGAACTCTACAAATCTAGAGTACTAGAGCTGAATGCTAGTGATGACCGTGGGATCAATGTTGTCCGTACTAAAATCAAAGATTTTGCTGCTGTGGCTGTAGGTTCTGGTCAGCGTCAAGGGTATGCATATTCCTATCTTGAAAACATTTCCATTCCTATTCATTTCTGTTATCTTTTCTTAATTATTTTGCTTCAATATTTCAGGGTTTATCCTTGTCCTCCATACAAGATTATTATCCTTGATGAGGCTGATTCGATGACTGAAGATGCCCAGGCATGTTGGTTTCAGTTTATTGGTATTATTTTTGGAAATTGTATGAATGTCAAACATTTTACTCTGCTTCACAGAATGCTCTAAGACGTACAATGGAAACTTACTCCAAAGTTACAAGATTCTTTTTTATTTGTAATTACATCAGCAGGTGAGCCTTTTCCAGTTTGTTTAGCATATTGATATATTTATTATTTACATTTTCTTTCTCGCTGTTAAATTCGTAAGCATTGTTAGACCCTACACGATTGATTCTTTTCCCCTTTGTTTATTTGTATTTTTGGGGGAAATGCGTTGGATGGACATGGTATGAATAGTGTTATGCCAATTTATTAATTACTTGCTAACCATAAATCATTGTCCAACTCCAACAATGTCACAGTAGATAATTTAAAAGGTGTTTTAAGACAAACAAGCTCTCAGATGCATTTTAATTACAACAATCATTTTTCTTTGGAAACAACAGCCATGCATGTATTTGTACGACTCTCTAATCCGATGTAAACAATAGACATGTATTTTTCATAATATTTTGGTTAATATCTTGTGTGATTTTTTTTTTTTTAACCTAATCTCACAATATTTTATTTGATAGGATCATAGAGCCCCTTGCTTCAAGATGTGCAAAGTTTAGGTTCAAGCCACTTTCTGAGGAAATTATGACTAGCCGAATATCTTATATCTGTAAGGAAGAAGGACTCAATTTGGATGCAGAGGTTTGGATCTAAAGGCTTATAACTTGTCACTGTTTTCCTATACCAGGTTAAGTTTTCTGAGATTGATCCTTATATATTTTAGGCTCTATCAACTTTAAGTTCTATCTCACAAGGTGATCTTCGACGGGCTATTACATACTTGCAAGTAAGACATTATTTTTTGTTCCATTTATTTTGTGATCCCATGGTTCTTTCAGGTCGATCATGAAGAAATACACTTACATTTTGTTTAAAAATGCTTATGCATTGATTTTGGTGGTTATCATAAGGGCATGGAAGCAATCAATGGGTTTTATAATGTTCCTCTGAATATTGAAACTGAATGGACATTTGTTAGGGAAAATGATAAAGTGGCAAAAATTGAATTAAAAACTGTTTCTAAAATTTTGTTTACAACTTTTTTTCTGATTATAAGATAACCATCTGGCTTGTATTGACTATGATCTTCACCAATAGAAACCAACACTAGGATAGTGTAACCATTTGGTATGTGAAATTTGAATGATCATCCTGGTTAGAGATTCAAACCTTTGTTTTCTGCTTCAGAACAAGCCATCTGCAATGTAATTGCATGATAAAAAGTTGATGGTAGTTGTTTTGATATTATTGTGATGACCAAAGCCTGTTATATATCAATCTTAGATGGTTTCTATGGTGCTTCAGTATTGTGTTCCTGGATCTTGTATAGTATTTTGTGAAGATAGCTTGGTCAAGCCAATTTAATCTCTTTTTTTTTTTAAATATATATAAAAATTTCCTTTACAATTTTATGTGTCTTTTTATACTAGACAATATTCAGTGATGCTTATGTTTAGTCATCTCACGAAATCTTGCAGGGAGCTGCTCGCTTATATGGATCATCAATTTCTTCTAAGGATCTAATTAGTGTGGCCGGGGTAAGTTGTTTGTTTGTCTTTAACTCTTGTTACACTCTTTTCATCTTGACAATATATCTGGAAGTGGAAAAGTTTCCCTAATATTTGATTGTGGATTACCTGATACATTTAGGCATCAATAGGATAAGTTTTTGCCAATCACTTCTGTGGCCTTGGTCTTTTAAAGTCTGAGAAACTGTTCTCAAGGCTAAAAGAGCCTGCATTTTAAGCATACGACCTTTTGCATCTTAAATTTATACCTTTTGCGTTGTGTAGTTGGAATTGCCTGCCATTTATATGATTAACATACGTGCAAAATGAAGTCATTTATCACTAGCAACTGAAAAAAAAAGCACACCTTGTCATAAATTCATGCCTTTACTGACATGAATTTTTATTACCAGGTCATCCCAGTGGAGGTAGTTGAGGCACATTTTTCGGCATGCAGAAGTGGTGACTTTGATGTTGCAAACAAGGAAGTTAATAACATTATTGCAGAGGGATATCCAGTCTCTCTGTTTCTTTCCCAGGTTCCAGCTTTGCTATTTGAATCAAAGATTCATCTGTCTGCTCAATATTAAGATATATGTATTATTGATACCATGTTTGTTTCAGTTATTTGATTTAGTTGTGGAAGCTGAAGATATATCTGATGAGCAGAAGGCTCGAATATGCAAACATTTCGGTGAAGCAGACAAGGTTTCTTCCTTGTTATAAGCTTATTATTGCTGCCTTGAGCGTGCTTGAAATTTCTGATGTTGAGTTTGATGCTAGTTTAAGTATTAGAACCTGAATTGCTGCTTGTGAAAGTAGTATACTTTTTTCCAGTCTAGCAATATGTTTATCACCTTTTTAAAAAAAATAATTTTCTTTTTGGTCAAATATTAAACAATAGGATTAGAAAGACATTGTGCTAAACCCTCTCCTTTGATCCTGTGGAATTTGCAGTGTTTAGTTGATGGCGCGGATGAGTACTTACAGCTATTAAATGTGACAAGTCATGTAATGCGAGCTCTGTGTAACATGCCAGAAGAGTTTCATTATGATGCTTAGGTAGCCGAAGTCCTGGTGCAGCGATTGTGAGATATTGCAGAAGTAAGTTGCTTTATTCTCGGTGAATGTTTCCTGTAATAGGGATCTATCTCATGTTAACGAGAAGGATATTCAAATTTGATTCTCTAGCTCTCGTCAGTACATAAATTCAATTTGCTAATTGTGATCCATGAGCTCCACAAATGTTTTCAGAATCTCCCTTAACCCAGTTATCCTTACTTCGACAGAACCCTTTTTTGTTTTTTTAGTAATAGAATTAGACAATTTACTGTTTCAGCTACTCAGTTGTTAGCATGATAGTGATACATGATGATTTCGATTTAACTTCAAAATTTAAAAATGTCTTTCACGTTCGTATTATGAATGTTACCCATTAAAATTGGTCATCGTACCGTTGCAACAGGCCTGTCCCAGCATCATAACATAGGATACACAATCATGGTCAGTGATAACACATCATTCATTTTAACCTATCTAAACACTAAAATATGTGGAGCCCAAAATTTTTAAATTCAGATTAAGTACTGGAAGCAACTAAAATTAGATGCAACCAAATCCAAATGTACTGCCGTAAATAAATTACCTAACAATTTCATCATTGTAAGCTAATAATATAGGCATCAAAATATTAATTTTTAATAAATTATACGAAGCACTTTTGGTTTCAGCCTTGATGACTATTAAAATACTCATTAGATTCAATTCAAGTCAATGAAGACTATTCTGTGAGTATAATGTTGTTAGTTTTTGACCAATGTAATGTAATAATTCCTCTGATATAGGCAATTCAAAATTGGCAATAGAAAAAAGTTCCTTACTTAATAACCATATTAGGACAATTTCAAGATTTTAAAGGATTTAATTTTTATTTTATTCTCCAAATGAATAGTCACACTCCTTTCGGTTTCACCTCATTTCGATTTCTGATTAAACGTTTGAATTTAGTACTAGAACCTTTCTGTTTCAATTTGCATGATTTTTGGGTCCCAGTATTAAACCAAAGTCAAATACGTACCCATGAATGATGGGCCGGTCTCACTCTGCTTGGCCCACCAACCCCACCTTCATGCCTTTAATCTCGCTATGAACACCATCTCCGCCCGCCTCCTCCACCTATATAACTCAAACTCACAGACTGAACTTATCTTATACGCTTACATCTCTCTCTTCCTTTCAAACTCTGTTAGATTTTTCAGTTATTTTCAGTTACAATGGCCATTGATGATTCTTGTAGAAAACCTGGTGCCGTTCCCTTTAAGTGGGAGATCCGACCCGGTGTCCCCAAGATCCAACAACAACGCAAACAAACGCCACATCCGTCACCGTCACCACCTCCTGAACTTGATCACCTACCCCGCCATTCATCAGCATCGTCGCCGGCTCCACTGCAAAAGCTTAAACCCCCACCAGCCGGCTTCCAGTCCCATCCTCCCTCCGAGCCCCGAAGCCAGTCGTTTCGGTCAACCCCGCGTGCCCGTTCCGAGCGTTGGCGGTTCGATCAACCTACACGCGTCCGACCCGAATGCATTTCACCTGGGTGTTTCCCGGCTCCCTCGCTTATTAGACGCAAGGAAAGCAAGAGGAAGGTTCATGTACCTAGACCCACATCCGAACACGGTTACTTTTCAGACATTGAAATGTTGCCACGGTGGTCGGTTTCAAGCCGGAGGTCACTTTCACCGTTCACTGCCTCACCGGCCTCGTCGTCTTTCTCGTCGTATAAGTCATCGCCCCGACCCGTGGTTGATGCAGACTGGGCCGGGTTCGGACTTTTTTAAACGGAGTTTAGCGTATAGCTATTTGGCGGGAATTGTAGTTGTGGCCTTTGACGTTTGGATGTTATATTTGATGAAGATTTCCATAAACGACAGCGTTTTGTGGGATCAGAAGCCCATTATGTATGGCCCGTGATTAGCTCTTGTCGTGTTTAGAGTTTTCAAAGCTCATAATATGATGTGTTATATAAATTGGTGGCAGTGAAAGGACTTTTTCCCAAGTCTTTTATTGTGAATTCAAAGTTTCCAAGTGAAAGTCATTTTGATAATGTACTCTTAATCTACATAGTCATTTGGTATTAAACATTTAAGGGTGAATTTGAATCTTGCTTTTGAAAGAACTCAGTTATATGTACTATATCACATAATATTTGTAACATATGATGAGTAGTAAATATTAAGTCCATGTAATTTCTAAATCATTTAATTTTAACATCTATGTTTCAAAATTAGAATTCTTTAATGAGTTAATTTTTTTTTTAATCATAATGTCTTACTAAATCTGAAACTTTAATTATCTCTAAATAGTTGAGTGATTCGATAGAGACTTTTATATGTATTACTCAAAAGGTCTTAAGTTCGAATCTCTCCTCAATTGTTAATAACAGTAACCATTATAGTTCTTACCTGACTACTAGTTCTAAGATTCTTAAGGATTAGTTAAAGTGTGTGTAAACAGACCCGAACATTTTCAAGTTTCAATCATTAAAAAGAAAAAAAGGAAAACTGAATTCCGTCGAATCCTATAATTTTTTAGATGAAAAGAAAATAAAATGAATGATGAAATCTGGAACCAAAATAATACTAGACTTGATCACTAAAAGTAAAACCACTGCAATGCAAATTCTCTCATGCATGGTGTTGGTAATAACCCAAATAAAATTATACATAATTCACATGCCAGATTACGATGATGAAAACTGTCAAGCAATTTCAGTGGGAATATGAGAAAGTGAAAAAGTGAGAAAATTTAAATAAATTAATTTACGTTTACGATAGGGGAAACATTACCGAACCAAACATGATCGTGAAGCATTCCCTAGCCCACCAAGTACTCCCGCTCATGCTTAAAAATGTTTCATTTGATGCCAAACTCGCAGCTTCAACAAATTTAGTTCACAGCCCATTTACCATACAATCAGTTTCTGATGTTTTAAAATCCATTCCAACTCTCTTCTTTCTGTCCCCTCGCTCCATTGGCCGCCAGAAGGGTTTTCGGCACCGCGCTCCTTTGAAACAACGGAACCTTACAAAAGAAGCCTACAATATCCGCAACAATGTACTTGTTCTTGGCCCTGCAGCCTATAGAGACCCTCAAAAAGTCGCTCTAGGACTCAACAAAGCCCTGGAGTTTTATTACTGGGTTGAAAAGTTTATGGGGCTATGCCATAATGAAATGACATGCAGAGAGATGGCTATTGTTTTAGCTAGAGGAAATGACACAAAGGGTCTTTGGGATTTTCTCAAAGAAATGTCTAGAAGAGGAGTTGGTGAACTTGTGAGTACTTCTACTGTTACCTGTTTGATAAAAGTCCTAGGTGAAGAAGGTTTGGTTAATGAAGCATTGACTACTTTTTATCGGATGAAGCAGTTTCATTGTAAGCCTGATGTTTATGCGTATAATGTGGTTATTAATGCTCTCTGTCGAGTTGGGAATTTTAACAAGGCAAGATTTTTGTTGGAACAAATGGAGTTACCGGGGTTTAGGTGTGCCCCGGATGTATATACTTATACTATATTGATTAGTTCTTATTGTAAGTATGGTATGCAAACTGGGTGTAGAAAGGCTACTAGGAGGAGGATTTGGGAGGCTAATCACTTGTTTCGGATAATGTTATTTAAGGGTTTTGTTCCAGATGTTGTAACATATAATTGTTTGATTGATGGTTGTTGCAAGACTTATCGAATTGAGAGGGCTTTGGAACTTTTTGATGATATGAATAAAAGGGGTTGTGTCCCGAACCGTGTTACCTATGATTCTTTTATCAGATACTATAGTGCTGTTAATGAGATTGATAGGGCTGTCGAGATGATGAGAAGGATGCAAAAGATGAATCATGGGGTACCCTCTTCAAGTTCTTATACTCCAATTATACATGCTTTGTGTGAAGCTGGAAGGGTATTGGATGCCAGGGATTTTCTGGCTGAATTGGTTGATGGGGGTTCAGTACCTAGAGAGTACACATACAAGTTAGTTTGTGATGCTCTAAATGCGGCAGGGGAAGCCAATTCACTTGATGATGAACTGCATGAAAGAATAAGGGATGGTATCAAGAACAGGTGTAGGCAACTGATGAAGGTAAAACCAATCATGAGCTGCAAAATGTCATTATAGTATGGGTGAAGTTTGATAGTCCAGAGAAAAATGGTTTGCTCTTCCATCCATATGAAGAACGGAAGACAAGTAGAAGAATTCCACTGGCTATTTTGGCACTCTGCTGAAGAGTGGTGAGTGTTACTGTATTGATTTCATATTCTGTCGCATTCTTGGAGTTCAATTATTTCTCACTTAATTGTGTTATTATAATACAAACAATCAGCCAAAGTAAAAGGCTTCTATCATATCAATTTGCCAGGGCTGAGTGAATTCATGACTTAGGATTTTGGAAAAAACTTCAATGAGACTAACTTTGTGCCATATTCCTTGTGACAGGTTCTTCCGAGTATTAGCTCCTTTAGAATGTTTCATCCTCTGAACCTCTCCCGTTGAACCAAATCAAATTTCCAGATGAAACTTGCCATTTCGATGTTACTGCTTGATACTAGCTAGTTGACATTTTAAAAAGCTGACTCGTAAAGCAGCAGAGGACATGCATGCTTGGTGCTTCATGCCACTTTTGAGGTATCATTTTTGTCTGCAAGCATAAAGGCATGAGTTAATTCTGCGCTGTAAAAGCGGCAGTAGTTTTTCCGTGGCACAAAGTTCTGATTGTAATATAATATCTTTCTTGTTTTTCGTCATCTCTTACCTAACCACCCCTTGATCTAATAAATTCACAAATTAGTTCAGATGGGTTGGGTCAGACTAACTACACAGTAGTATTTGTGTTTACCTTCTGCTGTTTGATTATTCATCAGACTTTGTGATATTAGTCTTCAATAAAAATGTTTTCAAGATTTTAGTTCCCCTAAATTGGGAGGAATCCAGTGTTCAACTTCCTTTGAAATTTTCAGGAATCCAGTGTTCAACTTCAGCAAAAATGTTTGAATATGCTTCTGGCTTGGGTCAATAGATGATCATTTTGTAGATTGATCTCCTTGTTCTAGCCAGGGCAGGAACCAAGATGGCATTCGGAGTTTTGTGATGATCATTTGGTAAGATCATGTAAGCTGGCTTAAGACAAGTGAAGTTTATATTATTGTTGATGAATGCTTGAAATTGGTCAACCCTTTTCCTCCAATTGGTGTGCACTTATCAAGGAGAAGGAGAATCTGTGATTCATCCATTTGTTTCCTGCACATTCTCATTTATGGTCTGGATCCATTTTCCATGAACCTTCTGAAAGATTCCTCAGTCTTACCTCAATTTCAATCTCTGTCACTCTCTGTTGCCGGCGAATAACATTATACGCTCACAATTACTATATCAAACATGGTTAATGAAGATGACTTTAACATATCCTGTATCTGATTTAAATATTTACAGTAGTATATATATATATAAAATCTAACAAAACCATGACGAGGCTTACTAATAGCTCCAGGCTACCAGTAAGTCAAATTTATAGACTATTCAATCAACAACTTATAAGTCAAATCTTTTAAGATACAGTAATACTCAATAATCGACATTTCTTAATAAAAGTTGTTTTCCAAAATCCATATATATGGGATTCGATTAGATAAAATTATTGGTCCCGTGGTTTAGACTTAAAGACTCTATTAATGTAACCCATCAAGTCAACATCATATATAATTTATGTAATGGAGGAAAGAAACACCTAACCATGGTTATGGTTTGAAACTAAAGTCTATATTCCATAATATTGCTGAAATTGAACTTTAAATAAAATTAACCACATTAAGTTATTTGATCTTTCATCATAATGCAGAATAATACTATATTGAAACTGATTTGGAATTAATCTCATATTTAATTAAATATAAACCTATGATGGAGCAGCATGGATCTGGCATTTATGTAGTGTGAACTCTGAGATGGAGCCGAATCTTTGTCACCTTCACACAATCACAACAACGAAAACATGATTTTTGATGTCCTTTAGCCCGAAACATCTAAGAAATAAATAATGGCAGTAAAGTTGAAGAAGAAACATGAATCATCACTTGAATATATAATTATATTTCTATAATTAATTAAAATCGTCTATTATATTATATTAATGCTTAAGATCGAGCTTGTTTCTGACTCTGAGTTTGTGTCCAACCATGATGCTTGATTTGATAGTAATCTAAAGCAGTAGTTTTTTCAGTTAAGGCAGAACCTCCCTCAAGTATGAACTATGGAGAAGAGAGCCGGCCACCATTATTTAAGAAACTTGTTTAGTTTAATATTTGCAGCCTAAATTCTCGGAAGTAATAAATCCAAAAGCTAAACCACAAAAAACCAAATATTATAAAAAAGCTTCGGGTGATGTATGGATAGTTGGATTCTATAAGAAAATGAAGCATGCCGCCATGGTTTATTTAAAAGCTAATTAAAGATGTATGATGTAAAAATTTGAAAATTATAACTCATTTTTTGAGGACCATTAATTGGTTGATGAATTCATTCTTCATTCTTCCATGTGTGTTGACTAAAGAATCAATCATTTTGATAATAAAACATCACCCCGCTACCTAAAGCTAACCTTATACAATGAATTAAGAGTTGCAGAAAAATGTTCTGACACATCGTTTATTATGATTTTACAAATCAATACAATCCAAGGGAGAACGACATGTTCCCACCCATGGTGAACTCTGCACTGGGAATTGTAGACGCAGATTGAGGAGCAGGTGTAGAAATTGATCGGTTAAAGTTTAAGTCGGTGAGAGATTGGTGTCGCGGCGTACGTGCCAAAACTTGGTAAATCGAATCAGGTGACGCATTAATTTATTTGAAGACTGAATTTCTGGGGCGTGGGGTACGCTCTTCTTTACGCGTGCACATTTAGATGCTTCTTATTCTTCTTGTAAAATCCGAAATTATATTAATTTAAAATATACCTAAAATTGTAGTTAATAACACAAAATAATGCGAAAGTAATTGCCATACTTAATAAACATCGCAGATATTACTTGAAATACCAAATTGTGGTTTTACATTTAAAATTTAAAAGAAATCCAACCCCTCCAACGGAGACAATTGATGGAATCCCATTATTTTTTTTTTTAATAACTAAGATATCTAGTTGGTTTATCGGCCATCTTACGAAAACATATATTGGGTTTGTGTTGAGTCTTTATTAATTTGATATCCACTGGTTAGTTGGGAACCAAGTTGGGTTTGGTCATTAGTTGGAAATGCAATTATTGAGATGAATGTTTAACTACCTTTCCCTTTGGGTGTCAAAAAATACAAGCTGATTCATGTAGTCATTGTGATTAGACATAGAATTTGTGAAATCACAAATACATAAAATTACAGGTTATATTAATGATATGTAAGCTGAGCTTGATATATACATTTTGGTAATATGAATTAAATGCTAACTAAGGTGTACGCATTTAATGAATTAAGAAAATGTTCTGACACATCCGTTACTATGATTTTACAATCAATACATCAAACCTGGAGATGTGTAGCTTGTAATGGTATTGAAGTGGGGGAGTAGTAACGTGAATCTGCCTGGGAATTCAATTTCATTGATGCAATTAATAACAATTTAATTATTTCTATGATGAGGCATGATCATTCAACTAAAAATAGAGAAAAGAGGCTTGATCATGTGTACTGTAGTTGTGTTTTTATATGACGGCATTAACCTCACCCACTGACAAATTAAACCTATCATTTTCTAATTAAAACTACCTATGACAAATGACGTGACTTCATCTTTTGTATTCATTGAACAAAAAAGTGTACAAATTTTACATATCTTCGAATCTCGGAATTTGTCATCCTCATCGTCACCGTCAAATTAAATATATATTTTTTTTTTATAATTTATGGGTCAATTATTCAATTTATTTCTCTTTAATTTCTTAATTAGAAGTGGTCGTCCCACTTTTAAGAATAAAAAGAAAACTATTATTACATAACATTCTCTCTCACAAATTTTTTTTCACAACCCTACGGACAATTTGATTAGTCAGCTTGTAATTAATTAGTAGAACTCTGCGAACTTATATGAAACCATTGTGAACTGATATTTGTGCGAACTGTCACGTCAAGATTATAAGAAAAATTTGTGAAAAGGTTCTTAGTGTAGTATTATTCAAAAAAATATTATATATATAATTTCAAATTTATATATGGAACTGAACACTAATATAAAAAACCAGATTCTCTGATTTCTTGAAAACAAAATGCAGAATTGAAGGCCAAAAAAAGATATAGTGATAATATGAATATTAATTGGTGTTGGTCAATCTAAGGCAAGAGAAGAAAGTGACGTGTCGCAACTGTATCGATTAGCGGTAAACGAGTGAAGAGAGTGACTATAGACTGTCTTGAAGCTAAACACTAACAACAGCGGCTTAAGGAAACCATCCACTATTTATTATAAATACAGAGTAGAGTTTCATTCAAAGTTGCACTACTTGTTTGTCTTTAATCAGTCATTTGGTTGTGAAGATATTTACAAACCAGAAAGCGAGGATGCCAGCCGGCAGCAGCAACAGCCAGTGATCCTCAATCATGGGGAGCGGGAGCAACCGCATAGCAGCTATCAATGTACATGGAGGACCCCATCACCCAATGTCACTAACAACACGATGCAAAATAAGTGTTGATGAACAGGTCTTTACGTTACTTAATTATTTCCTCACGACGTAGATATAAATATAATATTTGAACTTAAAATACAAACTTTGTTTTAATTGGTATCTGAAGTAAATAAGGTAGCCAACGTTAATTAACACAGTTTATAGCAACATAACATGAGGTTCTTTCCTGACCTAAATTTTGATACTTCGGATGATCAGAAACCTGGATAAAAGTTTTTGGCGTTGGTAGGCCCTGGTTCCTTGTCTCATTGCTTATCTTGACCCTGGAAACTGTAAGCTTCTCTCTCTCTCTCTCTCTCTCTCTCTTGTGTATGTTTTGTTTCTGGGTCTGTGTCTCTGGGACTAACAAACATTCCGTGGTATCATGTTACAGTGGAAACTGATTTGCAACAGGAGCTAGTCACCGATATGAGTATAAAACATAATTCATCATATTTATATATAATGAGTAAAGAAGAAATCTTTTATCTTCAAATTGAAGTGCGAGAAGAAAACTAACATGTTTGTCATCTTCAGCTATTATGGGTGGTTCTTATCGGATTGATCTTTGCTCTTATAATCCAGTCCCTTGCTGAATCTTGGTGTAAGCACTGGTAGATCACAAAATTAACTAACCAAAATTAAGTAGCTTAATTACTTTTCCTTTGTAATTAACTATAACTTTGTTCATTGGACTCTCAGGCAAACATTTATCAGAATTATGCAAGGCTGAGTACCCAAGATATGTCAAGTACTGCCTGTGGTTGCTCGCCGAATTAGCTGTCATAGCTGCTGATATCCCAGAAGGCATGCATAATTCTAAAATCTTTATGAATTCACTTACAAAACAGAGAGGGGCTGGTTTGGAGTGATTCTATAGGAAGTGCTTCCGAACAGAAGCACTAAACCTGCATGCTATTATTATTATCGAAAGCAAAACCAATAATTCCAAGAAAACACTTCAAATTCAGCCATTTAAGAATTTCATTTAACATTTGTTTGCTTCTTCGTTCAGTGATTGGGACAGCCTTCGCATTAAATATACTGTTTCACACCCGGTATGGGTTGGAGTTCCCTCACTGGCTTCAGCACTCTCTTGTTTCTTGGCCTGCAGAGATATGGGGTAATTGACTGTTCATATTACTATTCAATCCTTCCTTTATTTTCACTGGTCACATATCTAAATCAACATTAATTATAAGTATATTATAAAATTTTCATTAGCTTATCGTTTTACTTATTGTATGTATGTAATCTGTACCTCAATACAGTTGTTATGTTTCTGTTCAAGGGTATTTTTCTTATCATTTTCTGGCCTTATCCACTTTGAACTGATTTTTTTTTTTTTTTTTTTTTTTTTTCATTTGTGATTTTTTTTTCTACTTTTGGGCTTCAATTAAATTCTTTGAATTAATTACGAGGTTAATATAGATTGATATTGTTTAGTTTGATATATACTCTCATAAAAAAAAAAAGTAGTTCTATTTTAATCTCACTTTTTTGGATGGTTAATATGGTAGGTGAGGAAGCTGGAAATGTTGATAGCATACTTGTATTCGTTATGGCTGGTTGTTTCTTCGGAGAAATGAGTTATGTAAAGCCTCCTGCAGCTGATGTGCTAAGGGCATGTTTATTCCAAAACTCGTGGCCAAGGTGCTACAGGAGATGCCATCGCCTTATTGGGCGCCCTTGTCTGCCGTATGATTCATCAAATTTTTATAATCTCAGAATCTAATTTTCAAACGTTAAAAACTGACAAAACCCATCTGAAAAATAATGCAGGCACAATCTGTTTCTGCACCAGCTCTGTTCTCTCCAGAAAAGTGCCCAATTCTGTCCGTGGCATAAACGTAAGCCATGGATCACATTGAATAAATATAAATCATCTTTAAGATATAATTGTTTTGGTCCTATGTTTCAATTATTTGTCTTGATATAAACAATGCCTGTAGATATTTCCTTATAGAGAGTGAATGGCCCTGTTGTAGCATTTTTAATCAATGTGGCGGTGGTGTCCGTATCAGGCGCTGTTTGCTCAGGCCCAATCTCTCAGATTATACCAAGGATCAATGCAGTGATATTACTCTAAACTCGGCTTCTTCCCTCCTCCAGGTCTATATTATTCTAGCGAAAAAAGAAACAAAAATGGTTAAACTTGATCTTTATATTGAAATACTAACCGGAACTTGATTATCTGTGCAGAATGTGTGGAAAATCGAGCTCGATTGTTTATGCCATTGCGCTTCTTGCTCCAGGGCAAGCTCCACCATCACAGGAACTTATGCTGGACAATTTATTATGCAGGTCATTTGAGATAAAAAAAAAAAAAAAGAAACCTGAACTTCATTAATCACTTTTTTTTTTTGTTACAGTATTTAGTTAGATTTGGGTTGTGTGATTTTCAGGGTTTCTTGGACATGAAAATGAGAAAATGGCTGAGGAATTTGGTGACAAGGTGCATTGCAATTACACCAAGTCTTATTGTTTCAATATTTGTGGACCTCAAGGAGCAGGCAGATTAATCATCATAGCTTCGTTCAGACCAAAAACAAAAATCATATAAAATATTTTTATTAATTATTTTTCTCTGTGATCAAGCTAAAACTCAGTGTAATATTTAATGAGTTTTGTTTGCAGATGATACTGCATTTGAACTGCCTTTGCTCTTATCCCTCTTCTCAATTTAGCAGCAGTAGCACCAAGATGGGACCCCACAAGAACTCTATTTATGTAAGTTGTGTGTTTTTGTTTTCATTGTTTTTCTTGTTTTCTAGCTAACAGCTTTCAAATTGAAGTCAACCCATTGAGAATCATATTTGGATATTCTTCTAATTTTTGCATGCAGAGCATTGTTATTTCATGGATCTTGGGGCTAGGAATTATAGGCATCAATATCTATTACCTGAGCACAGGCTTTGTAGGTTGGCTAATCCACAACGATTTCCCCAAACTGGGAAAGGTGTTCATTGGCATTTTAGTGTTTCCCCTGGGGCCGTCTATGTATTAGCATCATCTACCTAACTTTCAGAAAAGACATTGCTGTGACTTATTGAGCCCACAAAGAAACCCAGTGGCCCAAGCCCACATGGAGAATGGGCTTGGATACCCTAATGGGCCGATGGAATTGGGCCGTGTACCTTACAGAGAGGATTTGGTGATATCCCTCTACCACAGTAGAGGACCGCATCATCGAATGAAGGTGTTTTCACTTTTCAGTAATTAGATATCAGAAGGAAACGGCCTGAATGAGTTCTTGGTAGAACTAGTAATTAAGGTATAATATAATGTTGAAAGGTGTTTTGAAGCTTCTCAGAGGCTGGTGACATAAGCAGGATTATTTTCCTAAAAGTTTATTCCTTCGTAAGTTGTAACCTACGTTTAGTGTTGAGCTGTAAGTTTAAGTGTATGTTGTAATACTGTTGAAAGTTGAAACTATATATGTCTAATGCTCTTTTATACTCGTCTTGTATTCTTCTCTGACCCTTCACTGTTCAACCTGGATAGCTACTACGTTATCCATATAGTTAGCATAAATCCGTCTTTTGTGTAATATTTGGGTCAAAGTGTTTCACAAAATTTATGGGTAAAATATTTGTGGGTGCGTTTGGTTTATTGTTTTTATCCATATTCTCAATCCTATTCTTCAAATATTGTTTGGCACATTATTCCCAAAATATTAATCTATTTTTTTAATTACTTTTAAACCCCACGAGTTTATTAATTTCATTAAATACCCCCCAGAAAAAAAGTTTAAAAACTAACAAAAATACCCCCACTCACGAATACTTACCAAATTCCAGCAACCACCGTCGGTGGTAGCCGGAATCTGTCACAACAGTCACGCCACCACCGGTAATGACCAGATCTGGCTAGAAAAGGCCAGATCTGGCAATCAACGATGGTCATATCTTTGGTCGTCACTGACGGCCAAAGATGGCCTCTTCCGGCCGTCGAAGGCCACATCCGACCTTTTCTGACCAAATCCGTGGTGGATATGACCGAAAAAGGCCATATTGATCGAATACCCGCCAGATCCGACCGGTATGTGTGGTTATCCAATTTTCCGGCCAGATTCCAACGGTGGTGGTCGGAATCTGGCACTGCAGGTGGTAGGGATTTTTTTGTTATTTTACATTATTTTAATATATTGGGGTGTTTAGTAAATTAGCAAACCTTAGGGGCTTTTTCATAAATTTTTAAATTTTATCTCGTAATACTCCCCTATCCAACTATCCAATACTATCCCCAAAATAATAAACCAAACGCACCCTGTGATTTTGAGACTATCGTCTTGGAACTTCTTACAAAGCTAAGATTATACAATTAGTTTGAAAAAAAAAAAAGAATGCAACAGATTTATATCTTGAATATATATATTATTATTATTATTATTATTATAGCATATCAAAAATCCTTTTATGAGAACCTTTTAGCCATTAGGACATTTATACCCAAAAGTCTTGTGTCCAAATCGTAAAAGAGATATCTATCATATTTATGTAATTATCTTGGTTTATTGAGCTTGTAGAATGTTCCATAACTCTGAGGATTAGACAAACTCTAATATAGACCTGAATACCTCAAATCTTATTGTTTCAATTATTGGTGGACCTCAGGAGCAGCAGATTAATCATCATAGCTCGGTCAGACCAAAAACAAAAATCATATAAAAATATTTTTATTAATTATTTTTCTCTGTGATCAAGCTAAAAACTCAGTGTAATATTTAATGAGTTTTGTTTGCAGATGATACTGTCTTTGAACTGCCATTTGCTCTTATCCCTCTTCTCAAATTTAGCAGCAGTAGCACCAAGATGGGACCCCACAAGACTCTATTTATGTAAGTTGTGTGTTTTTGTTTTCATGTTTTTCTTGTTTTCTAGCTAACAGCTTTCAAATTGAAGTCAACCCTATTGAGAGAATCAATTTGGATATTCTTCTAATTTTGCATGCAGATCATTGTTATTTCATGGATCTTGGGCTAGGAATTATAGGCATCAATATCTATACCTGAGCACAGGCTTTGTAGGTTGGCTAATCCACAACGATTTCCCCAAACTGGGAAAGGTGTTCATTGGCATTTTAGTGTTTCCCCTGATGGCCGTCTATGTATTAGCATCATCTACCTAACTTTCAGAAAGACATTGCTGTGACATTTATTGAGCCCACAAGGAGACCCAGTGGCCCAAGCCCACATAGAATGGCTTGGATACCCTATGGGCCGATGGAATTGGGCCGTGTACCTTACAGAGAGGATTTGGTGATATCCCTCTACCACAGTAGAGGACCGCATCATCGAATGAAGGTGTTTTCACTTTTCAGTAATTCATGAAGTGAAATAAGGTAGCCAACGTTAATTAACACAGTTTTATAGCAACAATATCTGATGAGGTTCTTTCCTGAACTAAATTTTGATACTTCGGATGATCAGAAACCTGGATGGAAAAAGTTTTTGGCGTTTGTAGGCCCTGGTTTCCTTGTCTCATTGGCTTATCTTGACCCTGGAAACTGTAAGCTTCTCTCTCTCTCTCTCTCTCTCTCTCTCTCTCTCTCTCTCGTGTATGTGTTTGTTTCTGGGTCTGTGTCTCTGGGACTAACAAACATTTCCGTGGTATCATGTTACAGTGGAAACTGATTTGCAAGCAGGAGCTAGTCACCGATATGAGGTATAAGAAACATAATTCATCATATATTATACTATATATGGAAGATAAAGAAGAGAATCTTTTATCTTCAAATTGAAGTGCGAGAAGAAAACTAACATGTTTGTCATCTTCAGCTATTATGGGTGGTTCTTATCGGATTGATCTTTGCTCTTATAATCCAGTCCCTTGCTGCAAATCTTGGTGTAAGCACTGGTAAGTCACAAAATTAACTAACAAAAATTAAGTAGCTTAATTACTTTTCCTTTAGTAATTAACTATAACTTTGTTCATTGGACTCTCAGGCAAACATTTATCAGAATTATGCAAGGCTGAGTACCCAAGATACGTCAAGTACTGCCTGTGGTTGCTCGCCGAATTAGCTGTCATAGCTGCTGATATCCCAGAAGGCATGCATAATTCTTAAAATCTTGTATGAATTCACTTACAAAACAGAAAGGCTGGGTTTGGTAGTGATTCTGTAGGAAGTTCTTCCAAACCGAATTAGCTGTCATAGCTGTTTGGAAGCATTTCCTACAGAATCACTAAACCTGCATGCTAATATTAGTTTATCTGAAAGCAAAACCAATAATTCCAAGAAAACACTTCAAATTCAGCCATTTAAGAATTTCATTTAACATTTGTTTTGCTTCTCCGTTCAGTGATTGGGACAGCCTTCGCATTAAATATACTGTTTCACATCCCGGTATGGGTTGGAGTTCTCCTCACTGGCTTCAGCACTCTCTTGTTTCTTGGCCTGCAGAGATATGGGGTAATTGACTGTTCATATTTACTATATCAATCCTTCCTTTATTTTCACTGGTCACATATCTAAATCAACATTAAATTATAAGATAATATTATAAAATTTTCATTAGTTTATCGTTTTACTTATTGTATGTATGTAATCTGTAACGATCAATACAGTTGTTATGTTTCTGTTCAAGGGTATTTTTCTTATCATTTTCTGGCCTTATCCATCTTTGAACTGATTTTTTTTTTTTTTTTTTTTTTTTTTTTTTTTTTTTTTTTTTTTTTTTACTTTTGGGCTTTCAATTAAATTATCTTTGAATTCAATTTAGCTGATGGTTAATATTAAGATTTGATATATAGTTAATATTAAGATTTGATATATAGTTAATCTTCATAAAAAAAAAAAAGTAGTTCCTCATTTTTAATCTCACTGTTTTTGGATGGTTAATATGGTAGGTGAGGAAGCTGGAAATGTTGATAGCAATACTTGTATTCGTTATGGCTGGTTGTTTCTTTGGAGAAATGAGTTATGTAAAGCCTCCTGCAGCTGATGTGCTTAAGGGCATGTTTATTCCCAAACTCAGTGGCCAAGGTGCTACAGGAGATGCCATCGCCTTATTGGGCGCCCTTGTCATGCCGTATGATTCATCAAAATTTTTATAATTCTCAGAATCTAATTTTCAAAACGTTAAAAACTGACAAAACCCATCTGAAAAATAATGCAGGCACAATCTGTTTCTGCACTCAGCTCTTGTGCTCTCCAGAAAAGTGCCCAATTCTGTCCGTGGCATAAACGTAAGCCATAGATCAACATTGAATAAATATAAATACATCTTCAAGATATAATTGTTTTGGTCCTAATGTTTCAATTATTTGTCTTGATATAAACAGGATGCCTGTAGATATTTCCTTATAGAGAGTGGAATGGCCCTGTTTGTAGCATTTTTAATCAATGTAGCGGTGGTGTCCGTATCAGGCGCTGTTTGCTCAGGCCCAAATCTCTCAGATTATACCAAGGATCAATGCAGTGATATTACTCTAAACTCGGCTTCTTTCCTCCTCCAGGTCTATATTATTCTAGCGAAAAAAGAAACAAAAAATGGTTAAACTTGATCTTTATATTGAAATACTAACGAGAACTTGATTATCTGTGCAGAATGTGCTGGGAAAATCGAGCTCGATTGTTTATGCCATTGCGCTTCTTGCCTCAGGGCAAAGCTCCACCATCACAGGAACTTATGCTGGACAATTTATTATGCAGGTCATTTGAGATAAAAAAAAAAAAAAAAGAAACCTGAACTTCATTAATCACTTTTTTTTTTTTTGTTACAGTATTTAGTTAGATTTGGGTTGTGTGATTTTCAGGGTTTCTTGGACATGAAAATGAGAAAATGGCTGAGGAATTTGGTGACAAGGTGCATTGCAATTACACCAAGTCTTATTGTTTCAATTATTGGTGGACCTCAAGGAGCAGGCAGATTAATCATCATAGCTTCGGTCAGACCAAAAACAAAAATCATATAAAAATATTTTTATTAATTATATTATCTCTGTGATCAAGCTAAAAACTAAGTGTAATATTTAATGAGTTTTGTTTGCAGATGATACTGTCATTTGAACTGCCATTTGCTCTTATCCCTCTTCTCAAATTTAGCAGCAGTAGCACCAAGATGGGACCCCACAAGAACTCTATTTATGTAAGTTCTGTGTTTTTGTTTTCATTGTTTTCTTGTTTTCTAGCTAACAGCTTTCAAATTGAAGTCAACCCTATTGAGAGAATCATATTTGGATATTCTTCTAATTTTTCTGAATCAATTTGCATGCAGATCATTGTTATTTCATGGATCTTGGGGCTAGGAATTATAGGCATCAATATCTATTACCTGAGCACAGGCTTTGTAGGTTGGCTAATCCACAACGATTTCCCCAAACTGGGAAACGTGTTCATTGGCATTTTAGTGTTTCCCCTGATGGCCGTCTATGTATTAGCAATCATCTACCTAACTTTCAGAAAAGACATTGCTGTGACATTTATTGAGCCCACAAAGGAAGACCCAGTGGCCCAAGCCCACATGGAGAATGGGCTTGGATACCCTAATGGGCCGATGGAATTGGGCCGTGTACCTTACAGAGAGGATTTGGTTGATATCCCTCTACCACAGTAGAAGACTGCATCATCGAATGAAGGTGTTTTCACTTTTAAGTAATTAGATATCAGAAGGAAACAAAAATGAGTTCTTGGTAGAACTAGTAATTAAGGTATAATATAATGTTGAAAGGTGTTTTGAAGCTTCTCAGAGGCTGGTGACATAAGCAGGATTATTTTCCTAAAAGTTTATTCCTACGTAAGTTGTAACCTACGTTTAGTGTTGAGCTGTAAGTTTAAGTGTGAAAGTTGAAACTATATGTGTCTAATGCTCTTTTATACTCGTCTTGTATTCTTCTCTGACCCTTCACTGTTCAACCTGGATAGCTACTACGTTATCCATATAGTTAGAATAAATCCTTCTCCTTTTGTGTAATATTTGGGTCAAAGTGTTTCACAAAATTTATGGGTAAAATATATATGTGATTTTGAGACTATATTCTTGGAACTTCTTACAAAGCTAAGATTATACAATTAGTTTGAAAAAAAAAAAAGAATGCAACAGATTTATATCTTGAATATATATATATTATTATTATTATTATAGCATATCAAAAATCTTTTTATGAGAACCTTTTAGCCATTTGGATACCTATAACCAAAAGTCTTGTGTTCAAATCGTAAAAGAGATATCTATCACATTTATGTAATTATCTTGGTTTATTGAGCTTGTAGAGTGTTCCGTAACCCTAAGGATTAGACAAACTCTAATATAGACCTGAATACCTCAAATACCTACAATAAAAAAATTGAAAAAAAAAACCCTTCTGGGTGCAGCAATCTCCAAGCTTTCTGGAAATGCTACTGCTCCTGCACTCCGTGAGAACTGCTGGTTTAACAAATACGTTGAAATATCTGAGGACAAGGGAAGACCAAGTAGCAGCCAAAATAAATAATAATATAATAATGGATAAATTGGTCGAGAATCACCGTTGACGTGCTCATTTGGGAAGGGAAAGAAATCACTCTAACCGTCTCATTATGAGATTTTATCAAAGACTAAAGTAGAAGTTAAACCACATCGAAGGCCATAATTTATTTCACATTCTACACTAATATAATCCATCCATTTTACAAAATTAACTTTTCATTTTTCAATTGCAATAATTCAAGATCAGATCCAAACACCAATTAATCGTGTGGTGTTACAAGACCCTACAAACTGCCCATAGAAATTTCTGTACTGATCGAAGTAAACATTTTCAAAGGTGAATCTCTCAGGTCTTATCTCTTCTTCCCATGGCAGCGCAGGAGTAAGAAACCAACCACCAAATACAATTGAAGGATAGGACATGACTCCAAGTATACATTAAGTAGTCTATATATCAACCAAGGCCTGAACTAGTACCTGATACAGACCTCAGCATCGGATGATTCATAGCAGGCTGGGCGTTACCTGGGGTGTTGAACATCACATTTGAAGGTGATGAAGATGATGCTTGTAAAGATGTTATAGGCATCCTCTGTCCCATTGGAAACATAGACTGCTGCGGCCTAAACTGCATGTGGGGATGGACTGGTTGGCTGGGGCTGCTGCCATAACCTGGAATACTTGGCTGCGAAGATGAGGCTGACATTACTTGTTGTCGATTGTTACCCATGTTGTTGTTAACCATGGAAGGAGCAGCGCTTGGCAAATTCACTTGTGAAGGGACTCCAGCAGTACCAAACCGAGCTGATACAACACGGGCCCGATCTGCAGCAAACCTCTGCCTTGTCTTCTCAACTTGTTCACACTCTCTCATTAGCAAGGTTTCCACTTCTGCAAACTGTTTCAACTTCAGCTCCAGTCTCTTCAGCTGTGAACATAAATATATTTTAGTAAAATGGTCACAGAAAGCTCAGATTCCAAAGGACATAAATGCACAGAAATACAACAATATAGACACGCATATGCACTACATGAGAGATATCATAGAAATTAGATAAGACAATTAATTTGAAAAAATATGAAAAATTTTATGCACCTACCTCAAGTTAGGTTAAGGTACAAGCAAACACTATTGGTTTCAAGATTCATCATAAAACTCTTTAAAAATTAGGAGTCATTAAGATCATCACCCAAAATTGTGAAAGACCTCTAATGAAATTTCATTAAATTTATCAAAACCTATCTTTTAAGGGATGTCTCTGTTACTTCTAAAATAGGATGGAGGTGAACAAAATTTCCAGAAAAGTACCAAGACCACAAGAATCAGAAAAAAAATTATACCTGATGATTTATTATATTAGCAGAAAGCCTCTGAATTTCTCGCTCTTCATGATCTGCAAATAGTTTCGCCTTTGTTGCTGCCGCAGAAAGACCAGCTTTGGCAGCCACTTTAACTTTATCTGCAGGTAATGGAGAAACCTCCACCCCATTTTGACCCCACGAACCATGGGCCGAGTTCTCTTCTGAAATTTAACCCATAAATAATCAAAAATAATTGAAAGACAGAGAAAGGAAGAAATATGAGACCCAGGGGAAACTAAATGTTCCCATACCTTTTTGCTGAATTGAATTTGCAATATCTCCATGAAAACCAACTTCCCTAGTACGTACACTTTCTGCGTTCATTCTACACGGGTGAAAAGGAATACTTATATCTGTGTCCAGAATTAACAAACTGATGCAGTATACATACCAAAATTTCAATGAAAAAGGTGTAAAATTTCCAACCAGTCAAAACAAGGAAAGTTTTCTCTGATCTTCACATTACTCTTACCAGTGGAGCAGAAGTAATGGTTTGCTCATTATATAGAGAAATTATGACATTGCCAGTCACTAAAGACTTTTAATAAATTAGGTTGGCTTTAAACCCTAAGAATCCTATGCAAAAATTTCCTGCAAATCCTTTTGAATAGCAAAAATGAAGGAGACTTTTAAAATTGTAATGGCAAAAATGAAAGAAGATTCACTAACCTGTTACCATGTCCCGATCCTTCCATCTGTTCGGACAGTGTTGCCAAGGCTGCATGAGCACAAGCTGCAGCAACTCTGGGTCCAACAGCAGAGGCCAAAAAAGCAACCTAGAAATTTACTGAATTAGATCCACAAAACTCAAGCAAGCAAACATACGAAAACAGGCCCCCGTTTATCTTGAAAATCCATCATGAAAAAGAAATTCTCAAGGTTCATATAGTTGAAGAGAAAAACCAAAACAGAATAGACAGTATAATTTGTTTGGTTAAGTTTTATCATCTATTTAATGCATATAAAGCTTCTGTATAAGCAGAAAATACGATATCTGTTAAATCTCCTATAATAATCAATTTCTTTCAATGTGCAAAATCTCACAATCGCATAAGATCATAACTTTAAACCTCTATTCAAAAGTAACAAACCTTTAAGTTTTTGGTGTGGTAAGATTACAATTTACCACTCTTTAGCATTTCCTATAACCATTTTGGAACCACAGATCAAGATTAAAATGCAATAAATGATCTTACACTCAATGTTACATTAACTTGGAAGATGCCCAAAATCATCTAAAAATCTAAACATCAAAGGTCAAAATGTCTATGGTCACCTACCAAGGCCATAACTGGATTCCCGGAATTTGCAAACGGAAGCCGACTTTCCAAATCAACTTCTTGAAGGCATGATCCTAAGAAAATAGAGAGAAACGCAGAAATTGTGTTACATAAACATCATTATCACGATCATTTGAAAGGATAGAGATCGTAATAATCTGAGAATACCTGGTAGATCACCATTTAAAGTTGAATGTAATCTTCCAGTATCATCTCTACTTGATGAATCAGATGGCTTGGACAAGTTGGGAACCTCAATACTTTCTAGTAGGCCATCCTCCATGGGTAGACGGACAAAATGGAGGATGCATTGTGCTTTTGACTTGGTACCAACGTGCTCCGCAATTTCATTCCAATTATCATTGTAGATTTCTATACCCTCAAGTAGCAAAAATGTTTCTTGATCGCTCCAAGTTTCTCCATCTAGATCACCATAATCTTTTGTAGGATCCAGCCTAATAAAATCTAGGCTTGAATGACCAATAACAAATCTCCCTTCGTGGAAACAATCAGAGCATAGAAGTACATCAACCTGTTAAACGCAATGCTGATCAGTAAAAAGTGGAACCAAAGGTAGTAATTAACATCAGAATTTACGTTAAACCAAGTTTTTCAAAGGATTCTTTAACAAAAAAAAGCTATTTAACTCAGCCTTCTTAAGTAATTGTGTATGTTCTTAAACTACTTTAACCACAATAAAGTTACACCAGCCATAGACAAGCCATAGCGAGTGAAGGAAAGTATTTAGGAATGAAAATACTACTACTTTATAACATTTTCTTCCGCCAATTTAATCACACATAATGTAACTCAATCATTTTACTAACCACGACTAATTTCACCAGCAATAGATCTGCACTGTTACAAAGACCTCTAAAGTACATGATATAAAGATATCTCGCTGTTCATGACAGCACCAAGACATTCTGGTGATAACATTTCAGGAAAAGTTACTTAAGCACTAAACGCAAAACAGTCCCCAGTATACTGTTCCCACAAACAAGCTCCCTTAACAATATGCTAGTAACATTCAAGAAATTCCAGAACACCTATCATATGAGATTAAAACTGTAGAGTCATAGAAGTAAGATGACAACTCTTAAGCCCAAACCACTGTTTTCTAAATCACTCTGCAAAAAGGGTAGAGTGAGACCCACACCATTTAACAAAAATATATAATAAATGTTAAGCCATGCTTTGTAAGAAAGCTTAGTTTTAACTACCTCCATGAATGATTGCAAAATTTTGGAGTAAAATATGTCTGCAATTAAGATAGTTTTCAATAGTTTCACTCGTTTAGAACAAAGTATCATCCACATGTGGATAACAAAATACTAATGACAAGCAAACAGAAATAGACAACACCATAGGGCAGACAGAGCATGTAGTCTACCTCCTTCTGTGACTGATAATACACAACTGGAATTGGCTGAGAACAATAATTGCAATTATTTTCAGACAAACGCTCTCGAATTCTGTTGTCCAAGTCCAAGAAATCATCATCATGACATGATGATGATGAATATACTTCAGCTGCCTTGAGTCTACACATGGGCTTGTCAAATTTGATCAAACTATCAATGGACTTTAAAGCGGCTGACGGCACATGTACCTCACCATTAGAATCCTCCCTCAAATAGGACCCACTATTCCAAGGCTCTGGACTTGGTGCAGCAGCACAGTAATTAATGATCCCCCAGTGATTAAGGAACCGAAAAATTCGATTTAGATCTTCATTGTTAACACCTACTACCAAATCCTGGCAATCAGAAACTGCAAGCCTCTTCTCTGGATTATCCATGTACTTGGCAACAATATAGTTCCTACATTCCATGTATTTCTCTGGTGTATGTTCTGGTGATTTTCCAGAGAAAAAATGTGGCACCACTTGTCTCTCCAGTCGATGTACTGTGGCTGGTGAGAACCAATCTGCCCATGGGAGGACCCACAAACAGTCAAATATAATACTAATCACAAATCCACTTAAAAACAAATACATGTGCATATCCAAAAAAAGAATGTGCTAGCGGTACATTTTGGTGCCAGTCAAATGACAACAATTTGCGCAAGGCTAAAGTCTGACCTTACATCAAGTGATCTAAACAGCAAATAAAATTTTTAAATGCTTAACTTTGTTCCGCAATTGGATTCTTTGACCTGAAAATTGAAAAATTGGACTTCAAATTGAAGTCATAGCTGGATGTGAAAAAGACAAAGGCTCTCCAATAGACTCTCTTTAAGAAATATAAAGGTTAACATGATCCAAAATACAACTTCCAACCACTTTCTTCAGCTGAAAAATATCTCCATCTTGGCCATGATAGGAATACATACAACTAGCTAAATTTTGCAGTTAAAATTCAGCGATTTGCCATTACTCATTACAGCGAACTAAACTTTGATAATTCAGTTAGCATTAATGGAGAAACAGACACAACTAGTTCCATCCTAAAAACAATTAATTGAATGCCCTAATTACGCTCGTGCAAAATCTCACAATCGCATAGATCATAACTTTAAACCTCAATTCAAAAGTAACAAACCTTTAAGTTTTTGGTGTGGTAAGATTACAATTTACCACTCTTTAGCATTTCCTATAACCATTTTGGAACCACAGATCAGATCAAAATGCAATAAATGATCTTACACTCAATGTTACAACTTGGAAGATACCCAGAATCATCTAAAATCTAAACATCAAAGGTAAAATGTCTTCTGGGTGCAGCAATCTCCAAGCTTTCTGGAAATGCTACTGCTCCTGCACTCCGTGAGAACTGCTGGTTTAACAAATACGTTGAAATATCTGAGGACAAGGGAAGACCAAGTAGCAGCCAAAATAAATAATAATATAATAATGGATAAATTGGTCGAGAATCACCGTTGACGTGCTCATTTGGGAAGGGAAAGAAATCACTCTAACCGTCTCATTATGAGATTTTATCAAAGACTAAAGTAGAAGTTAAACCACATCGAAGGCCATAATTTATTTCACATTCTACACTAATATAATCCATCCATTTTACAAAATTAACTTTTCATTTTTCAATTGCAATAATTCAAGATCAGATCCAAACACCAATTAATCGTGTGGTGTTACAAGACCCTACAAACTGCCCATAGAAATTTCTGTACTGATCGAAGTAAACATTTTCAAAGGTGAATCTCTCAGGTCTTATCTCTTCTTCCCATGGCAGCGCAGGAGTAAGAAACCAACCACCAAATACAATTGAAGGATAGGACATGACTCCAAGTATACATTAAGTAGTCTATATATCAACCAAGGCCTGAACTAGTACCTGATACAGACCTCAGCATCGGATGATTCATAGCAGGCTGGGCGTTACCTGGGGTGTTGAACATCACATTTGAAGGTGATGAAGATGATGCTTGTAAAGATGTTATAGGCATCCTCTGTCCCATTGGAAACATAGACTGCTGCGGCCTAAACTGCATGTGGGGATGGACTGGTTGGCTGGGGCTGCTGCCATAACCTGGAATACTTGGCTGCGAAGATGAGGCTGACATTACTTGTTGTCGATTGTTACCCATGTTGTTGTTAACCATGGAAGGAGCAGCGCTTGGCAAATTCACTTGTGAAGGGACTCCAGCAGTACCAAACCGAGCTGATACAACACGGGCCCGATCTGCAGCAAACCTCTGCCTTGTCTTCTCAACTTGTTCACACTCTCTCATTAGCAAGGTTTCCACTTCTGCAAACTGTTTCAACTTCAGCTCCAGTCTCTTCAGCTGTGAACATAAATATATTTTAGTAAAATGGTCACAGAAAGCTCAGATTCCAAAGGACATAAATGCACAGAAATACAACAATATAGACACGCATATGCACTACATGAGAGATATCATAGAAATTAGATAAGACAATTAATTTGAAAAAATATGAAAAATTTTATGCACCTACCTCAAGTTAGGTTAAGGTACAAGCAAACACTATTGGTTTCAAGATTCATCATAAAACTCTTTAAAAATTAGGAGTCATTAAGATCATCACCCAAAATTGTGAAAGACCTCTAATGAAATTTCATTAAATTTATCAAAACCTATCTTTTAAGGGATGTCTCTGTTACTTCTAAAATAGGATGGAGGTGAACAAAATTTCCAGAAAAGTACCAAGACCACAAGAATCAGAAAAAAAATTATACCTGATGATTTATTATATTAGCAGAAAGCCTCTGAATTTCTCGCTCTTCATGATCTGCAAATAGTTTCGCCTTTGTTGCTGCCGCAGAAAGACCAGCTTTGGCAGCCACTTTAACTTTATCTGCAGGTAATGGAGAAACCTCCACCCCATTTTGACCCCACGAACCATGGGCCGAGTTCTCTTCTGAAATTTAACCCATAAATAATCAAAAATAATTGAAAGACAGAGAAAGGAAGAAATATGAGACCCAGGGGAAACTAAATGTTCCCATACCTTTTTGCTGAATTGAATTTGCAATATCTCCATGAAAACCAACTTCCCTAGTACGTACACTTTCTGCGTTCATTCTACACGGGTGAAAAGGAATACTTATATCTGTGTCCAGAATTAACAAACTGATGCAGTATACATACCAAAATTTCAATGAAAAAGGTGTAAAATTTCCAACCAGTCAAAACAAGGAAAGTTTTCTCTGATCTTCACATTACTCTTACCAGTGGAGCAGAAGTAATGGTTTGCTCATTATATAGAGAAATTATGACATTGCCAGTCACTAAAGACTTTTAATAAATTAGGTTGGCTTTAAACCCTAAGAATCCTATGCAAAAATTTCCTGCAAATCCTTTTGAATAGCAAAAATGAAGGAGACTTTTAAAATTGTAATGGCAAAAATGAAAGAAGATTCACTAACCTGTTACCATGTCCCGATCCTTCCATCTGTTCGGACAGTGTTGCCAAGGCTGCATGAGCACAAGCTGCAGCAACTCTGGGTCCAACAGCAGAGGCCAAAAAAGCAACCTAGAAATTTACTGAATTAGATCCACAAAACTCAAGCAAGCAAACATACGAAAACAGGCCCCCGTTTATCTTGAAAATCCATCATGAAAAAGAAATTCTCAAGGTTCATATAGTTGAAGAGAAAAACCAAAACAGAATAGACAGTATAATTTGTTTGGTTAAGTTTTATCATCTATTTAATGCATATAAAGCTTCTGTATAAGCAGAAAATACGATATCTGTTAAATCTCCTATAATAATCAATTTCTTTCAATGTGCAAAATCTCACAATCGCATAAGATCATAACTTTAAACCTCTATTCAAAAGTAACAAACCTTTAAGTTTTTGGTGTGGTAAGATTACAATTTACCACTCTTTAGCATTTCCTATAACCATTTTGGAACCACAGATCAAGATTAAAATGCAATAAATGATCTTACACTCAATGTTACATTAACTTGGAAGATGCCCAAAATCATCTAAAAATCTAAACATCAAAGGTCAAAATGTCTATGGTCACCTACCAAGGCCATAACTGGATTCCCGGAATTTGCAAACGGAAGCCGACTTTCCAAATCAACTTCTTGAAGGCATGATCCTAAGAAAATAGAGAGAAACGCAGAAATTGTGTTACATAAACATCATTATCACGATCATTTGAAAGGATAGAGATCGTAATAATCTGAGAATACCTGGTAGATCACCATTTAAAGTTGAATGTAATCTTCCAGTATCATCTCTACTTGATGAATCAGATGGCTTGGACAAGTTGGGAACCTCAATACTTTCTAGTAGGCCATCCTCCATGGGTAGACGGACAAAATGGAGGATGCATTGTGCTTTTGACTTGGTACCAACGTGCTCTGCAATTTCATTCCAATTATCATTGTAGATTTCTATACCCTCAAGCAGCAAAAATGTTTCTTGATCGCTCCAAGTTTCTCCATCTAGATCACCATAATCTTTTGTAGGATCCACCCTAATAAAATCTAGGCTTGAATGACCAATAACAAATCTCCCTTCGTGGAAACAATCAGAGCATAGAAGTACATCAACCTGTTAAACGCAATGCTGATCAGCAAAAAGTGGAACCAAAAGTAGTAATTAACATCAGAATTTACGTTAAAACAATTTTTTCAAAGGATTCTTTAACAAAAAAAAGCTATTTAACTCAGCCTTCTTAAGTAATTGTATATGTTCTTAAACTACTTTAACCATAATTAAGTTACACCAGCCATAGACAAGCCACAGCGAGTGAAGGAAAGTATTTAGGAATGAAAATACTACTACTTTATAACATTTTCGTCCGCCAATTTAATCACACATAATGTAACTCAATCATTTTACTAACCACGACTAATTTCACCAGCAATAGATCTGCATTGTTACAAAGACCTCTAAAGTACATGATATAAAGATATCTCGCTGTTCATGACAGTACCAAGACATTCTGGTGATAACATTTCAGGAAAAGTTACTTAAGTACTAAAGGCAAAACAGTCCCCAGTATACTGTTCCCACAAACAAGCTCCCTTAACAATATGCTAGTAACATTCAAGAAATTCCAGAACACCTATCATATGAGATTAAAACTGTAGAGTCATAGAAGTAAGATGACAACTCTTAAGCCCAAACCACTGTTTTCTAAATCACTCTGCAAAAAGGGTAGAGTGAGACCCACACCATTTAACAAAAATATATAATAAATGTTAAGCCATGCTTTGTAAGAAAGCTTAGTTTTAACTACCTCCATGAATGATTGCAAAATTTTGGAGTAAAATATGTCTGCAATTAAGATAGTTTTCAATAGTTTCACTCGTTTAGAACAAAGTATCATCCACATGTGGATAACAAAATACTAATGACAAGCAAACAGAAATAGACAACACCATAGGGCAGACAGAGCATGTAGTCTACCTCCTTCTGTGACTGATAATACACAACTGGAATTGGCTGAGAACAATAATTGCAATTATTTTCAGACAAACGCTCTCGAATTCTGTTGTCCAAGTCCAAGAAATCATCATCATGACATGATGATGATGAATATACTTCAGCTGCCTTGAGTCTACACATGGGCTTGTCAAATTTGATCAAACTATCAATGGACTTTAAAGCGGCTGACGGCACATGTACCTCACCATTAGAATCCTCCCTCAAATAGGACCCACTATTCCAAGGCTCTGGACTTGGTGCAGCAGCACAGTAATTAATGATCCCCCAGTGATTAAGGAACCGAAAAATTCGATTTAGATCTTCATTGTTAACACCTACTACCAAATCCTGGCAATCAGAAACTGCAAGCCTCTTCTCTGGATTATCCATGTACTTGGCAACAATATAGTTCCTACATTCCATGTATTTCTCTGGTGTATGTTCTGGTGATTTTCCAGAGAAAAAATGTGGCACCACTTGTCTCTCCAGTCGATGTACTGTGGCTGGTGAGAACCAATCTGCCCATGGGAGGACCCACAAACAGTCAAATATAATACTAATCACAAATCCACTTAAAAACAAATACATGTGCATATCCAAAAAAAGAATGTGCTAGCGGTACATTTTGGTGCCAGTCAAATGACAACAATTTGCGCAAGGCTAAAGTCTGACCTTACATCAAGTGATCTAAACAGCAAATAAAATTTTTAAATGCTTAACTTTGTTCCGCAATTGGATTCTTTGACCTGAAAATTGAAAAATTGGACTTCAAATTGAAGTCATAGCTGGATGTGAAAAAGACAAAGGCTCTCCAATAAACTCTCTTTAAGAAATATAAAGGTTAACATGATCCAAAATACAACTTCCAACCACTTTCTTCAGCTGAAAAATATCTCCATCTTGGCCATGATAGGAATACATACAACTAGCTAAATTTTGCAGTTAAAATTCAGCGATTTGCCATTACTCATTACAGCGAACTAAACTTTGATAATTCAGTTAGCATTAATGGAGAAACAGACACAACTAGTTCCATCCTAAAAACAATTAATTGAATGCCCTAATTACGCTCGTACTTCTTAAACACTCCAATTTTTTACCTTCAACTTTCCACTATGAAAAGCTTTTGGGGTCAGAAAATTTATCTCTGTTTATGCGTCAACATTAAACAAAAGAACTTTTCACGTCAAAATAGTTACTTTCCTACAAAAACAATGGTAACCTTTAGAGGCGTTTAAAGGTATAGAGATAGAATAGAACCTGAATGCATAGGAACAACGTGAACTCTACTTCCAAACCTCTTTACAACCCCCTTTCCTTCCATAATTTGCGGAGGAGTAATCACACACGACGCCGTATTCCCGCCATCACCCCTCTCCGGATCCAACGCCGCGCAATCGGCAGGCACAGTCGACAAAGCCTGCAGCTGCCCGTACGAAATATTCTCCAACACCATCACCGAACTCCTACCACTACTGTCCCCGACCAAATTCGCCCTCTCAATCGCCACAACGTTCATCACAGACGCGTGCGGCCGGTTCACCGCTTGCCGAACCACAGGAGGAAACTCGCAGATGCGCGTACCACCGTCGATCAAGACCTCGTTCTCGTTCCCCGCCGGATCTGGCGCCGTCGCGGCGTGTTGTAAGTCATCTCCGTTGTCCATATTACCGTTATGATTATTATTGTGATGGTCCGTTTCGTTGTTGTTGTCTTGTTCTTCGTCTTCGTCCTCTACGTCGTCGTCTTCGTGCTTGGGTTTTCGTGGCTCCCGCTTTCGCCTCTTCCATTTTCGACTATCTGGAACGAATTTAAAAATGAAAAATCGAATTTGAATTAAAAATTAAAAATTAAAAAATAATAATAATAAGTTAAAATGTAAAATTGAGAAAGAGTGGGAGTGAAGAGGGAAAGATTTAGGAATAATTAGGGATATAAATTAGGATTAATATTGTTATAAATATTACCTGAATGAAAGGAAGGTGAAGCTGGCATTGAGAGAAATTGTGTAATGTGGGGTCTGTGATTGGTGGGAAAAAGATCAAATCGAGAGAGAGAGAGAGAGAATAGGGCTCGCTTGCTTGGCTTCCTCGCTCTCTTCTGCTTTAGCTTTCTGTTGTGTTGTGATGTTTGTCTGTTTTGCTTGTGTGTGAGAAAATATTATTTTGGTTTTTTTTTTTTTTTTTTTTTTTTTATTTATGGGTGAGGAAAGGGATATTGGAGAGGCAGAGTGAGGTCCACGCGTGAGAGGGGTCGTGTTGTGGAGGATTTTTGTGTTTATTTTGTGGGGTGTGTATTATTATACGTGCATTGAATAGCTTGTTTTTAGTATAGGTTTTTATTATTTGGGAAAATAATATTCCTTGAAAGTTGAAAATCAAAAGTAAATATTTTAATTTTAATTTTGTCGTATTAATGATAAAATATTTAGTAAGGTATAATCTTTTCATGAATGTTTGTAGATTATTTAATTAATTGAATCTCGATTTTAATGTTAAATTCGTTATAAGATTTCTAATCAATCAATATATATAAATTTAATAAATGTATTTTTTTCAATGGTTTTTAAAATATGGTAATTTCAAATGTGCACTTAATTTGGTGGGTTTACTTATGTAGCAAAAGTACATATGTTGTTTATTTTATTTTATTATTAATATTATTATTATTTTTTATTGAAGATGTCTGAACAAATTTATCATAACTAAACTAATCTCTTAAAACCCTGGAATTATCGACCAAATAAACCTTCTAGTGGTCACCTCTTTTTATTCTCATTATCTGAAAATTTGATGAAACAATTTAAATGTAAAAAAAAAAAAACTCATGTTAATGTGCAAGAAATTAATACATTATATTTGAATACTAATATGTTTGCATAGCTTTTAGATTTTGTTTTAAATCTAGTTTTACATTACACTACAAACTTTAGATTAACCCAATTTGATTCTTCAAATATTCTTTGTGAACTACATATACTTCATTTATTTCAATATATTGAACATAATAAAACTTCTATTCACATGATCAAATTTTTGTTGATATTTAAATTTAAAAGTTTTCAACTATATATAAATTATTTACTTAATACAAACAAAAATTATTGTTATAAGTTAAAAGTGTCAACTGACCATTTTTAATTTACCTGAAATACACTCTGAAAATAAATAAAGTAAGCTGAATTAGCTCAAGTCTTATCCCTCTCTCTGTCAGAGGGAGACCCGACTGACCCGTTACCAGAAGTACCGATTCATGTACTCATTGAACAATCCTCTCTCTAAAATGAGTAAGAGGCCGAAACTCACACCACTTCCACCGTCAACTCCACCGAATCCACAAACCCTCCACCGTTTAAAACCTACCAAATGGGCACCACTCAATCTTAGTCAGTCGGAGCTCTCCTTACCCCTCACGTTCCCCACAGGCCAAACCTTCCGTTGGAAACAAACAGCTCCTCTTCAATACACGGGAACTCTCGGGCCCCACCTCATCTCCCTCAAGCACCACCAAGACGGCGGCGTTTATTACCACATCCACCACTCCCCATCCGATTCAGCCGCCAAATCAGTTCTCCTCGATTTTCTCAACGTGCGTATTTCACTCGCCGAGCTTTGGGGAACTTTTTCGTCATCCGATTCTCGTTTTGCTGAGCTGGCGAAGTACTTCGCGGGTGCCCGAGTTTTGAGGCAGGATCCGGTTGAGTGTTTGGTTCAGTTTCTGTGTTCATCTAATAATAATATTGGGAGGATTACGAAAATGGTGGATTTTGTGTCGGGTTTAGGGACTTATTTGGGTGAAGTTGAGGGTTTTGAGTTCCATGAATTTCCATCTTTGGAAAGATTAGCCATGGTTACCGAGGTTGAGCTTAGAAAGGCTGGTTTTGGTTACAGGTTAACTCTCCATTTTCTTATAAGCTTCTTTATTTGCCTTGTTGCTAGTTCTCCTTTAGATTATACTATGGCAATTCTAAAATATTTCAAAAATAAAAATAAAATAAAATTCTAAGTTTTATCTCGATAATTTTTTTTTTCCGGAAAAGTATTAGATAAAAATTGTTTTCATGAGTTAAAAGAAAATAAGAACGCAGAAAACGAATTTTATGTTATTTTAGGACAGTATTCGAAATCTGTTTTTGAATGCATTTCAATCAAACATGTTTTCGTAAAACCTGTTGTTGACTTGGAGTTTTTGACTGGCATAAGCACAATAGTGACGAAAATGTTTTGTTGATGATGGTGTGTGGGCAGGGCCAAATACATAACTGGTACAGTTGATGCATTGCAATCCAAACCAGGGGGAGGTGCAGAGTGGCTTATGTCTCTTCGTAAATTGGAACTTCAAGAGGCAATTGATGCTCTCTGTACTTTGCCTGGAGTTGGTCCCAAGGTGGCAGCATGCATAGCTCTCTTCTCTCTTGATCAACATCACGCTATTCCTGTTGATACTCATGTTTGGAAGGTATGCTCTACAACCTCTACAAGTTCAACATCTTGGTCATATATATATTTTATGTTATTGTTGAGATGGTGATTCTTATTAAACCTAAGGTGATGTCGTGCAAGAATAATCTGTCCTGCTTGTATCTAATTTATATTTTCAATGGTGGGGTTGAGCTAGATTGCTACAAGATACCTCCTCCCTGAACTTGCAGGTGCCCGCCTGACACCTAAGCTATGTAGCCGTGTGGCAGAGGCATTTGTGAGCAAATATGGGGAATATGCAGGGTGGGCTCAAACTCTACTTTTCATTGCTGAACTACCTTCACAGAAAGCCATCCTACCATCAAATTCTTGTACAATCAAAGAGAAAAACTCTGCTAAGAGAAAGAGTAGAGAAGCATGATGGTAGCTAAAGCTAAAGCTATAATTAACATTATTGAAACCTTATTTCTGGAAACCCAATATTCGAGTTTCATTCCCGTCCAAGATCCATAGTTGTTATGGTTCTTCAAGATTGGTGGGATTTACACTGATGATCGCGGGGGGTGTACCAAAGTGCATGGTTCTTCTGCGTTGCTTTGAAGATGTGTACAAGCCTTCCAGGTATCTTTGGTTTGGTTCATGTGCGCTCTAGTATTTCTGCGAAGTATCACTTTTCTTATTACCTTCTGCTTTTACAACTATATAGGCTCGATTCTTTTAATCTAGAACAGAGATTGTTTTAAGAATACACTCAATTTTTTCATTAAAAATTTAAATGTAATGTTTTTCCATGTAATTGTAACTGGCTTTTTTCTCCTTCTGATAATAGAAATCATATTCTTGCCTGAGTAGGAATGCACATCTAGTGATGGACTATTGAACCTTTTGTATCACAGTCGAGGATCATTTGCTTTTACTCATTTTATTAAATTATTTATATTTATTAGATCCATATTTCAAAATTTGGCCATTTCATTGTGTGAGAAATCCTGGTTTATTGATATTTAGGTATATAACAACTGTTTGCTTTTTTTCATCATGAAAGGTTCTGGCTCAACACTCAACTAGTAATTAAAATAATTGAAATTAAGTGCTTATTTATGCAATCCAACAAATTCTTAATCTACATTATCATTATAATCAATGTTGATGCATCTCAATATTAATTCATAACGCATTTACATTTATGAATCAGAAGTTACAGGTAAATTTAAATGCTCATTCATCTTGCATATAACTAGTGTAGACTTATTACTATGTGCATTGTGCATCAACCAAGAGAGCTTTAGGGATGCCTGGACATGGGTCTCCTCCAAAATATTGATTTGAATAGGGAACAGAACATCTCCCCTTCCCTATACAAGCCTGACAGGTCACATAAAATAAAATAAAATAAAATAAAAATGCCAGTCATCATGAGAAAAAAAAAAACACATTATGTAGTTAAGTTTTCACAATAACTTCAGTTTAAATGCATGAAAAACATATTCTTGAGTTATGCAGGCATGGGACATGTATAAGTAGAAAAGTGTTCATGCGTCAAGTAAGTTTTGAGCTGGGAAAATATAACTATAACTGACAATTTCGCCTTGAATGAGATAAGAAGGAATTTAACGACTAGGATTTGATTCCCGTTTATTAAAGGTTCACTTTTAACTTTCCTTCCTCTCATTTTCGCTAGTATTCTTGCATCCAAATGGAAGAAGCAATGCTTCTAAATGAAAAGTATTATCATAGTCATTGTTAAACAAAAAAGAAAGTTACCTTTTCTACAATGGCTCTTGAGCTAGATGAGTGACAGCTCCCCATGGCATAACTTTTATAATCACCCTTTGGGGTTCCAAAGCTTGCGAATAAGATCTTGGAAATGTTCCTTCCCTGTGGACAATTAAGCTGAACTTCAGGCCTTTGTTGCTTCTTTATATTTGTGTCTCCTCTCTGGCTTTGTCTTACCCAGGAACTCACCCGGGGCAGATGTGAGTTGTTCACATGCCCATACACTTTTGTGATTGCAATAGTGGCTATGGTAATTTCAAGAGGATTACCGGTTTCTTCCTCTAACAGAACAAGTTGGTTTTTGGTGTTTTCGAGGAAAGATCTGGGTACATGGTACCTGCAAATAGTGTTGGCGATAACACATAGTTAAGAGTCCTGAATTTCGTATTATTGGAAAATTTATTGTGTAAGACAAGGTACTAGCTGCCTTACTGTAACTAGAAATGTTATGTATTATTGCATGAAGTATTCAGATTGCACAAGTTATAGCATAGACTGCGCTTAAATCATTGTATGCATTTAGACTGCGCTTAAATCATTTTATGTAATGCATACCATGTCTGTGAAGGATTCCCTTTAGGGGTTTTGAGTGAGACCCAATATCTACCTATGCTTTCGCCATTAACCCAAGCTTCACCCTTTCCCATGGAATTAAGATTTAATGCAATCGGATCGTCTCCTGCTGGTGTATCGAATACAGTCTGCCAATCAGCATCAAAACAAAAGGTTAGTGTAAACTGCATTTGTATTCACTTCAAATTTCTTATACAAATATTGGAAGATGCAAAGAGGATTAAAAAAAAAAAAATGGACCATCCATGTGCTTTGATATGGTCTTCAATTGCAAATTGGATCTTCGCTTTTAGTACAATTGACACAAGGCATCAACTGAACTGAGTATCAGCAAAACCAGTTTTGATACCTTATACCATGTGAGTTGACGAGGAATAGAGTTTCTGAACCTACGCCATTGAACATTACTCGATCCATGTTTCTTATAAATTTGTAACTTCTCTCCTATTAGCCCGACCTTCATCAAAAAAGCAAAAATGCAATATAAGTAGAAGATACCATAAAATTTCATTGTCTTCAAAGTCATGGAAGACCTTAAAAGATTGCTGCATATTTGTTAAGTTCTGGCCAAACATGAATAGTCTTATTATTGAAGCCGTGCACAGAATTATGATTCTGTGATGATTACTGAATGAATTTGATGGGGCTAAAAAAAGCTAGGGTGAAACTATTAAGAAATGAGTACATAACCTTCAGCTTAAGAAATTAGCATTTGGTGGCTATAGGGCTGTACCTGATATCCCCAGTCGTAGTTGGTGAAATATTTGTCCTGAACTCTCACACTCCGCAACCCAGCCACCTTACGCTGAAGATATGCTCCTGAATCCTTTAGATAACATTTTAAATCACTTTGATGATTCTTGGGCAGAGTTGTTAGCCTCATTATAATACAATAAAATCGTTGGAGAAGAAAAGAGAATTGATAGAGAAAGTACCGGCAATCCCACTGTTACACTCAGTAAAGCAATATCATTCATTCCATCATTCAAATTAACTGTATTCTCCAGGGTGAAACTCGGATTGTCACGACTTCCATGTGCAGATCCTAATAAGCAACAAAGTGAACCCAGCATTTTGATATGTAAGATTTGAGAATTTTGCTTCTAAAGAGAATTTCTTTTCCAGAATTTTAAGAAGAGCTTATGTTATATCTGTACATTTTCCATGTCAACTTTCTGAAGAAATCTGTTGGAAGATGAATAAAAAATATGATATGCAGTTTTAAATCAAGCAACCAGATTTAAAATTCACTTAAATAATTCCAGAAGAAAAATGTTTATGGCTACAAGGGTAAGGAGTTTACTGGTGAATTCTCCATTGACAAAAGCATGCAAAACATGGCCATGGGATTGCACACTTAATATAGATTGAGCATCAGATGAATTATGCTGAAACCTGCAATTACACAAGATATTGCAAACATTATGAGTAGATGATATCATTTCAGTCGAATTCCTTCACTTTGTTAATATGAACTACTTCAACTGTGATTACCTGAAAGTGTACCAAAGATAATCAGATGTATCCTTTGTTGTGTTCATATGTTCTAACAATGTTTTTGCTCTTAACGAGGTATTGTCAAAGTTGGGGATGGTTTCTGTGTACTCTTCCCATGTTTCCTTTGAATGTAACTTATGTCTAATTGTCATTGATCTTGTATTGATTTGTGTGCTTACCTGTTGAGATAGGTTGTATCCATTATTGTTGAATTTGAATGCAGTAAAGTTAGGCATATGAAAATGATAATAGTGCCAGAATATGAGCAATGGAGACTTGATCCTTACCTTAGCTGTATTGAAGGCTACAGTCTTGCAATCTGGTAGGATGCTTATTGATTTCGGAGGCAGTTCATACGAGGAGTTCTGAAACACTGTGCTACTTTTTCTGTCGTCATTATTTACTAGAAATGCAGCACATTCTCCTGCATTTCCTTTGAAGACATAGGCCTAGAAATAAAGACCCAGCTCATAAAGTCATGGATTAGTCTTAGAAATTAAGTGATGATATATAGTCCAGGGAGTTCTTATTCAATGTTCTTACTTCTTGTAGTTGACCCAAAGGAAAGGTTTCATATCCTCCTGTAAGTAAAGGTTTGGAGCATAGCTTTATTGCAGCGTGTAATTCCTTAAGATGACCCCATTTTGGTTCCCTGATCAATCCTGAAGTCATCAACCAAAAATATTTAATTTCATATTAAAATGTTTGTGTACATTTAATTAAGAGATAAGATTAAATTTTAAAGAAACACACCATACTCATCAAGAGGAGCTTGATCATAGTAACTTGTCAGCATAAATGAAGATGCTGTTCTTCCAAAATTAGTTCCTCCATGATACTGTAAATGAAATTGAATCGCTATATAAAAATTTTGTAAGAAAAGAGAAATGTATGAATCAATGTAGAGATTAGATTAGTATACCATGTAATAGTTCACATAGCTTCCGTTCTTGGCAACGAAAAGTGCAACATGAAATGCAATATCTTTGGCTGATCTCAGGTATGGTTCTGTGCCATATACTTGGTAGCTTCAAATAAAATGAAGTCGTTTTATCTTTATCTTTTATACGCAAAGGAAATAGGTTAATAGAAACATTAATTCTACTGCACAATGCTTAAAATAAGGCCAAAATGGCACTGTAAAAATTGACATACAAACTTGTCCAGTTCTCCGTCCAAATTGCTGGTTTATCGGGTGAATTGGGTCCTTTCCATGTTTCTCCACACCTCATTCCATTACATGCATTGATCTGTGAATTCCAAGATTGTAATGCATCAAACAAAAAATACATCACCGTAAAGAATAGCAGCAATAACAAGAGACTAACCACTGGGTCAGGAGCATCATCTTGCTTACACATCACCCAGGGCGTGCCGGTTTGAAGCTCTACCGCCATCTTTGCAGCCCAACGAACATACCGTGGTCCTTTCGCATGGTAAGCTGGTTCAACTGTGCCGTATTCATTCTCAATCTACATGCATAAATACACCTTTAAGCTAGCTCATGAAACTGGCATTTAAAAAATATTGCAAGTTATTGCTGTAGATTAACTAAACCTGTGAGAGTATAATTGGTCCTCCCTGTGAAGCAAACAAATTCTCTGATTTCATCAAGCTTACGATCTTTGTCACAAATCTTTGCATGTGATTCTGCCATTAACAAAGCGAAAGTAATTTGAGGTCAATGGAGATAGAATATTGAGAATAATTATTTAAAGTAGCGTTTTTTCTTACCTTGAATGGCTCATTGTCTGATCTGAAGACAATGCCGGGAACATCATGCAACCAAAATGGTAATCCCCTACAAATTAAAGCTCTAATATATCAACATTTGTACTTTACTTTGAAATTGACTCTACACAATCCGTTCAATTTTTCGTGTAAATGGTTACAGTCAACGCATAAATTGCGACGAGCTGGTAGTCAGAGGTGCTTTACCCGTAAGTCCACTCGCCCTCAATGAAGGGACCAATTCTTAAGCAAACATATAGACCCTGGGATTGGATTTCTTTGATGAACCTTACAATATCCCGTCTTTCACTGAATTTATACTGCCATTAATTAATAATACAAAGAAAATTAGTAAGCAGAATAAATGTGTGTTTGAGAAGTGTATATATATATATACACGTGTTACCTGGCCTTGTTGGGGTTCATGGAGGTTCCAAAATACATAGGTTTGTATAACGTCTACTCCTCCTTCTTTGGCTTTGGCTATCAGAGATGGCCACATCTGTCGTTAGAATGCCATTTAGAATAAACAGTTTTTAGTGATGGCATTCCTTTTGGAAGTAGATGTAATGCAATTATAACATAATTTATGAGAGTAATGGAAAAAATAAAAATGAAATAACAAAATAAAAAGAACGGAGAGAGATTATCTTCATTTTATCAATCTATTAATAGTGCAACGTTCAATTAAATCAACCAACTTTTGTATCTCTAGTTACTAAAATAACTGATAATTAGTCTAGGATGAGTGGCCTGGGTACCTGCCCAAATTCAAAGAAATCGGAACTAGTCGGTTCCTTGGATTTGGAATCGAAATCGGAATCGGCCAGTTTAGATTCCTAGAAGCCAGGAATTGGAACCTAAAACATAGGTTCCGTTTCTAGGTACTCGGGTTGATTTCAATTATCCCTACTTTTTAAAAAATAACATATAAACCCTTTAAAAATTACAAGTACACACCTAATAATTTACAAAAATTATAATTCAGTCCTGGTTCCTACTTGGATTCCTGGATCTCGGTTTCGGTTCTGGTTCCTGTTTTGGTTTTCGATTTTCGATTCCTGCAGAGGTGGAATCAGAATCGAAACCAGCCGGTTCCTGATTTCTAGAACCAGAACCCTACCCTCTGAGGGCTAGCTCCGATTAGGAACCGAAACTGAAACCTCAAGTACCCGCCAGTTCTAGTTTCGTCGGTTCTTTTGCATACCCCTAATAATCACCATAGAAATCAATTGGTTCGATTGTTCTATATTTTGTAATATATATATCATAGCCAAAACGTACAATTCATAAAGCAAAATAAAATAGCTTCAATGAGAGAGAACTCTTAACAAAGGGATTGGGTTTGTTAGGATTTTAAAAAGGAAAAACGGCAGTGCATATTTAGATAAACTTTGAAGCAAAGCAACTTTAACGTAAATTTGTTTTGATATTTTGTTCCATATGCTTATTTGTTTAGCACGTAAAAACAAAAATGAAGCTAGAAATTTATTATTTTCAGCTATGTGTTAATTACAAAGTCTTCCTAGCTTCCAAGGCATATTTCTGCGGTGGTTTTTCTTTTTCATCTCGTGATTTCAATCATTTTAATTCAACTCATTTAGTTTCCTCTCAAACTTTAAAGATTGTTGAAAATATAACATTCATGAATTCATCTTCTAATTAATTTAATTCCTTCTAAGCATGGATAAACAAAAACATATTCTACAAGTAGTACTCTAACAACCTTATTCATATATAATAACGTTACGTTAAGTCTCTACTCACCCAAAACATTATTCAATTGTCCAATATATATATAAAATAATATTTGGAGAAAATAGCAGTGTTCAACATTGTTTTCTTTTGTTTTTCTTTTTAATAATTGATCACAAATTGCTAGCAGAGATAGCATCAAACTCATGAGAATTTCTTCCCAACACAACATATTTTACACCTACCCAGAAAACGAAATTTGAATGATTCTATATTTCTTAGTAATTTTCATCGGGCCAGCTTAATTAATATTCTGAATATACAGAAAAATGGAAACAAAGAATCTATCTAGCTAGAAGAAGAAGAGCAGAAGCGTAACATTGATATACCTGAGGAGTACTGCGAGGATAGTGAATGGAGGCGGAGAAAAGAATTTGATGTTGGCCATTTATGATTAACGATCTTCCATCATATGTTACGCTCCCTCCTTTCCCTTTTCCTTCTTCATCGCTGCTGCGGCCATTTGCTACTGCCACCATTAATACAAAGCACCAACTCAACAACAATAACAATTGCACCATCGCCATTCCACTTCAACTCCACTGTGTCTGTTTTCTTGCCAGAGATGAAAATGTTTTTAACTTTCAGAGCCTGATAATGCAAACAAATGAAAATGTAGAAAGAGTTGGTTTTTGTTTTACGTACCTTTAATGGAAGTCGTAATTATTATTGCAGAGTGAGAGAGACGGAGAAATAAAACTGTTGTGTGTTTTTCATTAATTGCTGGACACATAAATGTACAACTGACGCCATATCCGGAATCATATTTATTTTAACATAATTTATATATCATTATTATCAACATTTTAATTAATTTGTATATCTTTTGGCTCAAAACCAATCATTTTTGTAACACTGGATTAATCATTTTTGTAAATTCCTCAGTATTATCTAAATGGATAAATCATTCTAATTTAACTTAGTATTATCTAAATGTTTAACATGTTAGAATTGTCGACTACTTCAGTATTCATTCTTATTGGGTTTAGGTTTAAGAATAGAAATCTTTATAATACTAAATTTTAGTATTTTTCTCTCGTAATTAGTGATAATAAACAATAGGACAAATTACTTTCATTGTAATAATATTGACTCAACTGAACGTAACTTATTAATTAGGTGAATCAAAGTAAAATCGTACGCATTTATTCTTTTTGTTTACTATATGTGGTTTGTGTGTTTATTGTTATTTTGGTTTTCATATATCTCTGTTCGTTCAAAACAGGTCGCATTAATTTATTTTCACAGTATTTATTAGAAATTTAGTGGCGTTTTTGTTGAGAAATTACATGATTTTGATTGATTTTCGAATAAGTTAATAGATAAGATACAACAATGATTTAGTATAAAAATAAAAAATCACTGTTTGGTACGGCACGCAGATGTTGAATAACAATAACAAAACAAAAAAAAGAATTGGTTTTTATGTTAATGTCAATTATAGTCAACGAACAAAGAAAGCAAATCCTGAAGCATTCGTATAAACTAATAAGTGAAAAGTTTATACCAAATAATGGACAATAAATATTTTCTTGTACATACCCACCAACACAAATTGCTGGTTGAATCCTGAAGCTGAAAGCAAGTATTTTTATTTCTTTCTCACGTGCATTCTGCATCAACCAACAAAGCTTTATAGATTCCTGGACAGGGGTCCCCATGAAACTTCCAGCTCTCAACGGGGACAGAACATTTCCTCTTCCCGAGGCAAGCCTGAAAAAATTAAAGGAACAGATTAAGGATTTCATTTTCTTTTCCATTTTCTGGCAAACAAAAATGGAGGAGAAAGGTCACCTTATCTACAATGGCTTTAGAATTAGATGAGTGACAGCTTCCAATGGCGTAACTATCGCAATCACCATAAGGGTTTCCAAAGCTTGCAAATAGAATCTTGGAAATGTTCCTTCCTGGAGAGCAACGAAGCCGAACTTTAGGCCTCCAACCCTGGTGCTTCTTGTGGTGCTTTAGACTTTGGTTTTGGCCCCTCCAGGAAACCACCGGTGGCGGATGCGAATCGGACACTTGACCGCATACTTTTGAGACTGATATAGTGTCTACCGATATCCCAAGAGGATAACCATTTTGTTCTTCTAGCAAAACTAATAGATTACCAGTAGGTTTGAGGAAGGATCGAGGTACATTATACCTGTGACAAAAATTACAAGTTCAAACAAGATTGAAAGGCAAATTACTAACAAACACATTTTCTACTACCATGTTTGTGAAGGACCGCCTTTTGGGGTAAGGAAAGAAACCCAATATCGTCCAATACTTTGGCCATTAACCCAAGCTTCACCCTTCCCCATGGATACAAGATTTAATGCAACAGGTTCATTTCCTGGAGGTGCATCGAATAGTGTCTGCAAATTTTCATTAAACCAATGTGGGTTAAAATGGATCAATAGCTCTGAATGTCAAACCGAATTTCGCAAAATCAGTAGTTTCCATACCTTGTACCATGTGAGTGGTTGATGAATAGAGCTTCCATACCTCCTCCATTCAACTTGTCTTGATCCAAAATCTGTGTAAATTTGTAGTTTCTCACCTAACAGGCCAACCTTTAGAAAAAAAATTCAGTAATATTAGTTTATAATTAAACTGTCAACAGTTTTCAATTGTTCTTTGAGATAGCAGAAAAGTTGTATATGAAGTGTAATACATATTAGATTGACCTAGTGTCGTACAATTTAGTATCTGTAATTAATAGAAGACAATATATATAACCTGATAACCCCATGAATAATTACTGAAATCTTTGAATTCCTGTTCACCTTGAATGGTCACACTACGTAATCCAGCAACCCTGCTCTCAAGATATGCTCCTGAGTCCTTTGTTTGCCAATAATAAAATGATTCAATCAAATTGAAATCACAGATTTAAATTCATTAATAGAATAAATGGACTTGGAATCAGTATTGAGAAGTACCGGCAATCCAACCATTACACTAAGTAAGGAGACATCGTTTGTTCCATTAGACAGAGGAACCGTTTTCTCCAGAGTGAAACTTCTATTCGAGTGACTTCCATGTGCAGAGGCTAAAGAAAATTTCAGATATTAAAGACAAGATCAAAACATAATTACATGTATCATTGTTACCTGAAAAAGTAGCCGAGTGGCAACGCAAGAGCTTATACCAACAAATGCTTCATTTATAAACGCAAGCAAGACATGTCCAAGTGAGGTCACTTTCAGTAATGTTTGAGCGTTGGAGGATTCATGCTTAAATCTGCAGATAAATGTACACAGATACAGTAAGATAAACAAGTTTCAAGTTTTCTCAACATAAATTCTTCACTTTGATTTACCTGAAATTGTACCAAAGATAATCAGACACGTCCTTGGTTGCATTCATATGCTCTAGCAATATATTTGCTCTGAATGAAGTGTCATCATAAGTAGGAATAACTTCTTTATATTCTTCCCATTTTTCAATTGAGTATAACTTTTGGCTTGGCTCCATTGATCTTGTACCATATTGAGTGCTCACCTGTTGAAGATGAGAAGACTCAAACATGGAATCCGTCATCAAAACACTTGAATTTTGTACCATAGATTACCTTCGCAGTGTTGAAGGCTACAGTCTTGCAATCTGGTAGGATGCTGATTGACAATGGAGGTAATTCATAAGACGAATTTCGGAAATGGACAGTGACATTCTGTCTTTTGTCTTTGTTCACAAGAAAGGCAGCACAATCTGAACTTTCTTGGAAGACATAGGCCTGTGACCAAAACATATCAATTTCACCAGGTATATTACTCAAAGTTAAAAAACAAAGAAATAAAAAGTACTTGTGGATTCCTTTGCAGTGTTCTTACTTGCTGTTCTTCTCCCAAATTCATGGTGATATTTGCTCCAGAAATTAGAGGCTTTACGCATAGCTTTATTGCAGCATGTAATTCCTTAAGGTGACCCCACTTTGGTTGCCTAATCAGACCTGCATTCTTCAAGTTTGACAAATTGAGATTGTTTTGGAGATATTCTATAATGTGAATAGAGAAAAAAATGAATGACACTTACCATACTCATCTAGAGGAGCTTGATCATAATAACCTGTCAGTACATATGCAGAGGCTGTTCTTCCAAAATTTGTTCCTCCATGATACTACAATAAAACAAAGCTAGAAAATTATGTATAATCTTGGATACATTAAAAAAGAATATCACACTTCATACCATGTAATAATTTACATAGCTTCCTTTCATTTTGGCAACGAAAAGCGCAACATGAAATGCTATGTCTTCAGCTGACCTTATTTTTGCATCTTCACCATATACTTGATAGCTTCACAAACCCATAAAAATCTCATTAGTCTCCTCTCACTACACATCAAGAGGCTATCTGAAAGAGAGCCATCTTCTCTTTTACACGATTACATCAGAGCTAATCGGAAAAAGGATAATAACAGTAATGGAAATACGAAGCCTGTGTTGAAAGCATACAAACTAGTCCAGTTCTCTGTCCATATTGCTGGCTTATTTGGTGAGTTAGGTCCTACAAATGTTTCTCCACACCGTCTCCCGTTACATGTATTGATCTGCAAAAGTAATATGTCCGTAAGCAATTTAAAGAGACTACTCAATTTGTTGAAGCTATCAAAGTAATATTCTTGCGAAAGGAGACTAACCACAGGGTCAGGAGCATCATCTTGCTTACACATCACCCATGGAACGCCCGTTTGAAGATCCACAGCCATTTTTGCAGCCCAACGGACATATGGGGGCCCTTTCTCATGAAAAGCTGGTTCTACCATTCCATATTCATTTTCGATCTGCACATACACAACTTTTAGAACATGAAATTTCTGTAGCAGATAACAGAATGCAAGCTTATGTGACGAACTAAAACCTGCGATAGTATAATTGGCCCTCCTTGTGAAGCATATAGCCTCTCTGCTTTCATCATGATTGCTATGATTGTTGCATATCTTTGCATATGAAACTGCCATAAACAATTAATTAGCATATTCTTAATGATCCCGGCGAAAAGATGTCTAAATCGTTCAAATGATAATCAGTAGTACCACAATAACAGTGAGCCATCAAATGCTTCTGAGAAGATGATTGAATGTCAATACCTTGAATGGCTCGTTATCCGATCTAAAGACAATGCCTGGAACATCATGCAACCAAAATGGAAGACCCCTGCACCATCATTATAGTCCATCAAGCTCTTTGAAAACACAGAAACTTTTTCGCTTTCTACATAAAAAGGTTTAAACTATGCTTCTGTGAAAGAGTTTTAGCAAGGGATCTATTTACCCATAGCCCCATTCACCCTCAATAAAAGGTCCAATCCTAAGGCACACATATAAGCCTTGTGCTTGAACTTCCTTGATGAACCTCACTAAATCACGTCTTCCGCTGAAATCAAACTGCGATTCAAAATGAACCAGCATAAATACATTTTGCATTCTTCCATACGATCTTTTTAACATAATATTCATGTATATTTACATATATGAATAGAGAGAACGATATATTAGGGTGTTTACCTGGCCTGGTTGGGCCTCATGGAGGTTCCAAAAAACAAGAGTCTGTATCACATCTAGCCCTCCTTCTTTTGCCTTAGCTATTAAAGATGGCCACATCTGGAAATAGGCATTACATTATTTAAATTTGTACTACTCTCTATGTAAAATCTTCAAAGCAAGTCAGTTAATAACCAATGAAACAAAACTGTCTATTCTAGGTTCTTAATATGACCAATTTTTAGCATAAGCTTATTGATATGAACCAATAAGAACCCAAAATACAAGTACTTGAGAACAAAGCAAATATGACACATGATCTGAGGTGTTAATCAGGAACAAGTGAAAAAAGATGGCAATGTTTGGTAAGAAAATGACAGAATAAATGTAAAAGACTATTGGTACGCGTAAATGCTTATTGAAAAATTCTGTCAAATAGTTTGGTAAGGACTAATCTTTCAAATGATATCATCACTAACACCGCCATTTCTTCTCATTTTCATTGATTATATTTCACATATTACCATGAAAGAAGGATATTAATAAAGGACAGAACTAAAGTTAACAGAGTACAGATACCTCTGGAGTGCTACGAGGATAGTGAATAGAACCCGAGAAGAGAATCTTATGATGTCCATCAATGATCAAAGATCTTCCATCATACGTTACGTCGCTGCCACAACAGCAACCGGTTGCTACCAAAAACAACAGTGCAAACAAAAACCACAACTTCACCATTCCTCTCATTGACCGAAGCTTTCAATATACAGAACTATATCTATATAATAATATACCACCTGTAGCTTCTCTGCTTCAAAGTATGGAAAATGAAGATATCAATCACTCTCTCTTATAATCTTTCTCTAATGAAAATTTCAACTCAACTGCGTTCTGTGTATGCAAAGTGATTGAAAAGCAAGAACATATATAGATATATAACATGAAAAATGACAGTGGATGAAAAATATATCACAAATCTATTGCGTTTGTCAAAAAAGTACAGGTAAGAAAAAGGAAGAGAATCTATTAATTAACATATTTCATGGTGAATGGATTGAGGTTTCTGGCAGACCAACTTTGAATTGCATGAAATTGGGTAGATTAATTTTTGGTCAACAAAAGGCCAAAAAAAAAAAAAAAAAAAAAAAGTCAGATGGAAAATCAACCAATTACATGCATTGCTCAATTGTCAAAGGTAATTTTCTTGTCATAAGTTTATTTCCTAAAATGAACCAGGTCATTTTCATATTCATTATGTAACCAAGTTTGACAGATTGAATCATTTATGGTCTGAATTGACAAGTTTATATGCTTCCAATTAAACACTTATGAATACAGTATCAAGTTTCATTGCCTCTGCAGATCAAATTTATATAAGCATGAAAGTTTAACAAGACCACTGTGCTTATTGTCATTGCCATGAAATACTGAAAAATATATATATATTTTTTTAAAATGATCATAATAAAGGAAGAAAAAGTATGTACACTCAGATAGAAGAAGCAATGTTTTCTCTGGTTTACTTTTCAGTTTTAAAGTGATATAATCTTTTGATAAAAGTAAAAAGGAGTTGAGATATAGTAGAACTCAAGTAGGATGCATAGTTGATAATTTCATTTCGTTAATTAAAATTTAAACATCATTTAGTGAAATTCAATAATTGAAATAGTGTAATTACTTTAACTGTGATGAGGACGGTTATAAAGTTCTTTATTATGAACCAATTGATTCATTGACGTCAAAACTTTTTTTAGTTTCTTAAAAATAAAAAACAATAAGAAAAAACTCATTTACAAAATATATCAGCCCAGCCTCTGATCAAAGGCCCAATCTTCCAAAGCCCACAATTAGCCAAGACCTAATCAAAGGCGCAATCTTCCTAAGCCCACAGTAGGCCCAACCGAAAAAGCTTCTTGCTTGCAAAGAAGAAAGTTAACCCCTGCTCCAAGCTTTGAATCGATTAAAAGTTATCGTTCAGTCACATACCTGCCTCTCAGTTTCTTTTCTTCTTCACTTCAACTGCCCCAAATCAATCTCAAATGTCGGTATGTTTTCGAAAACCCTAATTTCACTGTGTTTTCAAGAAGAGCAAACTGACTTCATGTAATTTTTTTTTTATTATTCTTATTATTGTTAAAGATTTCTAATGATGTATTGAGGTGCAGATCTTTGAGTACAATGGTAGCGCCGTCGTGGCTATGGTGGGAAAAAACTGTTTCGCAATCGCCAGCGATCGGCGACTTGGAGTTCAGCTCCAAACAATCGCTACAGATTTTCAGCGAATTTTTAAAATTCACGATCGCCTCTTTATAGGTCTCTCTGGACTCGCCACCGACGCTCAAACTCTGTATGATAATATAACATTCTTTTTATTGTTTATTTATATATTTTGGAAAACATGATTGAGTGTTTTGGTTTTGATTTGATTTGAAGATATCAACGACTGGTGTTCCGTCATAAGTTGTATCAGCTGCGAGAAGAAAGAGACATGAAGCCCGAAACATTTGCTAGCCTTGTTTCTGCTCTGCTTTATGAGAAAAGGTTTGTGTTATATAAACTTTCTAGGTTTTTATTTTTTTATGTTTTGTTAGTATTTGGATTAATGTGAAATGGTTGTTTTTGAGAATGAGTTGATTTCGGTGTATGCATAATTTAGGTATAGAAGTGTAGCTTTGGGTTTGAGGAAAAGCCTAGAGTAGTATCTTTACTAAAAGTTGTAGGATTCTACGGGAGCCTAGGTTTCGAACTTAAGTTTGTTATGAGTTGAGGGGATTTCTGATTATCAAAAGAGAAAAAGTACAGCTTTGTGGGTTGCACTTTGTAATTCAGGGAAATTGGTGTATGGGTATTGTTATCATTAAATTATAGTTATCCTCAGAAATTAAAGATAACAAACTTCCAATGCATTGGGTTTGAACCTAACATAACAGACTCTTTATCTGTTTATGTACCTATTATAGTTCCATTTATGTGTTTTAACCTCTCATAAAAAAATTTCTGCTAATCTTTTTTAGGTGTCAAGCATAAATTTATTTCTTATTAGTGTAATATCTTAAGCAACATAGTTCACTGAAGTTGTATAGATGAGAATTATTGAGTGAATGCAAAAATATTTTGAAACTTAAGAAAATTCTACCATGCCTTGCTAGATCATTGCGTAAAGTTGTAAAGCTTTGGAACCAGATACTTTATCCATTTCCTTGTAAAATGTTGTCTCGGCATTGCCTGAGACTTGGCATAAGTATGTTTATGACTTAAGCTGGCTCTACTTCTCAAAAGCATACCAGGGAATTGTATGATGTGTTTTGGTCCATTACTGTTATCCTGGCTGCAAAATGAGATGGTTTTTGTTATAATATGGACAGTGAAATGGCTTTTATTATTATAACATAGGTGGCATGAGTACCTTGATTTTGGAGGAGAATTTCTAAACTTGCAATTTTATTTACAGAAGTGTAAAAAGGAATTGTTGCTGTTAATTTTTTTTCAGGTTTGGTCCATACTTTTGCCAACCTGTGATTGCTGGATTGGGAGATGAAGACAAGCCCTTTATATGCACAATGGACTCAATTGGAGCCAAGTATGTTAATTAAATTCTTCATGTTTTCTTTTATCAAGGAAATGCTGAGTTTTCTTGACTGCTCAGGTGTTTTTATTTCTTTTAATGGATTTTTTAAAAGGAAAATGAAAAAAGATAGAGTCATTTGTTCAATGAAAATGTCTCTCATAAAGTTATATGTGAATTCTGGGCTTGGGACAAACATGAGCTAGGTTTACTACATTTTTACGTTGTTAGTTGGATTCTGAGATGACTACTATTTTATATTTTGGGATTTTAATCTTCAAAAATATAGCCTCATGTAAGCAATAATTGGAGCGTTGTCTATCTGAACCAATATGCAGTTCAATTTAGAATACAAACAGATTTTCAAAGAATTGATTTAAAGCTTTTAATGTTGCGCTCACTCTATTTGATATTTATGTGTCCACTCTCATTGCAGGGAGCTTGCTAAAGATTTTGTTGTTGCTGGCACTGCTTCAGAGTCCCTTTATGGTGCATGTGAGGCAATGTTCAAGCCTGACATGGTTTGTAACTTGACATACCCTTTCTTCTCTTTTTGGATTGTGTTTCCTCTGTATTATCCATTATTTATACAATGGCAACTTTATAGATATGCATGAGAAGGGAATCTGTGCATTCATTAGTAATGGATGCACTTTCTATATCTTTGTGTCCACATTTATCAATTTTGAATGGGTAACTGCCATAAACACAATTGTTATATCAGCTATAAAGATAATGAATGAGAAGCTATGAATAGTGAGATTCTTGAGTTCAAGTTTTTTGTTTGTTTCTTCCTATCTTGAAAAAGTTTCAAGAGTCAGAAGCCTATTGATGGTATCATACTACAGTAGAAAACTGAGAAGACAGGACGGAGTTTTGATTTGAAAGTTGGAAAAATTTATAGTCCTTCATTAGAATTGATAAATTTGGAGTGGTGGATGATGTTGAAGTGGATGAGAAATGGGGGGTTGGAGATGAGGCTGATGCATAATGGTTGAGTAATTTGATAAAGTGTTTTATTGGCTAAGAGGATAATACATACTGGTTTACATGGTACTGTAAAGTCTATGTATTCTAAACTTGTGATGTTGGAATTAACTTAAAACTTAGTAAGTTGGAAAAGAGATGATATTAAGAATACATGTTTCAAGCAATCTCCTTATCTGTTTGAATGGACTGTGGCTGGTGATTGCTGCAGTGACTCTCCACATGAATGCTCTCCTTTTTATTGAACATTTTGTCACATACAACAAATGTTCTACTAACTCTTTGGTTAACTCTTACTCAGGAACCAGAGGAGTTGTTTGAGATTATATCTCAAGCTTTATTAGCATCTGTTGATCGTGACTGTCTGAGTGGTTGGGGAGGCCATGTCTACGTTATGTAAGCTTTTTCAGATGCCTTTTAGTTATCCTTCGTATTACATTTTTTTTCTTCAAGACAATGTTTCCTAGTTGATTGTAATAATAGTAAAAGTATTGAGCTAGGTCCTAAAAAAGGAGTTCCCTGGTTCATACTGAACTTTGCTTAAATTAGCATGCTATAAGGCTCCGTTGGGGCCACTCTTGAGATTTTGAAAATGTTGAACTTTTAATTACGAAAACATTTCCCACTGCAGAGTCTTGATCCTATATATTCTAATAGTGTGCTTAAGTGTAATTAGACGATTATTTCATCAGTTTTAACTTGTCATGCTCTTAATGCAGAACACCAACTGAAGTAAAGGAAACAATCTTGAAGGGAAGGATGGATTGATCTGCTTTGATAATGCTGAAGTCAACTGTTCGTGTTCAGTCCCCAGTTTGTCTTTTATGGAAAAACTTAGACTGCAGTTGAATGTGAACCTCTTAGCTAAGGCTGTTATTCATAGAACTCGAATTGTTGTACTCATAATTTCCGAATGAATTGAAAAATTTTCATATCAAGTATTCAAGATTCGCCTGATTAAGATCTCCAGTCCGTAATGATGCATTTCTTTGGATGAATGTGAATTTTCCAAACGCTCGTGGGCTTTTTACGCCCAAACTACTTTGAGTGAATTGTTGAATTCTTTTCGGTAATGATTTTACTATGCATTGTGATTCAATGATTTTCTATTCAGTACCACAGGCAATTACAAAACTAAACAATGGTGGTGTGAAATGTTAAGCAATGGCCATTCATATTTTCTGAAAACTGTCATTTTCTCTCTTACTTGATGAGACAATCTGAGCCGTACATCTGGTATAAAACTTTTGAAAGGCAGTTACTAAAAGCAGATGGACCTGTGTATTTTTGTAACACAAACCTTCAGGCCCCCCTTTTCTCCATGCCTTTAAGAGCAACAAGAAACATGGTCCTAACTACATCGTCAAAGTGGTGAAATGTCTCGTTTCTGTTCAACCATACTTCAAAAGAGTAACTATCTCTCTTTCTCAGGCACCCACAAACGGGTACATACAGATCAGTTTCTTCCATAATTGTTCGTCTTTAACTCGTAAAAATGATGTCAAAACTGTTTTCTACTGCTGTGGGGTGGTTTAAAGATGAGGGAATCTTCATTTGTAGAGTAAAAGGAGAATTGTACACATTCATTAATAGTTAACATCTTTAAGCATCTAAAATTACTTCATGAGCATGACTCTCCAGATGATCATGATAAACCACATGCACTTATCATTTTTTATTTAGAAATAGATAGGATGACAGCTTTTTACAATACAAACAACAATCGAATTTGGCTCTATAATGATATATTCCTTACAATTCAATACATATTATCTTCTACCTTGATCTATGGATGTATTATACTTTTTCTTTCATGCTGCAGGACGTACGGTGAAATAGAAAGTACAATCAGCATCTTTCAACGGCTCCTTGCAACTTTCTTGGCATTGATTAAATCTGTCAAGTGATTTGATGGGTAGTGTAATCAGTTCAGTTCTTTCTGGATTTGGTAAAGTCATTGGCGACCTTTTCGGCGACCCACTTGATTTTCTTGCCGGAAAGTCTTGCAGGTAATTCAATTTTATTACTGACACATTGCATCGTCATGCCCATGTAGGCTAATTGAAGTAACTAGTTGGAGAGGAAGTTTTTGAATTTTCATCTTTATTTTTTTGTGAATGGATTCAGTTCAGTTTGCGGTTCAACATGGGATTTCATCTGCTACATCGAAAATTTTTGTCTTGCCAATCTGCTGAAGTTGGCCATAGTACTGGCTTTATCCTACTTCGGTGAGTTACACTCACCTGCAAATTAAGTTAACATTTAGACGAAAATTTATCTTACCCAACCCATTATAATGGTTTGTTTTCTTTTGACAATGTGCAGTTCTCTTATTCTTCTATGTTTTATACAAGCTTGGAATCTGTTGGTGCATTGGTCATAGCCTCTGCAAAATGATATGGGCATGTTTGGCCACGTGGTTCTCTTTTTGGGAGTATTGTTGCACTTTCTTGTGTGTTAAGCTAATAAAATTCAAAAGAAGTAACCAACACCGCAGAAGGAATGTTGAAATAAGCGAAACGGATACTAGTGATGAGGAAGAATATTCCGACGATGAAAGCTTTTCATCTGATGATATACCTAGAAGTAATTATTCGTCTCGCCGAGGGATAGATTATAGAGAAGCTCACCTGAGGAAGTCTTTACGGCCGAGAAGTCATCGTGTACAAATTGGGATTAGTAGAAGAGACGCAATACAAAGTCATAGAAGAAACTCCTTTAAGCATCACAACCATGTTAGCAAAGTTGATGATCATATCAGGGTAACTCACACATCAAGGTTTGTTAAGAAAGGCAGAAGTATTAGGGGAGGTGTTTATGGGAGTCGAAGATGGTGAAATGTTGAATTTATGGGGATAGGCGCCATGCTCTACACTTCTTGATCAATGATATAATTAATTGAGGATTTTAGTTTTATTTCGTTCTTCAGTATTATTCTTCATTCAACTTGAAGATAGTAGCATTAATCCTTAACTTCAAAGCAATAAACAAAACACATGGAACGGTAGATTAAATATTGCTTTGAATGCGTTCATAATATGCAAGTTGTTAGGTATAATTCTAATTTCTACCTTATGACAAACGTTTGCTTTAATTTAGTGCATTGAAGCTTCCTTTTCCCAAGAGAATCTGGCCAAAAGTGTGGCAAGAGTGGTATCTGATCCCTTGGAATATCAAATTCCATCCGAAATGTCGTTTTACATTATATATGGTTTCCCACGAAGTTGCCTTATTTTAACAACTTTTTTAGTAACCACCATCTCCACTCAGTGAAAAAGTTCATCTTATTTGATCTTAAACTGCAGCTCCTGGGAAATCTATATAAATCTTACTGATTAAAAGAAAAATTATTACTAGTCTTTTAATTTGCAGTACAAAGCCAGAAAATTTAGCCTATGTTTGTTACACTGTTTTGAATCATTATCCTCTTATCCTATTTGGATTAAAAAATAAAATGTGTTTGTTTATTTATTGGGTCAATTCATTCAAAAAATTAATCTAACTCAAATAGGATTTTTTATCTCAAAATGAAAAGTGGTGGGACTTATTTTCTATTATCATATTTTATTCAATTCAAAACATTTTTTCAACTTTATTCAACTAAAAAACATTACCCTTAATTCCTTCCAATTTAAAAATTAATCCACCCAAGACCACCATCGCTTACCAGCAACCACCATCAGTCGCTGTGGCAAAACAATGTACGACCGGTCAGATCTAATAGATTGTGAGCTGATCTTGGCGTTTCGGACGGCCAAATCTACAACCAGATCCAACCGTTGACGACGGCCAGATTCTGGCTGTAGGTCTGGCTGTTTCAAGTCAGATCCATGGTGGATTTGACCGACGACTGACTGTCCTCTTGGATGGCTGAGGTGTTTTACTTAATTTTTAAACTTTTATTGTGGAGGATGTTTAGCTAAATTAAAAAATATAGGGGGTTAAAAAAAATAGAATCTAATATATTTTCAGAAAATATATCAAACAACTATTCAACATTAAATCAAACACTTAATATACTTTTCAGATATTTTACCAAACACATTTTCATAATTTGATCCAATTTGATTTAATCCAACTCAACTCAACTTAAAATAGTTTTTCAGAATAATTAAATCATACAAACAAACAAAAAACAAATGACAAGGTAGTCATTTTCCATAAATTTTGTGTAATTTTTGTCGGTTTGAATGACTCAATTGTAAGCAAAATATTGATTGTGTTTGTTTTATTATTTTGAATAGTATTTTTGAAAAAATTGAGTTGCGTTGTTATTAAGAGGAAATGATTTGAAAACTAACAAAACACCCCTTAAGTTTGTTAATTTAACTAAACACCCCCTACAATAAAACATTAAAAATTAACAAAAACACCTTCACCCACCCATTAAATGCCGACAGCCGGTCACCACCGTCGAAGGGTGATCGAAAGTCGCCGTAATGGCGCACGACCTGTTGGATCTGACCGGTCATGCGTCGATCTAGCCATGGATCTGGTCGTCAACCATTGCCTGTTTGGTCGTCATCCATGGCCAGCTCGATGCACAACCGGCCAAATCCAATAGGTCGTGTGCCATTACGGCAACTTCTGACCATCCTCCAGCGGTGGTGGCCGATTGCCAACATTTAATGGATGGGTGGGAGTGTTTTTGTTAATTTTTAATGTTTTATTTTAGGGGGTGTTTAGGTAAATTAACAAACCTAAGGGTTTCAAAATAGTTGAATGAAATAGAATTGGATTTTGAGGATAACAAAACAAATATGTATAAAGGGTAAGGATAGGAATAGGATAGAAAAAAATAGTGAAACAATCGCAGCCAATTGTTTTTCAAATAATCTGCCAAACAGGCCTAAGTGAATCGAAAAGCTACTGCGAATGAAGCAGAAATTATGCAGAAAAGGAATTGCCCAGAGTTGAGGCAATGATGAGGTAGATACAAAATGGGTAGTTCCAGTTCTTGGATAAGGTATATTGTAACGTAGAGAATTGTTTTTCCTCTGCAATATTTACATGAAAGTTGCCCATTTTACATTAGGAATATAGGCTTATTGTAGTATACTAGTTAGAGATGGTTTTCCATTTCGTGTTTTTAACGTTACTTTTCTTTTAAGAAACCTTAAACATAGTCCTCATATATGATCAATGACGAATCTGTACGTAAGTATTGCACTCTGTATAATTTCAACATATCATCAATAATATTCTCCATTATCAATCTAACAATGGCAAATAATCATGAAGAAGAGCGAAAACAAACGGCGAGAAGCAGGATTCCCTTCGCCGAACTCAATCAAGTCAGCACGGATTTCGCCATTGCAATGGCGTTACAAGAACAAGAGAGGGCTGCCACAATGCTCACCACCATCGAAAGTGAGAGTAGCGACGTCGATGATCAAACCGATGAAGAAGAAACTTTCGAAAATAATTACGAATACTTGGAAGGGCATAATGAGTTCGAAGCAGAACTAGAGTTCCTGGAGGGACAAGATAGCAACTCCGAGGCTGATGATGCAATGGATGAAGATGAAGAAGAAGAAGAAGATGATATCGATGTAGACGAATTAACATACGAAGAGTTGATCGCGTTGGGAGAATTCATCGGAGAAGAAAAAAGAGGTCTATCATTAAATGAAATATCGAAATGTTTGCATCCAAGCAAAGGTTCATTCGACAGCAAATCGGGTATCGATCGTTGTGTAATCTGTCAAGTTGAATACGAAGAAGGTGAAGTGGTGGTAGCTCTTCCTTGTGAACATCCTTATCATTCAGAATGCATAACCGGTTGGCTTCAAGTCAAGAAGATTTGCCCCATTTGCAGCACTGAAGTTTCACCGCCCAAGAATACGTCTAGCTAGCTATAGTTTAATTAGAACATTACTTATTCAGATCATGTAAATTTATTTGGTTGTAAATAATTGTGATCAAATTCTTTACATCTCATTGTTAATTGTATAGTTGAAAGCATTTAATAAAAAAGTGAAAGAATTAATATTCTTAAAACGAGTAATCACATAAATGAAACACTTTAGAGTAATAAAAAATCAAGACAAAAAATACACACAAATATCAACTATGTAAAGAGAAAGAAATATACGCACGATTTATCATGGTTCATCCAATTAACAGACCATGTCCAGTAAATTCAATATTATTGTAATACTGTTTCACCTCTCTCATTACAATGAAAATAATTTGTCCTATGATTTGTTATCAAAATCGTACAAGAGAAAAGTATATTTATATAATAGATTTAAAAAGTAAAACTTAAAATTACAAAAATTTTTATTCTTAAGTCCAAACCTAATAATGAATTACGAATTTAGAAAAATCCTACAATGGTTATTCATTAAATAGGCTCAAACCGCCTATGGGCTCAGGGTCCTACCCCTTACACCTTCGTCCGCGTTTGCATGACCCATTATTGTGAAAGTGGTTAACAACTCCAAGAAGAAATCCTGCAAAACCACTCCCCAGAAGAAGCAACCATGCATAAACTTGAGTAAAGATTATGGAATTATAATATTTAAAACGTGCTTATGATAATTCAACCTTATTATATCCAAGAAAATGTGTTGTAATAAGTAATATTACAGCCCACATTTATGGAGGGCTGCAAGACCATTCACATTTCACAGAAAACACGAAACAAATGACCAACAGAGGGCAACTCTTTGTTTAATATACTGAGTTTGCTTTCATTACAAGAAATCAAGAAATCCAACAAGTTAAAGAACCTAAACAAAAAAGATAAGCCTGAAACTTATCCACTTAACCATGTTTTGCGCCACCTTTAGACTGATTCTAAGTCTCGCCCGCCATTAATTAAGTACAGTTTAATATTTAGAACCTCAGACATTGTTTCAACGAAACAAAAGACTTCCCACAAAACGACACAGGAAGAACAATTAAAAATGGTTCGATTAAATGAAATGACATCAACAAGTTGCAAGTGGAAATAGGAAACAGTATTTGAAACCAAGAGCACGCGAGGGTTGGACTTTTCCATGAAAACGACGAGGACAAAATTATTAAAAGAGACAAGAAAAAAATTTTAAATTAAAATAAGATAGCGAGCATGCACGTTTTTATTTAATTTTTTTTTTCTTTTGGGGTTAAATTGACGGTTGATATGTGGAGGCAGAAACGACATGTAGGACATGGCAAGTCGGAATGGATTAGGTTTGATTTCTAGATACATTGAATTTGAAAGTTGTGGAACATTCATGATCATTTTTATTGTTTTTGTCTGGCTTTTCACATTTTGATAGTGCCATATGGCTGCTTCGTGGGACTAGTCAACCGTAATTGATGGAGTAATTTGCTTAATTCAGAAACTAATTATTTAGATTAGTTTAGGGTACCCTTCAAGTGTATTTAATCAAATTTAAATAAAATAATGTTTTAAAAATATTTTCCGAAAAAACAAAAAAAAATAGTGAGAGGGAGAATCCAAAAACCAACCCCAAAGAGTTAGCCCGGCGGTTAAGGAGGTTTGTTCTCTTTTTTGAGTTTCTGGGTTCAAATATTGGGATCATCAACCACAATAACATTGTGACTTATCTAGTCTTTTGAGTTTGTAAGATATTCAATAGACTCCAAAAATTAATTGAGGTACACGTAAACTAGTTCGAATACCTCGATTATAAAAAATTAAAGAAAAAAAAGAAGAGAATCCAGAAACCCATTGTTTGAAAGTCCATTGAAATCTAGTTTACTTGACTTTGGTCATAATCTATGAGTTGGTTAATTAATTACTGTTTAATTCAGAAAAGACAAAAATAAAACAGTTAAATAATAGGAAAGTTCTACTTGTAGCCATGATGGAATAACTTTGGTTGGCTGACTCCATTATATTATGAATCCACAAAATTTCTTTTCATAATGTGGAAAATAAAACTGGCGGCGAAGCTTTGATCTCACGAGTGCATTAGTCAAAAACATAGTAACAAGTGCTTAATTACATGTAGTAGATTTTGAATAAAGTCACGCCCACCAACTTGCCCTTTTGTGTAATGGGAGAACGACTTATACATACCCAAGATTTATCGTAACGACAGTTGGTACCTAAAAGGTTTTGAAATGACAAATAGGTACTTTCTGTCATGTTCTGTTAGTGATTTCTGTTTATTACTGTTTATTAATAGTGAAAAGACTAAAGTGCCCTTAAAATTTTGAATTTTAGTTTTTTATAAATTTAAAAATTTCAAAAAACCCCCTAAGTTTACAAATTTCACTAAATACCCCAATATATAAAAGTTTTATAAAATAACAAAAACACCCCCCACCGGCAAGTGCCAGATTCCGGCCACCACCGCCGGAATCTGGCGGGAAAGTTGCGTTACGACACAGAACCGTCGGATCTGTGTCGTAACGCGTCGATCTGGCCTTTTCCGGCCAGATCCGTGGCTGATCTGGCCGGAAAAGGCCAGATCTACAGCTAGATCTGGCCGTCTACGCCGAAAACTCCATCTGCGGCGTCGAAGGCCAGATCTGGTATAGATCTGGCCTTTTCCTGCCAGATCAGCCACGGATCTGCCGGAAAAGGCCAGATCTGGCTGCTGCTTCGACGGCCAGATCTTGCTTTTTCCGGCAAGATCCGTGGCGGATCTGACTGGAAAAGGAAAGATCGGCATGTTCGACATAGATCCGACGGATCTGTTGTCATAATACAGTTTTCCCGCAATTCCGCGATGGTGGCCGAAATCTGGCATTGGGGTGGTGGGGTGTTTTTGTCATTTAACAAACATTTTATATATGTGTTTATAAATAGCAAACCTAGAGGTTTTTTAGAAATTTTTAAATTTATAAAAACAAAAATTGAAACTTTGAAGGGCATTTTAGTCTTTTCACTATTATAAACAAAAATCACTAACAGAATATAACGGAAGGTACCTATTTGTCGTTTTAAAACTTTTGTCATTATAGTAACTTTGGGTATGTACAAGTCGTTCGCCCTTTTGTGTAATTGTCAATCAACCAAATTCAATTTTATTATTATAAGTAAGATTATTGATTGGCATTGAAAAAAAGAAAATTAAATTTGAATTTTATTTATTTAATGTCAAACAATTAATTCTAGTTATTACTTATTAGAGACAAGACACCCCGCTAATTATAAAGTTGAAAACGCGTAATGAAGACATTAAAGGTCAGACGGTAGTTTGAAGTCTTTTCATTGTCGAATATTGTTATGGTCTTGATTTTAATTTTTATTTTCAAAATTAAGTCTAAGATTGTCCATGTTCACCGTATTTCATCACTATGTTAATCCAAATATTTGAATTTCTCAATCAAACTGTAAAACGTCAAAGTATGAATTTTAGTTTTAAATAGATTTTAATGTTCATAATAACTTACCGACTTCTTTAAATTATTACCAAAATATAAAGAGTAAATGACCTTTTCCCACCCCAGGGTTGCTCTTAATGACACTTTTTCACCCAAAAATTTTCAAAATATCACTTTTCTACACAAAGTTAATATTTCGTTATTATTCAAAGCGGATTCTGACAGCGAAAATTCTCTGCATCACCATCATTTAAACCTCTGTTATCCTCTCTACAAAATCTCTCTCTCTCTGCTACTTGATTTCTTGTTGATTGTCGATCACTACAAAGTTAGGGTTTCTTATTCTTATTTGATTCCGACAACGAATATTCAATCGGTTACCACCATTCGATCAATTGGCCTCCACTCTACAAAACCCCCCTTATTCTGACTCCTAGTAACTCATTAAACTTTGTTGATTTACTATGTGATGATTTTATTGAAAAAGATTGTCGGCCCAGAAAGTGAAATATGTTTTGGGTAATAACGGAATATAAACTTTGACTGAAAAAAGTGGTATTTTAAAACGTTTTGGGTGGAAAAGGTTATTAAGGCAAACCTTGGGTGGGAAAACGTTATTTACTCTCATGGATGACAACATCTTTTATGTAGCGCCACCAAAATCAATCCATTCAACTAGTAAGTATCATTTAATTATGTAAAAAAAAAATTTTTTAAAATTAAAAAAAATATATATATATTTTTAATGTTGAAATTTCTCAAATGCTGGAATTATTATCATTTCTCTATCATCTCTTATCTGTAATACATTTGGTCAATAATTTCTTTCGTCTACTCTAATGCTATGCTGCCTTTCACAAATATGTAGATGCTGACTGATCTCAAATTAATATTTATTGCCCAATTATGTTCAACTTTCGCACTTTTTTTTTTCTTCGATTTAATATAATTATATGAAATTTCAAAGCTGACATGCATATTCAACATGCCTCACCTAAATTATACCAATCAAAATAACGTCCCAACCAAATGAAAATTCAGTGCATTATATATGTATCTCTCACCCATACAGTCTCATTACTCAAATCATCCCCACCGCCCATGCATTGACCATTTTTATAATTAAGACCACATGGTACATTAGTTTTTCTTCTCAGAAATCCCGCAGGTCGTTGGGAACTAGGAATTTGAACGATACGAGCGATTATGAGCATTAAATAAAAATATTAAAAAATTTATAAAAAAACACTATTATTTTTCACTAATTTATAAAATTAATTAAATGCAATATTTCTTATTGAAAGTGGATCCATTTATACAAGGGAAATGGAAATTATGTGGAACACGAATTCAACGTTTGAAAGTTTACCCACATGCTAAGCGATAAGGACGACGCTTTCAGTGTACATCAATCTACTATTACCTAAACCAGCCAATCATCACACGCCATGTCATAAAAATAAAACAAAAATTCCATTCCTTAAATCGAGACTTGACTGAGTCACACTACCCTAAAATTGAAGGTCACCCCCTCCCTAATTTTCGCACGTGGGCTAAACCAAGACATGTATCCATCAAGTCAAGGCTGACGTAGATCAAGATTAACATTATGCGGTTAGAGATGGGCAGCCGACAATGACCCAACAGTAGTCTATACTACGTGGCGATATAACATTGGCGAAATTACAAATTTACTTTGACGGTAGCGGAGACATGTGTCTGGTCAGGCACCGAAAGTAAGCATTTATAATTCCACGTAAGGATGTTGTAAGTCCACGCTGAAAATGTCTTATCATGATTCATGAGTAATAATGAGATAAAAGGTGCGATGTGGATTCAGAAGAAAAGTGGGGGTGGCAATAGTGAAAATGAGTTAAGTGGCGGCTTTCGCCGAGGTTCTTCGTTGCTTCCTTTCCTTCATCTTTATCTTAATCCACGTAGAGCCATTATATGATTTGTCAAAATTTCAAACTTCAACTATAAAATTTGCATTTAAGTCACTCTCACTCTTAGCGGTTTTTTTCTATTTTAATTTAATTCCACAAAATAACAAAAAAAAGGGTGTAATTTTTGAATTTTTTTAACTCAGATGACAAATTGTAAATAAATAATAATTTAATATTAATTATAATATAAATGGAAGGACGATATGTACCGAATCCAAATCTTTATCTGCCAGATTTAATTTCTAATTACAACTCTCGAGAAACACAGCACAAGATTCCTTCTACGCTCGCTCACAGTCACAATCACAATCCATCCTACTACTGCCAAATCACACCAAGCTGACCCTCTCAACCGCACGTGTAGGATGACGTGTTCTCCTCATCCACCGTTGAACTATCGGTTCACTGACTTAAAAACAATTAAATAAAGCCGATAAAAATATATTTCAGAAAAGCCTAAAACAAACCACGCCGACCCCACACGAATCCCGAGGCTAGTTTTTCTACGAACCGACAAAGTCGTACGCACCCGTCCAAAATAATTTGCGTAAGCAATGACAAAATCACTTCCATGTGGCTCTCGACACGCACCAACACTACTTCACCTGTTGACACGTGTCCGGCTGCTTTCTTATACCTTCCTCACTAAAGCCCCAAGTAACACTATCGTCCACATTGATTCTAGAACTAACTTTCTTCCTTTCCCGCCACGTGTCCCCTTTCTTCATCTATAAATTCAGTACTCTCCCTTGCGTTCTAAGTTTCAAGCGCCGTCATAGTATTTGGAGAGTCTTAAGAGTTTCGGAGTTTATTCTACTGCTACGTAGAGATAAGGAAATAGTGGTGAACTACCACAAAAAGAGGGGTAAAATAGTCAAAATCAAAATGTCGACTGAGTTACAGCTGCCTCCTGGTTTCAGATTTCATCCGACGGATGAGGAGCTCGTGACGCACTATTTATGCCGGAAATGTTTGTCGCAGCCAATAGCCGTCCCGATTATCGCGGAAATCGATCTTTACAAATTTGATCCTTGGGACCTCCCAGGTATTATTAATTTTGTTAATTTCACAATATCATGGATCTTGTTTTAGTTATGTACTTGGATTTTAATAATTTTCGTGGTTTTTAATTTGCAGATTTGGCTTTATACGGAGAAAAGGAGTGGTACTTTTTTTCGCCGAGGGATAGGAAGTACCCGAACGGTTCAAGGCCGAACCGAGCAGCGGGAAGCGGGTACTGGAAGGCGACTGGTGCCGATAAGCCGATTGGACAGCCAAAACCCTTGGGAATTAAGAAGGCTTTGGTGTTTTACGCCGGGAAAGCTCCTAAAGGGGAGAAAACCAACTGGATTATGCATGAGTATCGGTTAGCCGACGTCGATCGCTCGGCTCGTAAGAAGAACAGCTTAAGGGTATAGCGCCGTACCATTATTTTTCTGCTACCGTCGAGAATAAAATGGAGATTTTGCAGTATGATTTTTCTGACCTTAACGTGGAGGTTGAAATGACCCTTTTGACCTTTACCTGTCAATTTTCATAATTGGCGGCTGCCAGAACGGCATGAATATCGTGAGGCTAGGTTCTATGATCTGAATCTAAAATGTTTAATCTGTTAAATCAGAAGGTAACAAATTAAACAGTAAACCGGCCCACAAAACATGACCCCACGCGCAAAATTTAAACGGTCGTGATGCAGTGGGGTCTACCAGATAGGTACATTTGAGAATTGAGAAATATCTAAGCAGACGTTAAACGTCATTCACTTGGTCACGATGACCACTTGTCGCTGTAGCCAATTGTCTCAATTATTACTTTCCACTTAAGGAAATATTCCTTCTTATCACTTCATGTGAGCTCAGGAGATAGAGATAGATAAGAGACTGATTATTATTTGGTCATGACATAACAATCAACAATCATGTGATGGATAAATCCAACGGTTCTGATTTTTTTTTTTTTTGGCAGCTGGATGACTGGGTCTTATGTCGCATATACAACAAGAAAGGAAGCGTCGAGAGGCAGCAAAATCAAGCCGCTAACCGGAAAATGAATTCACCGGTAATGGAGGAGGATAGGAAACCTGATATATTTTCAAAGGGCGTGAACAAATCAGCACTTCCTCCGAATCCGGCGGCGGCTGCGACTGGAACGGTTAATGATTACGTGTACTTCGACACGTCGGATTCGGTGCCGAAGTTGCACACGGACTCGAGCTGCTCGGAGCAAGTGGTGTCACCGGAATTCACCTCCGAGGTGCAGAGCGAGCCAAAAATACAACCTTGGGATAACAATAACCTCGGGTTTCCGTATAATTACTTAGATGCCAATATGGACTTGAGCTTCAGTTCTCAGTTTCAAAGCAGTAATCAGCTGTCGCCGTTGCAGGATATGTTCATGTACCTTCAGAAGCCATTTTAAAGTGGGACCGTATAAGTTGGGCGATGTGGGGCCAAGATTTGATAGAATTGGTATTTGGTATTGTAGAAAGCCTTGAACGGTAACACGAGACGAAAGTCCATGAGTGTGCCTGTGCAGGGTCGACTAGCTGATCGGAGGGGTAGTTATTGGAGATACAGTTGTAGTTTTTGGCCGTTGGATCGTGCTGATCGGAAAATCTGCATTATAACAATTAGCATGTGTACACTGTTCTGTACAGCATGTGTATGTAGATAAGCAAAATGTTGTTGGGTTTCTAAAAAATTCTTAATATTTTGTAATGGGTTAGGCTTTCTCTATTCTATTATATGGAAAAAGGCGTATTGCCCTTTCCTTTTTTATTCTATTTTACTCTCTTGTTAATATAGTCCCGATGATTCATTGAATATTTTTTATGAAACTTTCAGTAGAATAATACTTTGCATATGAGGGTAAAACGTTATATTAATAATACGTGATATCAATAATAATATATCAAAATCATATATTAATTATAAGATAAATGAGTGCATATCGGCAACTGGCCTATTGCAGTGTTTCATAGTACTATTACAGTTGTCATGTGAATCACATCGAATATGTGCATTTCACCAACACAAAGCATATCTTCTATTGTTGATAATATTGAACTGATGGAATGGACCGGTATTGTTGGGCTCCCAACAATACGGGCCGAGAATGTGAGATGTGAACTGATAGCAAAGGAGCAAGATAAGACATGAATGGACTCTTAATGGGCCCATCATAGCCCACAAATAATGGCAGTTCGATTGGTATTTCAAAAATCTCATTGTGTCTGTACTTAGATACTGACTATACAAAGATCAAGTAATGAATGAGAAGAATGCCTAAACTTTGATGTATATAAAGGTCATAAAAAATTATTTTAACTTTGATTCTTAACTCAGACCCTAGCAACATGTCGTCTTCCTTCACCCCATGTGCTTATAATAACAAATTCATGTAACTTATCAATATCCCAATTGATTTTTTAGGTAGCAACGTATAATTCAATTGCATTTTGACCTATACAAGCATAAGTTAACGTTAAATATTACAAATTTCATGTTATATAATATAAAATTCCTATGTTTTATTAACACATTATGTCATTTATGTGCCTAATCAATACAATTGGGTCATGATTTTAAAATTTATCAATCATACGATTGAAAAAAAGAGAAAATAATTTATATACTATATGTGTTCATTGGTTTGATGCATAGATGAAACAAATATTCTTAAGTTTCTCTCTATTGAAGAGGCAAAACTCCAATTTGCCTAGCCATGACATGTTTTCTTGGTCAAAAAAACATTGGGGTATTCATCAGTTTGAGAGGTTTTAACTTCAGTATTGTGTTTTGATTAAACCCCATTTCAATCCCTAATTATTTCACATTTCCGATTAATTAAAGATTATGTTCATGTCTCCCTTTCACTAAAAAGTGGTGTAACTTCCACTTGACAAATCAAAGGAGCGTTTGGTTGTTGGTTGTTAAACTTGCAATCGTATGATATTTCATTCATCATTTCTGCCTTTTTTTTTTTTTTTTTTTTTTTGGACTAGTTTTGGTAAAAATTGTTGGAAAATTTAAACCCTTTCTCTGTCAGTTGTTGAACAACCAACACCATTCACAAAAGCATCACATGGTTAAAGTATTATTTGCATGATTGTTTTGCTAACATTACTTTAAACGTGTTGACATTAAATTATCAAGGGATTTTGTTCATTTAATCTTAAATATTTGTAAAATGATTATGCGGAAAACCTTATTTCATAATAACAAACTTGATTTATATAATCAAGTTTTTTTTTTTTTAATTATTCGAGCTAATAATGTGATTATATAATCATAATCTCATTATTATTCAAACAAAATTCAGTTTAAGAGACGATCCAAATTCAAGCCAAGAATTTTGGTCGGTGGCCCACGACCTCTTGCAAACATTTATAAAATTTAAACATAAAATATTATTTGATCCCCTATAATTCAATTTTTTCTTTGGATTCCCTTATTTGTTAGTTTATATTATAATTCTCTATTTAAAAACCATATTAAGACAAATTACTATAGAAATTTGGAAACAACTTTTAATCATTTTCTAACTTTAAAATAGTTTTTAAGATTGTATTGAAAAATTATTTTAAAAAACAATACAACTCATTTCTACCAAACGTAATTTAATAAGATTTATTATATCATTGTTTTATTAAAATATCAAATTTAATTTTGGTATTCCTCTTCTCATTCGTTGAACATTACACTTTTACCCAAGAAATGTCATTTCTTGATTCCAACGCTAAATCAAAGTGTCAACAATTTATGAGAAAATGAGAATAAAGTGACGTGCTAAACATAACATCAACAAATTGTGGGTAAGAAAGCGTTGATAATAGTATAAAAAGTTAAAAAGGATTGTTTAAAAGTATAAAGAAGGTGGGTGTGGTACGAAGCACATGGGAGAATATAGAGATCCAAGAAACATTTTGTGGGGGTAACTGATAATGGCAGAATTTATATAATATAATCCTCACTATTTCATGCTTCCCCAAGCATCTTTCATGTTCTTCCAAATCCAACTTATTTACTGTCTACACCCAGATCTTTCCTTAATATTTCTCTATCTTCTGTTTTATCTCTCAATTTTCCGATATGCTAAGTTGTGGGAGTGATTGGTTATTCATGAAAGATTAACCTTATATCACTAAGATTCGCACCAACGAAAAGTATGTAAATTCCTTTGTGAAATCTACGCAAGGGATTGTATGGAATTCGTGATGTGATGTGAGATCAATGAATGAATTAATAAAAACACAAACAAACAATTTTTAGAGTGGTTTAGATGCTTAGGCGTAAATCCTACACCCACTATTTTTGTATTATTTTATGTATTTTTTATACGCACCAGTACGACTTACAAAAATATGAATGAATCATCCTCCAATTAGGGAAAAAAATAAGTTTATATATTGTTACAATAATAAATTTATAAATAAAATTAACCTAAAAAAGGAATGACATATGATGTGAATCCGCGTTCTGGAGGTTGACTGCACAACAAGCCTAATGGTCAAGTTCGTGATTTACTCTCATCAGATTTGATCATTGGTGGTCGTTTCAAAATTGGGTATACAAAACAATTTACAGTTTATTAATGAAATCCAACTATTTTGACTGGTCTATAACTCTAATAAGCTTACTATTTCTTTATTACCTACTTTACTTTCAAAGGCTGCAAATGGGGTTACAAAATGGTACATATATTATGCTTTCTAACCCACATTCCCATGTTTTACTTGTAAAAGTGACCATCAATTTCAGCTTTTCTTGTTTACCTTTCATTTATTTTATGTAAATCAATTTTTCCATGATTATTATAGTTTAATAATGAGGCTATACTTTGACTAAAAAACAAATCCATTAAAAGGTAGGTTGGATGTAAAATCAGTCTCAATGTCTTACTATGCATGCATACATGTGGCATGATTAATTTATTGAATTGATTTTTTTAATTATAACACTGTTGTCTTGATATTTGACCAAATTTGTGGCTAGATCTCATTTATATAATTTTTTTTTTTTTTATAATATTAAAGATTAAATCTCATACAAATCTTAGGCATAAAGAGACCATTGTCATCAAACATACTGCAGACACAATTCGTAAATCCAGGACTTTTATAACCACAATATGCTTTAAAACAATAATAAATTATAAGAGATGTGACAGTCATTTAATTTCAAATATTTATTTACTTATTATTTCTCTGATTTTTATACTATTAAAACACTGCCCATTTAATTGCATGCAACCAAATTCATCTTCCAGGTGGTACCCACATATTCAAATCCGATGGCTACCATCCAGATCTGATCATCACATCACACATATCTGGAGCATGTGTCGTGTTATGTTTTATTATCCATTCTTAAATTCAAGGATATTTTTTTTGCCTTTATTAATAGATTTTTGAAACGTTTTCACTGAATTCTGATTCCTTTACATATGCTTAAACTAAACACTAATCAGCACCTTACTTGATTTAGAGAAAACATCAAAACGTGTGATATTTGTTATAAATAACATGAAGGCTTCGTTTGGTTGGATTTTGGGAATACTACTTTTAGTATTCCCAAAAAAGTTAAACAATAAAATACCAAAAAACTCATAATATTATTCAACTTTATTCAATATTTTTTAAACCCCCTAAATTTGTTAATTCAATTAAATACCCCTAAATATTTTTAATGTTTTTGTTACGGCGACTCCGGCCACCCTCCGGCGGTGGTGGCCGGCTGTCCGTATTTGAGGGTGGATTGGGGGTGTTTTTGTTAACTTTTAATGTTTTATTATAAAGGGTGTTTTGTAAAAAAACAAACATAGGGGGTATTTTCTCAATTTGTAAATCCTACATCGTAATACCCGCCCAATTCAACTTTTTTTTAACTTTTTTCAAAAAACTTTTCTCAAAAACACAAAATTGTGAACCAAACGGAGCCGAAATCTTATCTTAAATTTATAAAATATATGAAAACTGGGCAGAATGGTAAATTTTAGGGAAAAATCTTTTATTCACACTACTTGGAAGTTAACCTGTCACTGTTGCTCAGCTGTATCTCTCTGCACTGACAGTTAAAAACAAGAAATCTGCATCAGAAAAGGAAAACAAATCGATTTCAAAATATAAAATTGGAAAAAACAAATCCCAAAAATAAACAACCAATTGGTATCAATTTCTTCACTAGGCGCATCCGTTTTAACCTCATCCAATAGTAAAATTCCACGTAAAATTACAAAAATAATAAAACCCTAAAATGGAAAAAAGTGAAAATTAGAAAACGATAAAAATAATGAACAGGAAAACAAAAAACGAAACAAAACATAAAGAAAAGAAACGAAAAGACTGAGACTCTCTCACTGTCTGTCGCTGCCTTCATTGACGACGTAGAGCTCTTCTTTGGGTTTTATTTGTTGAAGCTCACTGAATTTTCAGTTATTTGAAGGTGTTTTTGATTAAGATTTTTAATTTTGTTTATAGTTAAAGAAAAGTACATGTGTTTTGAATTGGATTCGGTGATCTGATCTCCGTACGCCTCTCTCCCATTCTCTCTAAATTTGTTTTCATGTTGACAAATAGTCACATTTTCATTATTATTTAAATTGATAGTGCAATTCAATTCTACACTGTTATTATTTTTATTGTTATTTTAATCATGATATAAGTGTATGAAGATCTAATCGTTCCGGGACAAGTTCGGTTTTTGATCTTTATTCGATTAGTTGATGGTGTTGTAATTACAGAGACGGAGTTGGATTTGTTTGATTGAGGGTTGAAAGTGAAGCGTAGATTGAGTGAGCTGGCAGTGGTGAGTGCAATTGCTTGGGATTGGCATGGTGGACGATGATTGGACGGTGATGTTTTTCGGGCCGAGAAACCGGGTTTCGGGATAGCCGGAAGGGGGGAGTTCTTGGCATTTGCATTGTCGGTAGGCTTTTTCTTTCTTTATTTTTCTCATTTATAACCCATGAGGTGTTTGATCTTCACAAGAAAATCTATCTTTCTGGTTATATATTGTTGTTTGTTTTATCTTATGAAAGAATCGTTATTTTGGTTGGTACTCCTTTGATTTTTCTTTTTTCTTTTTTTATTCTGGGCTACCTGTAGAGGTGGACTAACATATTGAAATTTTGAAGAGTAAAATTATGTTTGTTGGAGATTTGGTTTTGTAAGTGTTGCATTATAAATATTCTTGTGAACTGGTTCGTGTAATTGATTTGTATTTTTGAGTGCATAATACCTTTTTACAGATCGTGTGTGTCATTTATTTATTTTTCATCTCCTTGTAGCTGGTATGTGAGGCCAGTTTACAGGAGTGGTTATGTAATTGTGTTGTATTTTTAAGAAATTAAGTTTTTTAATTGATATGTGGTTGATGAAAGTATTGTAGTATGGAAATAGGAAAGGTTGGTTAGCTTGGTTTTTGGTTTTGTTGTACAATTGCCTGATAACATTCATTTGTGCTCTTGTGTACAAGATTATATTGTTACTTTTATCTGTCAATTGGGGTTGATTTAATAATATTGATTAGTAACTTTGGTTTTCAGGCAGCCAAGGAGACGGTGAAGTTGTGTATTGGTGCAAATGTCAAAGTCTCCCTCCCCTGAACCACGAGAGCATAGATTTCCATTTGCTTCTCAGCCTAGGTTAGTTTTTTTGTTGTTTTCTTTATTTTATTTTTATAAAATCTGGCAATGAGACCTTTTTTTTTTTTAATATTTCTACAATGAAGTGTCATAAATATATAGGAACTATTAACATATTTCAAATGAGTAAATAAAAAGCCATCTGAAAAGAAATTATCAACTACTGATTTAGAGAATTATCATCATCTTCTCTGTTGAACCAGTAACCAGAATTAATTTGTATGTTTCTTTGTTAAATTCTGATTGATGTTAGATTATCATTCATTTTGGTGCCTCAGATGCTAATTAGTACAATTAATTTGCTGGTTACATCCAGGGCGTCAAATGGAACAGAAGGAATGGATGATCCAGACAGTACGATGTCTATGGTTGCTCAATTTATTGAGCAACTACATGCCAACATGTCTTCACCGCAAGAGAAAGAACTTATTACAGCACGTGTACTTGGTATTGCAAGATCAAGGAAGGAGGCCAGAACGCTCATTGGATCTCATGCCCAAGCAATGCCATTGTTCATATCCATTCTCAGGAGTGGCACCCCTGTGGCAAAAGTGAATGTTGCTGCAACTCTTAGTGTTCTATGCAAAGATGAAGAGTTACGATTAAAGGTGCTTCTTGGTGGGTGCATTCCACCATTGCTCTCCCTTTTGAAGTCAGAATCAACTGAAGCAAGGAAGGCAGCAGCAGAGGCAATATATGAGGTCTCCTCTGGTGGACTTTCAGATGATCATATTGGTATGAAAATATTTATTACAGAGGATGTGGTTCCCTCCTTATGGGATCAGCTTGATCCAAAGAACCAGCAGGATAAAGTGGTACAGGGGTTTGTTACTGGGGCCTTGAGGAATCTTTGTGGTGACATGAATGGGTATTGGAGGGCCACACTTGAGGCTGGAGGAGTAGATATTATAGTGGGTCTTCTATCTTCTGATAGTGCTGCTGCTCAGTCCAATGCAGCTTCTCTATTGGCCCGTCTGATGTTGGCTTTCAGTGATAGTACCCCCAAAGTAATAGACTCTGGAGCTGTCAAAGCTTTGCTACGGCTTGTGGGTCAGAATAATGATACTTCTGTTCGCGCTAGTGCTGCTGATGCTTTGGAGGCACTTTCGTCAAAGTCAACCAAAGCTAAGAAAGCTGTTGTGGATGCTGCAGGTGTTCCCGTTTTGATTGGGGCTATTGTTGCTCCTTCTAAAGAGTGTATGCAAGGGGAGTGTGGCCAGGCGCTGCAGGGACATGCAACACGAGCTTTAGCTAATATCTGTGGAGGGATGTCTGCTTTTATAATGTATCTTGGAGAACTATCTCAATCTCCTCGCCTAGCTGCTCCAGTTGCTGATATAATAGGAGCACTTGCCTATGCTCTGATGGTCTTCTGTCAAAGTTCTACAGTTGATGAGGAACCTTTTGATGCAACACTGATAGAAAATATATTAGTGATGCTACTGAAGCCTCGTGATAATAAACTAGTTCAAGAGCGTGTTCTTGAGGCTATGGCCAGCTTATATGGCAACATCTACCTCTCAAGATGCCTCAGTCATGCAGAAGCGAAGAAGGTGCTTGTAGGACTCATAACAATGGCTGCGGCTGATGTGCAGGAATATCTGGTAGTTTCTTTAACCAGGTTATGCCGTGATGGAATTGGCATCTGGGAGGCTGTTGGCAAGAGAGAAGGAGTTCAGTTGCTGATGTCATTGCTGGGCTTATCAAGTGAGCAGCATCAAGAGTATGCTGTTCAGTTGTTAGCAATCTTGACTGATCAGGTTGATGACAGCAAGTGGGCTATCACTGCTGCTGGTGGGATTCCTCCACTGGTGCAGTTATTAGAGACTGGATCTCAGAAGGCGAGGGAGGTTGCGGCTTATGTTCTATGGAATTTGTGCTGTCACAGTGAAGATATCCGTGCCTGTGTTGAAAGTGCTGGAGCTGTTCCAGCATTCTTATGGCTCCTAAGAAGTGGTGGAATGAAAGGGCAAGCAGCCTCAGCTATGGCACTTACAAAGCTTGTCCGGACAGCTGATTCTGCCACCATTAATCAGTTGCTAGCTTTGCTCCTAGGAGACTCACCAAATTCGAAGGCCCATATTATTGAAGTTTTGGGTCATGTACTTACAGTGGCATCACAAAAGGATCTTTTGCAGAAGGGATCTGCAGCTAATAGAGGGCTGAGATCTCTTGTCCAGGTGCTCAATTCCTCCAATGAAGAAACCCAAGAAAATGCTGCTTCTGTACTAGCTGATTTATTCAGCACGAGACAAGATATCTGTGATAGTCTTGCAATTGATGAGATTGTGAAGCCATGTATGAAGCTTTTAACCAGCAATAGTCAAGTCATTGCCACACAGTCAGCTCGAGCATTGGCTGCTCTTTCCCGTCCAACCAAAACTAAAACGACAAACAAGATGTCTTACATTACAGAAGGGGATGTCAATCCTCTGATTAAGTTGGCTAAAACTTCTTCTATAGATGCTGCTGAAACTGCTGTTGCTGCTTTGGCCAATCTTCTCTCTGATCCCCAGGTTGCTGCAGAAGCCCTGGTCGAAGATGTTGTTTCTGCTTTGACAAGAGTACTGGCAGAAGGAACTTCAGAAGGTAAGAAGAACGCATCACGGGCTTTACATCAGTTACTCAAGCATTTTCCAGTTGGTGATGTGCTCAAAGGAAATGCACAGTGTCGTTTTGCTGTTAACACAGTTGTTGATTCTGTGAATGCAATGAATATGGATGGCACTGATGCTGCAGATGCTTTAGAAGTAATTTCACTTTTGGCCAGGACAAAGCAGGATTCAAACCTCTCATACCCGCCATGGGCTGCCCTTGTCGAAGTTCCTTCAAGCTTAGAACCTCTTGTGCGCTGTCTGGCAGAGGGGCCACCTTCATTGCAAGATAAGGCTATAGAAATTCTGTCTAGGTTTTGCGGCGATCAACCATTTGTACTAAGTGATCTGTTGGTTGCAAGATCAACATCCACTGTTGCTTTAGCTAATAGAATAATGCACTCATCCAGCCTAGAAGTTAGAGTTGGGGGGACAGCATTACTCATTTGTGCTGCAAAGGAGCACAAAGAACAGTCAATGGATGCAATTGATCTGTCAGGATATTTGAAATCCCTTATATATACTTTAGTGGATATGATGAAGCAGAATTCTAGCTGTTCCTCTTTAGAAATTGAATTCATTACTCCAAGACGTTACGTGGAAAGAGCTCCATTTCAGAAAGGTGATTATTTTGATATTCCTGATCCAGCCATTGTCTTGGGGGCTACTGTTGCCTTATGGTTGCTATCAATAATTTCTTCCTATCATACAAAAAATAAACTCACTGTAGTGGAAGCTGGTGGACTTGAGGTTCTATCTGACAAACTTGCAACTTGTGCTTCCAATCCACAGGTATAGCCTGATCTATCCTTTTAAATTGTTTGGGTTTTAACCCTTTATCTTTTTGGTTGGGCTTCTATTGTATTTATGGTATTATGCATTTTTTTGGTCTAAATTTTGTCCAATTTTGATTGGTGGCTAAAATTAAACTCCTGTTGCTTTGCAGGCTGAATTTGAAGATACAGACGGTGTATGGATAAGTGCCATGCTCCTGGCCATTTTGTTTCAAGATGCTAATGTTGCTCTATCTCCTGCAACAATGAGCATCATACCCTCACTTGCTCTTCTGCTGAGATCTGATCAAGTGATTGATAGATACTTTGCTGCCCAGGCAATGGCTAGTCTTATTTCTAGTGGAAGCAAGGGCATAAATCTTGCTATTGCAAATTCAGGTGCTGTTGCTGGCTTGATAGCTCTAATTGGCTACATAGAATCAGATATGCCAAACCTTGTAGCATTATCCGAAGAATTTTTATTGGTAAGAACTCCTGATCAAGTTGTTTTGGAACAACTTTTTGAAATTGAGGATGTAAGAGTTGGCTCTATTGCACGGAAATCGATTCCTCTGTTAGTGGATCTCTTGAGACCCATTCCCGATAGGCCAGGTGCCCCTCCAATTGCTGTTCAACTCTTGACTCGCATTGCAGATGGAAGTAATACAAATAAATTAATCATGGCTGAAGCTGGAGCTCTTGATGCTCTAACAAAATACCTATCATTGAGCCCTCAAGACTCAACAGAGGCTGCCATATGTGAATTATTGAGAATATTGTATAGCAATCCTGATCTTATCCGATATGAAGCATCCCTTAGTTCCCTGAATCAACTCATTGCCGTTCTGCGTTTGGGCTCAAGAGGTGCTAGACTTAGTGCTGCAAGGGCCCTCTGTGAACTTTTTGATGCAGAGAATGTTAGAGACTCTGAATTGGCTTGGCAGGCTGTTCAGCCATTGGTTGACATGCTTAATGCTGCATCAGAGTGTGAGCAAGAGGTTGCTCTTGTTTCTTTGATCAAGTTGACATCGGGAAATCCCTCAAAAGCAGGTTTATTGACTGATGTAGAAGGAAACCCACTTGAGAGTCTATACAAAATATTATCAACTGCTTCATCCTTGGAATTGAAGAGAAATTCTGCCGAACTTTGTTTCATTATGTTTGGTAATACAAAAATGAGAACATCTCCAATTGCTTCTGAATGCATACAGTGCCTTGTATCACTTATGCAGTCTGACACAAGTACAGCCGTGGAATCTGCTGTTTGTGCTTTTGAGAGATTATTGGACGATGAGCAACAAGTCGAGTTTGCAGCAGTTTATGATGTTGTGGATCTACTTGTTAGCTTGGTTTCTGGGGAAAACCATCGACTCATTGAGGCTAGCATATGTGCCCTCATAAAATTAGGGAAAGACCGGACTCCATGCAAATTGGAAATGGTAAAAGCTGGCGTTATTGATAACTGTCTTGAGCTACTCCCAGTTGCACGTAGTTCTTTGTGCTCCTCCATTGCGCAACTGTTCCGCATTTTAACAAATAGCAGTGCAATTGCTAGGAGTTCTGATGCTGCAAAAATAGTAGAACCCCTTTTCATGGTCTTGCTTCGTCCAGATTTCAATCTGTGGGGACAGCATAGTGCCTTGCAGGCACTTGTGAACATTTTGGAAAAACCACAAAGCCTCGCAACTTTGAAGCTGACTCCAAGCCAAGTCATTGAGCCTTTGATTTCATTTTTGGAGTCTCCTTCTCAAGCCATCCAGCAGCTCGGCACAGAACTGTTAAGTCATCTACTTGCGCAGGAACATTTCCAGCAGGACATCACCACAAAAAATGCTGTTGTTCCACTTGTGCAGCTTGCTGGAATTGGAATACTGAACCTGCAGCAAACAGCAGTAAAAGCATTAGAAAAAATCTCCACAAGCTGGCCAAAAGCAGTTGCTGATGCTGGAGGTATTTTTGAGCTTGCAAAGGTTATTATCCAAGATGATCCTCAACCTCCTCATTCATTGTGGGAATCAGCTGCTTTGGTACTCTCAAATGTTTTGCATTGCAATGCAAAGTACTATTTTAAAGTTCCGGTGGTAGTTCTGGTCAGAATGTTGCACTCAACACTGGAGAGCACCATCACTGTGGCTCTTAATGCCTTGCTTGTCCATGAAAAGACTGATGCTTCAAGCGCTGAACAGATGGCTCAAGCTGGTGCCATATATGCTTTGGTGGATTTACTTAGATCTCATCAGTGTGAAGAAGAATCAGGAAGGTTACTAGAAGCCTTGTTTAACAATGTGAGGATACGAGAGATGAAGGTTTCCAAGTATGCAATTGCACCATTATCACAGTATTTGTTAGACCCCCAAACCAGATCAGAGTCAGGCAGGCTTCTTGCAGCTTTAGCCCTTGGAGACCTCTCTCAGCATGAAGGGCTTGCTAGAGCCAGTGATTCTGTGTCTGCATGTCGTGCACTGATAAGCTTGCTTGAGGATCAAACAACAGAAGAAATGAAAATGGTGGCAATTTGTGCATTGCAGAACTTTGTAATGAACAGTAGAACTAATAGGAGAGCTGTTGCAGAAGCAGGTGGGATATTAGTTGTTCAAGAGCTACTATTGTCTCCAAATGCAGAAGTTGCTGGGCAGGCAGCATTGCTAATCAAATTTTTATTTTCCAATCACACACTCCAAGAATATGTATCGAATGAGCTTATCAGATCTTTGACAGGTAAATTAGATCATGATGGGTCACCTTGTGTCACATGTTTTGATAATTTTTACTAAAATATTGGCATCAAGTTTCTTTTGTTGTGATTTCATTCATACTATAAAGTTTCTGCAAAAAATAAAATAAAATAATGGAAAAGAACAAAATAAATTATATTTTGTATTTAAGGAAACTTCAAGGAGCAATATACAGCAAAACCGCATTGAGATAGCTTGCTGTCGGAACATGTAGTCACCTACCAATATTTTGCTGCCTTTTTGTTTTCATTTAGTATGAATATTTTCTCTCTGGCTGTGGTGATTATCAATTGTTTCTTAGCTTGTTTTTCCACTTAAACAGTGAAAGTTTTCAATGCTTCTTGTACAGCTGCACTGGAGAGAGAGTTGTGGTCTACAGCAACTATTAATGAAGAGGTGTTAAGGACATTACATGTGATATTTATGAACTTCCCTAAGCTTCATATTTCTGAAGCAGCCACCCTGTGCATCCCTCATTTGGTTGGAGCACTTAAGTCTGGAAGTGAGGCCGCTCAGGAGTCTGTATTGGACACCCTATGCTTGTTAAAACATTCTTGGTCAACCATGCCGATAGATATTGCAAAGTCTCAAGCCATGATTGCTGCTGAAGCCATTCCTATTCTGCAAATGCTGATGAAAACCTGCCCACCAAGTTTCCATGATAGAGCAGACAGCCTCCTACACTGCTTACCAGGGTGTTTGACTGTTACAATTAAGCGTGGTAACAATCTAAAGCAGACCATGGGAACCACTAATGCTTTTTGTCGATTGACAATAGGCAATGGTCCTCCACGGCAAACCAAGGTAATTTTTCTATTAAGGAATTTAATAGAATGGACAGTTCTAGACAGATCTGCCACATTATATATAATGTTCATATCATTGCATTCTAAGTTTCCAACCTTTTGGATGTCTTTGAGGCTCCATTATCTTTTTCTGCTTTTATCTGTTGACAGAAAGAACTCTACATCCGTAATTCATAATTTGCAAAATTTCATGTTCTACCATGATTTTAAAAGAGGGGACTCAGATCGAAAAAGTTTGAGGATTGTTTGCTACAGAAGTTCTGATTGTATCATCCTCCTTGTACTGACTTGTTTGTGTTTTATTATTATTAGGTGGTCAACCACAGTATTTCTCCTGAATGGAAAGAAGGGTTCACATGGGCCTTTGATGTACCTCCGAAGGGACAAAAACTCCACATCTTATGCAAAAGCAAAAATACTTTTGGGAAGGTAATTAGATATCCAAATTATGCTTTAAGCACTTTCACTGCGGTGGATAAAGCTTTTCATTTAGTGGTTGCAATCATCAATCTGGTGCTGGTTTATTTACAGCTGAGAAATTCACTCATACTGGAAATGCATAAATTGATGGTTACAGAAAAACATTTGCATATGCTTGTCTTGATATGCTATATCGTAGTCAGTCAATTGCTAGAATGATACAGTTTAAATTGCACATAAAACATATTGATTTTGGTTACTAATTTGGAAAGGTGGGCTTTTTCAGACAACTCTTGGAAAAGTGACTATCCAAATTGACAAAGTTGTGACGGAAGGAGTTTACAGCGGTTTGTTCAGTCTAAATCATGACAGCAACAAAGATGGCTCTTCCAGAACGCTTGAAATTGAGATAATCTGGTCCAACAGGTTGTCAAATGATGACATATAAGAGGGTTACTTCTGTCCATGCACAGACAGTAAAATCAAACAGGTGCAGCAAGTTACTGATGAAGCTGAACAGAGAAGAGTTGACAGTCGTTTGACTCAGATGGGTGCCCGTGATTGGTTTGCTTGTAAGTATTTATATCTTGCAGAGGTTCAGTTTTGTAGTAAGCAGGATTAAGCTGCTTAACATGTAAAGTATAAAATGTTCATTGATTTATGGAGACAAAAGGAGTCGAAAGCGTTTCCCACGTTAGTGATTATAAAAAAAAGAATGTTTAGTAGTTTGTTGTACAGATGAGTCTTTAGGAGCTAGCAACTTAAAAAAGTTACTAGAAAAAATATCGCATTAAGTTTAAGAATGATCAAATGGGCTTTTGGCACAAAGTGCTGCCTCTTTAGTGATGGAAATAGGATGTATGTGTGCTTTTATTCTGCTACCCTGACAAGGTATTTATGCAAAGAAGTTGCATATAATCAAAGATGCCGTTTGCAGATTTTGTTGCCTTAATTTGTTTTATTTCTTCAAAATTATTTGATTTCCATGACAATTTTGTAGCCAGACGTCAAAAAGAAGCCACTGCTGTTAGCCTTTTATTGTATGCATAAGAAGTTGGTGGGTGTTTAGTATTGTTTTAAAAATCGGACTGTTTCTTCACCCGGTTAAGGGGTCGGTTCCTGGGTTGACCGATCAGTCTGACTGATATAACAACAGACAGATCTATGAATAATTTTTAGTCCTTATAAGTTTAATAACCCACAAATTTACTCATAAAACTTACACATGAATCCCTAATTTCCAGTCCTTATAAGTTTAATAACCCACAAATTTACTCTTAAAACTTACACATGAATCCCTGTATATTTGAAATAACTTGCACATTAATAACTATATATTTGAAATAACACTTTTATTATTAATTATTTTTTTCTCTCTTCCCATCACTTTCATCTTTCTTTTCTTTTCTCTCTTCTCATCACTTTCATCTTTCTCATTTCTCATTTTTTCTCCTTCTCCCGGTCAATTTCTTCTTTCTTCTATCCCTTTTCCCTTTTTTCCAATAACTTTTTTCTCTTTCTTCTTCCTTCCTCTTTCTCTTCGTCTCCTCTTCTCTTTCTTCTAATCTTTCTTCCTTCCTCTATTCTTCTTCGTCTCCTCCTCTTTCTTCTAATCTTCTTCCTTCGTCTATTCTTCTTCGTCTCCTCTTCTCTTTCTTTTTCCTCTCCTCTTCTCTTTCTTCTTCTTCTTTACATGGCAGATTTTAGAGTAAGAAAATGAATGAATGAATGAATGTTTGCTGGCTCAATGAAATAAAGAATAAAACGATGCTGCAAATCTGGTTTAGAAATTAGGGATTACATTAACCCCAAACCAGTGAACCATTTTAAGCTCCAAACCGGTCGGACCGACGGTTTTTACTCTTCTGATGGTCTATTAGCGATCCAAAACGGGTTTATGTTATTTCTGGTTTTATGCTAACTTGGATCGGAGTTCAGGCCGACTCCCAGTCAGACCGACCAGTTCCGGTTTTAAAACGGAGGTTTTTAGGGGCCCAATCAGTCTCGATCAAGAAAAGTTTCATTTGCAGGATAATTATGCAATAAGGAAATATGCATTAGCAATTTAGCATCCATGCACTCTAATTTTCAAAAACAACCAATTAAAGAAACATTAAAGATTTTACACATATTAATATTCCAGATCATGCACCCTTGGGAGTAATTTAGCAGGATGAAAAAGAGTGACATGAAAATAAAAAGTAGAACATAGCTTTTCGAGCACAAATTTTTGCTAAGGGACAGTTGGGCAGAACATGCAGACAGAAAAGAGGAACTCCTAAAAATGTATTTGGACATGCACATAAATGTACAATCTGGGATCCCCTCGTGAATATGTATGGTTAGATCCAACATTTGTTAACTCTACATTCTTTTAAGTGTTCATAGCATATGTACTACGTTAGAGAACAATATGATATTTGCTAGTTGTACTCAGAAATTGACCAAAATAACGACATTGGAGCTTGTCTGCTATTGTCACCATAAGAAACCATTTTAACTCACAAGTGAAATGGAACATGTCCAAACTTGACAAAAATATCTACTTTGCAGCAGCAACAAGGGCAGATCTAGCTTTTGTAAAAGTAGAAATCAGTGATCCAAGCTGTAGCTTGTCATTGCATCCAAAACTCAATCTGTACCTGCAAATTGTATGGATCACATAATTAATGAAAAAGCCATTACATGTTCCAACTACCGTCAGATTTGAATTTAATACAAGTAGGGCATCCTATAATGTGAAATCTAACCATCTACAGAATATACTAAAGTGAAACAATGGCTACTTTCAGACTCTACTTGTGTTATTAAAAACAAGGAAGAAGGAACATCAAAAAATTGCAAGGCATAGAACTTACTCTATGTCGGCCAAATCATTAATCAGCCGAACTCGGACATCTGATGGCATCTTAATCTTAAAAACAAACCTGTCAGAATAAATGCTGTGGAGATGAGATCATTGAATCAATCCATGAATGTATATTTAAATTTACCCAGAGCGCTTACATTGACACTTCTCTTACAATATCTACCAACGCCAACCCTTTCTTTGTTTTCATTTCTGATATTCCTGAAATGTGAAAATTAAAAAATTAAAAAATTAAGAATGTAATAATTACAGCAACAGAACAGTAAACCACATCAATTGCATAGTAAATGAAAGAAGGTGATGAGTACGCTTTAAACTATCTGCAAATGATTCATTCAGAAGCCAGTAAGATATCTGCTCAATGTCATTAGGCAAAGGATTTCCAGTGCACAGGTATACAGCTTCTTCTGTAATTTGCTGAGAAGCCATATGAGTTGACTGCATACATCAAAAAACAGATTAACAAACTCAATCTTCAACCAATAATGAAGACATGAATAAACATGAGAATACCAAAAGGTTTCCACCCTATTTAAAAGTAAAGGATCTAGAAAAAACAGCATCATCTTTAGCAGTACAAGTCTTTGTTCTAAAGAGATGGTTAATTTTTGCCATGATGACAACATATACAAGAATAAGCATTTCCTCCAAATTATACTTTAATGCAATTCTAATGTTTTACTGTTTGCATGTACAGGTACAAACAAAACCAATTAAAACATAATTTTCAGCATTTTGTGCATTCTAGATCAACAATCACCATAGATCATCAAGAGAAGGTATTTCAAGTTCTTGCTATAACAATACATCACAGTTAAGATACCAAAAATATTGAGGGGTGATCTATTTCTTTCTTCTTTGTTATTTCAAAATTTGATTTTGCTAAATCAGAATCACAAAGATCCTCCTCTCCCCTCCCCAAGAATAAAAGGAAATGAAAAGCACTTGATCTTAACGTACTGGTCACTACCCTAATTCACATCTCTAGAACACTGAAGTGTGACCACACAACTCAAGTGAGAGAATTATACCTGCAAAATGTTCAAGGCCTTTCTCATATCACCATTGCATAGCCGTACAAGTGCTGCTAAGCCGCTCTCAGTGACGTCAAGCCTAGTGCGATGAAGAAAGAACGCATTAAATTATATTATTGCATAATTTTCTACTACACAGCTGAAATGACAACAGCTACAACCATATAACAATAACTGTAGAATAAGCATTTTTCTAAATAATCATAGTGCTAAAGCAAAGACAATATAAAAAACACCACCATCTAGGTGAGCTGATATGCTTCAACTTCATTGATATGATAAAGCACCTCATGAATGCTCTTTCCAAATTTACATGAAGTGGGCCCCCAAAAAAACTCTTAGTTCCCCCTCATCAAGTAATTCTTTTAAAATTTAAACCCAATTAAACATTTGATTTGTGCACCAGAAATGGCCAGCAAACTTTTGGAAGAAAAAAACCTTTCAAGCATTCTAGGAGACCAGTATTGACTTACCAACAAGCAATTCTACAATAAGACTTGCCTTTTATCCTCCCATGAAAATAAATCACAGAAACAAGGAGGATTTCCACACTTAATTACCATCAGAATTTTGCCTCTACAAAAAGCAACCAAAATGTAACACTATAAAAACAAGGCTGCTCATAAGTGGTTGATAATGCTGTGCATATTATGATTCAGATTTAGGAAATGATGAACTGTAGATGACTCCAGGATGAACAATGATGTAACAGTGATGCCTACATATGTAGCAACTTTTTTCTTAAATAACACAGTAAATGAAAAAGGCGTAGAAAAATTACCCTTCAGCCTTTACAACATGTTTGAGTCGCTCAGTGACATGACTTGGTTCAAGAGGAGCAAACCGGAATCTAGTACATCTAGACTGAAGAGCTGGAATAATCTTGTTGACATGATTACAGATAAGTGTGAACCTAGTGTTCTTTGTGTATTTCTCAATCACTACACCAAAATCATTCACAAATGAAAGAAAAGAAGGTATGAAAAACTTAACTAGGTGAAAGAAATATCAATAAATAAAGTGGATTAGAAGCAGTTCATACCTCTACGCAGGGCAAACTGAGCATCCTTTGTCATGGCATCTGCCTCATCAAGCAAGACCAACTTCACTGATGCCTTTGCACTACAAAGACAAGACTTAGTAATCAATAACTTTGTTAAAGTACTATCTGTCTAGGATCCTGTCAAGCTCAAAGCCATTTAACATGACTACTACAAAGACAACATAAATGTATTGCTTTGCAATATATCATTATCAAAATCAAAATCACTGAGAGACACAAAGCAATATCAACTTCATTAAAGTGATTCTCAGATGTACGAAAACATGACACTTGTAGAAAGAAAGAAACCTATAGCTCATTGAAATGCCAAAATAGATGAGGAGAAAAGATTTTTAAAATGTGATCTAAATCACCAATTACAGGGAGATAAATTTCCTATAACATCTCGATCATTTACTGGAAGTTAATCACTTTACCACATTTAGATAACACCAAGTTCCTATAACAGTACAATTAGGTATACGAAGAGCCCTTAAAAAATTCCACAAGACGAACAGAGACTTTCATTGTTATCTTGCTCGAGTCTAACATTACATTCAAAACATGCATAAGCAAACTGACTACACTTTCCATAAATACTTGAATCGTTAAATTTCAAACAACTAGAATCACAGCAGTCACACCTAGATATCCTAATAACATACATAGAATCTCAAGCAAATAAGTGTTACTTTACCCAAAGGAGAAGCTTTGAGTGCTGGCAAAATCTTGGATCTGTTGCCTTACGACATCAATTCCTCTATCGTCAGACGCATTGAGCTCCAGAATCATATTATGGTACTGCGCTCCGTAAAGCTTCCGTGCAACAGCGAGAATAGTAGACGTTTTGCCCGTACCAGGAGGGCCGTACAATAAGAGATGTGGCAGTCTGTTCTCGCTAGTCAATCTATCAACTATTCGACCACAACAACAGCGAATAAAAATTTTATGAACTTTCTCGAGAAACAAACGAGAAATTAGAGAAAAACAAATTAAGCAATGTAAACCCTAGAAATTAAAAAAAAAAAAAAGTAAATAAGAGAGAAAGAGAATACTGGTGTCGACAATGTCGCGATGAGCAGCCACGTCAGCGAGGGACTGAGGGCGGTACTTCTCGACCCAAGGAGTGGCTTTGGTATCAGGTGGTGCGGTTGTAACGACGACATTTTTTCCCTTGTTGTTCGATTTCAGAGTGTTGTTTAGGTTTTGGTTCTCGTCTTCGTCGATGTCCATGAGTGAAACGGTGTCCGCCATCTTGTTAGTCGGGGCACCAGTGCGGCGGTGCCTTAGGTTACTGAGTCTACGCTACTGTCAGAGCGTGTTTGGGAGAAGACGTTTTTTGTGTGAGTAGCGGAATGGCGCCAATCATGTTCAGAGGCGGGATCTGATTCGGGTATTAGGGCGGGTCAAAACAATCCGGGTATGAACTTTTTTGGCGTCCCGCTCTGTACTGTATTGAATTATTCAAATACTTATTAAATATTGTCTTTTAAAAAAGAAAAAGGAAACTACTATCTTATATTAGCCCAATTATGTTTTTTTTTTTCCTTAATTTGTGTAATTTCCAATCAGATGCAGCCATTTATATTCATCTGCCTAATTTTAAGCATCTTTTGCTACGGTGAATTCAACTCATTGACTCGTAGTTATTTACAATGTTGATTAAATAAGTACCATATGCCCCAAGTCTATGGCACCTTGCTCATTTTGACTATCATGGGTTAGTTTATAGTAATAGACCTCGAATTGTACATATGTAATACCTATATAAGCATGTTTGATTAGGTAATCTGATAATTTTATAATTTTTTGTGTGTTGTTTAGGCTGTGACACATGTTTGGAGGTGACTACATTTTAATTTTTATTAATATCTCCAAAATACTTTGTAATTCATCCATATTTATCAACATTACATATAATATGTGTATGCGAAACCACTACTGGATGATATAGCAGTCAACTAAAACTCTTTAGTGTATTACTCAATAGATCTTGAATTCGATCTATCTGGGTTATTAATAAGGGTGGTCATTGAAGAGATTTACCTGATTATCAACTTCACGTCCTGAGGGATTAGTTGAAGTACGTGTAAACTAGTCCGGATACCCCGATCACCCAAAAAAAATATGTGTACTAAAAGACATTTAATAATTTCTGTAAGATTATAACATATTAATTATCAAAAAAACTTACCCAAAGCAGCATTATAGATAAAATCTGATTTTTGAACCATCACTTTCACAAATACTATACACATATAAAATAACAATGTAAACGATATGTTTTGACAATATAATATATTTGTGTTAATGGTTTACAATAAAGAAAAACTAGGTCCCAAATTCAAAGGAATTAGATCTGGAACTGTTGGTTCTAATTCCTAAAAACTTGAAATCGGAACCTGTAACACAGGTTCTGGTTCGGTTCCGGGTACCCAAAAAAATATCAATTACACCCTATTTAAAAAAAAATGACAAATAAACCCTTATAAAATTACAATTACACCTCAAAAAATTAAGTGCAAAACATTAAATAATATATTTGTTTATATTTACTTGATGTTTGATGCTTGGTTATAAGTATTTAATTATTTGTTTTCACCGATAATAAACATTTAAAAGTTATTACTTAACGTAAATGTCTTAATGTGTATTAATCAAGTAATAAGTGAAACTTAAATATTAATAAAAATATTTTGAAAAACTCAGGCCGTGTTTGGTTCAGTATTCTATTAATTTTTTTAGTCAGATTTTTAAAATACACGTTTGGCATATTATTCAGGGAATCAAATTTTGAATTCCTGACTAATCTGATTTAGGTGGCACTACAGTTTCCTTTTTTTTTTTTTTTCCCGTCTTTTCTTCGTTTCTCTCATTCTTCTTTTATCTTTGGCTTTCACTTTTATATACCACAGCTTTTACCTTCTTCTTCAAAGATCAGAACCAGCGACCGCACACCTCTTCCACATTTCTTCTTCAAAAATTACATCAGAAACTGCCACTCTCTCCACGTTACAACCACCACACACCCTTTCACCTCATTAAAAACAGCACCAAAAACACTTCCGCGCTTAAGACTCAAGAAACACCACCATCTTTCGGTTTCCTCTGACAAACCGAGGCCTGCAGGTACGAGAACCCCCCCCCCCCCCCCCCCCCCCAAAAAAAAAAAGAATTCTATTTATAAATCATTTATAATAAAATATGCAAACAATTTTTCTACATTTATTCAACTCTAATACACTATCCTAAATATTTTATCAAAACAAATCATCTTCTTGTGAATAATAACCCAACTAAATATTCTACCAAACAATTTTTTTTCAAATATTTTTCGAAATGATAATTCAACTCAATTTTACAATAATATTTCAAAAATACATTCAAAATAACTAAACAAACGCAAAATTAATAAACTTTTGAACTAAGATAAAAAAAACCATATTTTTTTATATATTTATATGATGCAAAATTCAAAAACCCTATTCTTTAATATTATATTTTTAGTCTCAGTTTGTTCCCGTTCCTTGATTTGGAATCGAAACTAGAACTACACAGTATTGGTTACAATTTTTTAGAAGGAACCTACCCTGTTATAGCTGGTTCCAGGCGGATCGGAATCGACACCCGAATACCTTTCATGTCCGTTCTACCCTAAAATTTTGCCTACCCTAAAAAAACTATAATAGCGTGAATTGAACGAAAAATTATTTAATTCTTTACACATGTAATCTGATTAACGTTTCTATATTTTTTATAATAATTTTGACAAATTAATACGTTACATTTTAGCCCCAGTCCTACCAAAATTTGAACTGCCATTCGTTTCTTACCATTTTTTTTTTTTTTTTGCCCGGGTCCAAAACGAAGAGAACACCTGAAAGAACAAAGGCAGCAAAGGACATTCCAGGCATTTCACTCTCATTAAATACCGAAAAAGGCAGCGGACAAAAAACCACTCAGGGACAGACCAATTCAAAGAGCCAAAAGCAAATAAATTAATCAAGTTTTGGAGGGAGCGAAACTCACACAGAAACTGAGAGAGCGTCCAGAAGGCGGCACAGCTCTTGACCCTCCCTTCGCTCTCTCTCTCTCTCTCCTTCTTCGGAAATGTTCACTTCGAGTGGGCCCCGTAGGTCCTCCATCTCTCCCTTCCGTTCACGCAAGTCGCCGTCTCAACCGCCTCCCCCGGCGAAGTCCGGGGGGCGGCCACTTACTCCGTCTTCCACGACGTCGTCTCGGCCGCCTTCGAGACTCTCGGCTTCTCCCGCAACATCCGCAAGCCCAAGCCCCAGCCCGCCAACTCTCGTACTTGACCGGCCCGAAATCAGCAAGTACAAAGAAAATGTGATGGTCACGGTCCGGTTCCGTCCTCTCAGGTTCTTACTTTAGCGTTGTCGTGCTTGACTTTTTTTTTTTTTTTGGTTGACCCGAGGGAGATGAAATTTTAAATTTTGTGCAGTCCAAGGGAGATAAATAAAGGGGACGAGATAGCGTGGTATGCGGACGGGGATTATACCGTGAGAAACGAGTACAATCCTTCTATTGCTTATGGTTTTGGTTAGTCCTATTAATTACCTTTAACTAATCTTTATTAATTACTCCTTTACGGCACAAATTATGCATTATTTATAGCGTACACTGTAATAAACTTAAATTAATTTTGGGTTGCAGGAAAAGTGTACAATTAATGCCTTGAGGACTACGTTTTTAAAGCTATTTGTTTATGTGTAAACATTGTATTAAAAAATATGATACTATGAGATTTTAAATTTGTAATATTAAACTAAGATATTTAAGGATATGAGCTTTGATGAAAAATGTTGGATTTTTACATGTAATAAATTCATGTTATCATGTTCATGCCACTAGTTGGATGTTGGATATTGTATGAGTATAAATCAATAAACCAAGTTGGTTCCCTTTAAAATTTTTAAATTAAGGTCTTATAAATTTTTGGAAAGAATTATTGACCGACTTGTATAATTACGATTACAATTTTGAATTTGAAGGACATGGTTTATGATGAAATTTTGATGATAAGCTTCGTAGCCATCTGTATGGACTACCACTATTGCTTTTGATTTTTCCCAATTTTGGGTTGGTTCTTTGTCTCTGCTGCAGATAGAGTGTTTGGTCCAGCAACAACAACACGTCATGTTTATGATGTCGCTGCTCAGCATGTTGTCAGTGGAGCTATGCAAGGAATAAATGGTAAATAAAAAAATCTGGCATTTTTGCTAAGAATAGAATATTCTATCTCTGCTCCTATTATTGACGGTGATAGACCAATGCCAAATGTTACAATAAATGGTGAAATTTTACTTAAAAATTTGAAAAATAGCCATGCATTTATTTTAAATTTATTGCCATAGCATATTGCTGAACTCATTGGTTAGCTGATAATTGCCCTGTATTTTATGCAGGCACAGTTTTTGCATATGGTGTTACTAGTAGTGGGAAGACTCATACAATGCATGTAAGTCACTGAATGTAGTTCATCTGTCGTGGCTTAAAGATAAAATATTAGACTTTTGTTTCTAAAATTTGAGATTTTTGTGTCTGCCCTAGACCAGCTATTATTGTGTGCTTAGGACTTTCAAAACAATAAACACTGTTGATTGATTGTGGCTGCTGCTTACATTGAACAATGACTGCCTTAGGACTTAAATGTTGATGCACATGAAAGTTTCTTATAGTTTATTAAGGTCTTTTGTCAATTATCAGGATCATAAGCAGTGCAAAGGTGAGTCAATTTGGGTTAAAAGGAGCAAAAGGATATTTGATCATGTTGTGAAGGGATCATTTTTTTTTTTTTGTGGGATAGAGTTTGCTTTTTAGCATTATTATGAGCTTTTCATTACTAAAGAATTTGAAGGATTTTTCTTTATTCTTCATTTTGGAGAACTAGCAGGCTGTTTTTACTAAAGTTAGAAGCTGATCATGTATTGGACTGTGATAGAAGAGATGTCTGGGCGAATTCTTGTATATCTTACAGTGGAACTCAATATTTTATACCCTCTTTCTGATAGATTAAAAATATTACATTTCTTACAAAAATGTTACTTTTACAATTTTTCGAGTAGAGGCAATGGTTTTGCAGCTGCTGTTACCACTGTAAATGAGGAATAGGTCGACTTCTTGAAACAGTTGTAGCAGCTATATAGTACTTGAATACTTCAAACTTTCCTTCCGGGATTTAATATTTGTATTAACTTTTCAATTGTATTGGTTGATGAGCATTGACATGTTAGGAAGATCCTCTCACAATCTGCGTCTGGTTTGTCCTATTCTCTTTGCAAACTATTTTCATGTGAACTACTTTTATTTTGAATTTTAGGGCGAGCAAAAGTCACCTGGAATTATTCCATTGGCAGTGAAGGATGTGTTTGGAATTATACAGGAGGTACTGGAATAGTTTGCCGGTTAATTGCTTGTACTTGAAACAACTATATTTTTGTCTATCAAAAAGTTGAAATAATTATTAATTATTCTGGGTGAGACACTGCAGACACCTGCGCGGGAGTTCCTTCTTCGTGTTTCATATTTAGAAATTTACAATGAGGTCAGTTTCATTTCCCTTTTTCCTTTTTTTTTTAAACTTATGATTCTTCTGGAATCTCAAGAGGATTGTTGATATGCTTGCACCTTCAAATTAAGTGTTTTTTGGAGGTATGCAGAATGAAGAATGCATAGTTAGAAGGGAATATTTTTTTTTTTTTTTTGGTCTTCCAAGTTTCAGAATTTTATAAGTCTCTTTTGAGACATTTGATAAAAATGGAAAGAACAGAGAAGATTAGCATGAATCCTTTGCAAAAGTTATATGCACGAATGGAGAGATGGTCCCTTTTTTTTTTGTTTGTTTGTAAGGTTTCACTATGTTATACCGACTCATAGTGAAGGTAACTGAGTTTTGGTGTTGGTTGGAGAATAGATACCATGATGACTGAGAATTGTATATGACTAAAAACCAATAATTTGGGAAATATTTTAGTTAGTTGGGCTCATATTAGATTAATATTCTCTAGTGTGTCAAGGAGTATTTTTTACTTTCTCTCTTTTAGAAACTAGCATAATATTTTGATTTCCAATACATTTTCTATGATCATTTTTCTGGCATTTCAGTCGATAGTCATTTACTGATTTCTACTATGTTAGAATGCCACTTCTTTAATATATAAATTGGTTGAATTAAACCTTATTGAATATAGAGTACTAATTGAAACAAATTTTCTAATATGTCTACATAACTAGTTCATACTGTTTTATAAATCTTTTTTGTCAGGTCATCAATGACTTGCTTGATCCAACTGGACAAAATCTAAGAATACGAGAAGATGCCCAGGTGATGATAAATTTTTATAGTTTGACCTTTTATTCCTTTCACTCCTACTGCTTCCGATGTAAAGCATGATACTTGTTATAGGTTCATTTAACAATGTCTCATCTGGTTACTTGTCAAAGAAATTATTCGTAATGATATGGGAATATGGGTACAAAGAAGATGAGGGTGTGTGCGGCTGTTTTATAGTGTCTCATCTGCAACCTTTAGTGTGGTAGCTATGACTGCATGTTATTAGCAATACTCAGGGAGGCATCAATCCCTGGACCTTTTTCTTTAATGCAAGAGATATATCTAGCTAGGCTATCTCCTTGTGGATAACTAATATTCAAGAGTAGTTCTTTTGCTTGCCATCACAGCCATAATGTACTTTAATTCCACAATATGACTTGTGTTGCTGTAATCTTTAGCTTCAACTTGAAAACTGTCATAGATGTATAAGACCCATTCCCCAGTATATATTATGTTGTATGAAGTAATATTGAATGGCCAAGCATATAGATCACTAATTATTGAATGTATGGTATCTTATGTTCATAGGGAACCTATGTTGAGGGAATCAAGGAGGAAGTCATTCTGTCACCTGCACATGCTCTTTCCCTGATAGCATCTGGAGAAGGTATATATTGTAGTTATTATCTCTCCGTAAACTGGTTGGTGATTAATTTGTTTAAAATATCCATTTTTTATGCTTCCTTTGATTTTTTTGTCCCTTTGAGCATAATCTTTTGTTTTATCAACTGTGCCCATGTTTAATGCAGAAATTTGTCTTTTAAACCCTTAAAGTTCCTATATTCATCAGAAATTGAGCTCTAACCTCTGTGTGTGTGTGTGTGTTGCTGCTGTTTTCACCTCTATATATATATATGTATGTTATTTGTGCAGTTGAGCATTTCTTAACCTATCATTTACGATATTGTTGCAGAGCACAGGCACGTGGGTTCTAATAACTTTAATCTTCTTAGCAGTCGGAGCCACACTATATTCACCCTGGTATTTTACTTTGATTTTCCATTTGAATGTGTATACTTATGTCTATACCATGTTCTCTTGGAGCTTAAAGCTTAGTNCATCTGGAGAAGGTATATATTGTAGTTATTATCTCTCCGTAAACTGGTTGGTGATTAATTTGTTTAAAATATCCATTTTTTATGCTTCCTTTGATTTTTTTGTCCCTTTGAGCATAATCTTTTGTTTTATCAACTGTGCTCATGTTTAATGCAGAAATTTGTCTTTTAAACCCTTAAAGTTCCTATTTTCATCAGAAATTGAGCTCTAACCTCTGTGTGTGTGTGTGTGTTGCTGCTGTTTTCACCTCTATATATATATATGTATGTTATTTGTGCAGTTGAGCATTTCTTAACCTATCATTTACGATATTGTTGCAGAGCACAGGCACGTGGGTTCTAATAACTTTAATCTTCTTAGCAGTCGGAGCCACACTATATTCACCCTGGTATTTTACTTTGATTTTCCATTTGAATGTGTATACTTATGTCTATACCATGTTCTCTTGGAGCTTAAAGCTTAGTTGTGAATCTAGAGTAGTTGAAAATCTATTTTTATTTATTTATTTTATCTGTTATCATCACTTAAAATTAAACCCCTACTGCTTTGAAATGCATTAGTATGTAATTATTCCTATTGTCAAGCTTATGAGGTGTTATATTTTGAGTATTTTGTTAGCTTGTTACGCTATGGCGCATATGTCTACCCTTGGAGGGTATATTTTTCATAGTTTTTATTTTGTTTTAATGATAATATTACGATCTTTCAGACTATCGAGAGCAGTCCGCATGGAGAAAATCAAGGGGAAGAAGATGTGACTTTGTCCCAATTGGTAATACCTTGCTCGTAGCCTGACCTTTATTATAAGTGTTGCCAATCACCTTTTTGTGGTTACAATCAGGATGTTTATTTTGCTTTTCTTTTTTTTTTTTTTGCTTTTGGCCTTGAAATCTGGTCTTCAGTGTATGTAATTCTAAACTTTTGTTGCAGAATTTAATTGATCTGGCGGGATCTGAAAGTTCTAAAACTGAAACAACTGGATTGCGGAGAAAAGAAGGTTCATATATAAATAAAAGCTTGCTTACTCTTGGCACTGTAAGATATTTTTCTTTTATCTGTCCTCTTTCATGTTTAATGTTACTATTTGGACTTCAAATCAAAACTTGCATTGGCTATGTGCTATTACTGGTCATTTATGTGTAAATATTAAAGCTGAGCTTTATATATAACAAAGCTGTTGTGGCCCAATCATTGGTAATAGAGTTTATTAAATGCTTTTCTGTGGATCTTTTCATTTCCCAATCATTGATAATAGAGTTCTGATAGATTCTAATGGCCATTTCTGATCAGTAAAATTTTGTGTCTTACCTTATTAACTGCCTCCATTGCAGGTGATTTCTAAATTAACGGATGGAAAAGCAACTCATGTTCCCTATCGAGATTCAAAACTTACTCGTCTCTTGCAGTCATCCCTTAGTGGCCATGGACGGGTTTCTGTAAGTTAAATCTATGCGTTAGATTTTTTGTATTTATGTGATCAGCATTTACTGTTACTTTCTCTTCATTGTTATGTGAGGTAACTGTCTGTAGATTCTGAGTTATTAACCTAATAACTCTTTTACTTCTTAGTGGAAAAAGATTGTGTTTTGTTCTTGTAAGTGATATTGGGATCTAATTCTTAGCCATTTTATAAGAGATCTTTCTTTCCTCATTGAACTTTGAATGTAGCTTATTTGCACTGTGACACCTGCCTCTAGTAATACTGAAGAAACTCACAATACATTGAAGTTTGCCCATCGGAGTAAGCATGTAGAAATTAAGGCTTCTCAAAATAAGGTGATTCACTGTTATTGTAAATTTTAATATTTTTATCTCTGGGTTGACATTTCATCAAGTTTCTCATTTGATGATATGTTTTCTCTTCTAGATTATGGATGAGAAGTCTCTCATTAAAAAATATCAGAAAGAAATTTCCTGTTTAAAGCAAGAACTCCAGCAATTGAAGCTTGGAATGATTGAGAATCATTATGTGGCTGCATCCAGCCAAGAAGATCTGGTTAATTTGAAGCTTCAGGTTTGTGCTATGAAATAAAGATATTCAAATAAGTCCTGTTATGAGCTCACTACTTAAAATGTTGTTGACACTTGATATTGTTACAAGTTGAGTATAGAAAATACCAGAACTTCAGAATGATTGGAAGTTTTAATTTAATGTTAACTATAATTGTTATCCCTTTACTCCCTGTTCCTTTTTTTTTTTCTGGTTCCTATGGAAGAAATAGTTCATGCACATTACAAAATTATCAAAATAACTACTTTTTCATTGTGTGTTTTGGAATATTACTTACTTCTAATAAGTATTACTTTATGGTATCGAAGCTGGAGGCTGGCCAGGTTAAATTGCAGTCGAGATTGGAGGAGGAGGAGCAGGCTAAGTCAGCTCTGATGGGAAGAATTCAGCGATTGACCAAATTAATATTGGTTTCCACTAAAAATTCCATGGCATCAACTATTCCTGAACGGCCTACTCATCGACGGAGACATTCTTTTGGGGAAGATGAGGTCTGAACTTAGTTATTTGCTGCTTATATCTCATGACAAGAACTTTCATGGAACACTGATTAACTGCATGTAAATGTGTGGATTGTGAATTCTTATCAACTTTTATCTGGCATGCATCTTCTATTTGCCTGACAACGTGATTTAGTGGATATATCTTCCCTAAATTTATAGTTGATTCCGTTGGTGATGCAGCTAGCATATTTGCCAGAGAGAAAAAGGGATTATATGATTGACGATGATGTTGGAAGCTATGTGTCTGAGCTATCATCCGAGGCAAGAGATGATATCACTAATCTAGATGAATTGGTTAAAGATTTCAAGAGAAGTAGGAGGCGTGGAATGCTTGGCTGGTTCAAAATGAGGGTAGGCTCTTGTACTTATAGCCCTGCCCTTTTTGCTTTACCAGATGATTTAAAACTGGAGTTCATTTGTTTATTTTGGTTGTCAAAAAGTTAGAATTGCCAGATGATAGTTGATGATACTTCACACTCTCTTCCTTTTTTTAAGTCATCCTATACTATTGATGGTTGTTCAAGTTACAATTTTTTTTTTCTCCTTCATTATATGTTTCTTCAGTGTGTATAAACTATGCCATACTTTTGTAGTTAATTTTTAAGTTTGTAGTATAGTAGAAATTGCTAGATGTTGATCATAAAACCTTAACATATATTTCCACAGCATTCTTGCTGGTGTTACCAATATATAATATTCTGTCATTGTATTGTGTTACAGTGGAAGAGAGCATAGACAGTATGGATATTATTATTGAAAGTAAACTTTGGGATTGACAAGGCTGTGAAAAAAAAACTTGTACATTTGTGAAAGTGCCGCTTATCGAAAGACCTAATGTTATTTTGCTTGAGGGAAATAAATGTAAACGATTTGATATGCTGATAATTCAGATTTTTTACATTATTTTTATCTTAGCTTGCACTAAACAGTTTAAATCTCTGAACTAACAGAAATTTAGACATAATGATCATTTACAACTGTCTTTTCAATGTAAATTAACTTCCTCTTTTGCAAGATCATGACTAAAAGTTTATACTTTCGGTGGTGGCAAATTTATTCTTTTAATTGCCATTGACTTAACCCAACTCCAATTCAAATTTGCCCATGCAGAAGCCTGAGAATGTGGTTGGACTGTCACCAAGTGCTGACAGTGGAAGTTCCACTAGTGGATCTCCTGCATCTTCCTCAAAATCATCACAGAATAGAGTTATGTTCAATGACATGAAGGATGGTCGGAGAAAATCAATCAGTAAACGGGGAGATGATTCCACTGCCGATCCATTTCCAGAAAGAACCCAAGCTGGTGAATTGTTTAGTGCTACCGTTAGAGGTCGCCGTCTGCCTCCAGTGAGAAACTCTAACCCTTTTTTCATTTGCGCTTTCACATTGTTGATGTAGAATGTTTATTATTTGAATAGGCAAAGAAGTTTGGTACTTGAGTTGCCAATTCTGGCCATGTAGCCCTAAAGTAAAATGTTATACTGACATGCAAGAGAGATAAGTTAAACATATGATCAGTTGTTTGGCATGAGCTTGCAAATTTGTGATTGGAGAATTTTGAGAAGCATGAGAGATGTAGAGTTAAAGATAGAACAGGTTTTTTTTGTGATGATTGCCTGCTCCTTTTATTAAATTGCATTTGAGGTTTCTTGCCAGTTCTAGGAGGTGACTTTGCAGCTTGGTTTTGCTTTTGTTGTTCTGAAATTGTGCTTCCATTGTACTAAGCAAGTTCACTTGTTAATCTGCAAAATCAATCACTTGAGTTATTATATTAACAGGAATTGCTTATTGGTTTTTTTGACAGTCTGGGAGTACTATTGCAGATCAAATGGATCTTCTGCATGAGCAGGTGAAAATGTTAGCTGGTGAAGTGGCATTGTGTACTAGCTCTCTGAAAAGACTTTCAGAGCAAGCAACTAGCAATCCTGATGATTTGCAACTTAGGGTGAGATAGTGACACCAAATTCTTCACTTAGAAGTCATTGTTTCAGCTTGATCAGTGTTAATTGGTGAAGTTTTGTGGTCATAATGGTTGATGTAGGAACAAATGCAGAAGTTGAAGGATGAAATTAGTGAAAAGAAGCTTCAAATGCATGTCCTGGAGCAACGTATGATTGGATCAGTTCAGATGACTCCACGTTCTTCAAGTACCACTGAGATGTCACAGGTAAATTCTGTGTCATTTAAGTTTTTATATCATATCCTCAACTATTTTCCCTAAATTTAATACAAGTCATATTGGAGGCAAAACAACCAAGCCCAAATGATGTGTTTTTTGTTTTTAATCTTTGGTAATTGAAGAAATAATTAGAAATAAGGAGGCACTTTGATAACATTTATAGAAAAGGTTAAAATTTCAAAATTTCTGGGGGTGCTGTCTCCTGGATTCTAAGTGGATTCATCCCTGGGGATTCCTCTTTGTATCATTCATTCTTGGTGATGAAAATTTCTTTATAATTTGTTTGTTACTCTCTCTTGTAGGCTTTGTCCAAGCTTACTACTCAGCTTAATGAAAAAACTTTTGAACTTGAGGTTTGTTATCCTATCTTCTTTTTATCTACTTGGGTGATAGTTCTATATCAAATGCCAACTGTATCTTACGAAGTTGATATCTTTCTCATGGGATGGATATTCAAGATCAAGTCAGCGGATAATAGGATACTTCAGGAACAACTACAGATGAAGGTAGAATTTCTGAACTTGTGTGATAACTTTTCACCATACTTGCAGCTCTAAGTTTTCGATTGTATTATGTTACTGTGACTAGATATCAGAGAACATGGAAATGCAAGAAACTATTCTTCTGCTGAGGCAACAGGTCAAATCATTATCGGATAAAAGATCTTGTCGTCCACAAATAATGGCAGAAAATGAGGGTATCCCACTCCAAACTTGTTCTGAAGAGCTATCAGAAAAGAGGAACAAAGGGAAGAATGGGATTGGATCATGTGAAGAAAGTTGTGTTGATGATCAAACACCAACAAGTGTAATGAGCTTAAATAGAATATTTTCCCAGGACGACTCCAAGAATTGCAACAATGATACCTTTTTGAATTCTCAAGTTCTTATGCAGGTTATTGTTTTATCCTATGTCCTTTGTAATTTCTGCTCTTAGGTATTCGATATGCTACTTTTGTCTGTACCGTTATTCTGTTAGATATACCAATAGAAAAGAGGCTACAAATTTGGTTACTAGATGTTCCAATTGATACTGTTTGCTTATTTTGTATTTAGGCTGCCGAGATAGAGAATTTGAAGCAAGAGAAGGTGAAATTGAGTGAAGAAAAGGATGGGCTTGAAATTCAGAGTCAAAAATTGGCAGAAGAAGCTTCATATGCAAAAGAGTTGGCTGCGTCTGCAGCAGTTGAGCTTCGAAACTTGGCTGAAGAAGTAACCAGACTTTCTTATGAAAATGCAAAACTGACTGGTGAACTGGCTGCTGCAAAAGAGGCACATTGCAGATCTAACTTCTCTCAGAGGTTTGGCTCACATGAGTTCAAGCAACATCACACCAATGGAGCACGACCTGATGGAAGATGGAAACCAGATGATGGAGTTTTGGTTGAGGAGTTGCAGAAAGAACTTGGTGCTAGATACCAAAGAGAAGCTGCTCTGGAAGCCGCACTATCAGAGAGAGAAAAGATAGAAGCTGAGCTCCGAAGAAGACTCAATGAAGTTAAACAGCATGAAGAAGAATTAGAAAACGAGCTTGCAAATATGTGGGTGCAAGTTGCAAAGATGAGAAAGTCTGGCATTAATGCTGAGGATATGTCTTCTGAAGTGGTCAATGAATATAAAATTTCACAAGAAGTTAGAAATGGATTTCTGCCATCTAATGGCCGTTCATTTAAATTGTCTGAAGCAGATGAAAGTTGCGAAAATGTGGATGGGAAAATTTCTTTTGAAGAGTTAAAAGCTAGTTATCAGAAAGAAAGGAGAAGATGCAAAGAACTGGAAAGCCTTATGTTGAGATTGAAGGTATTAACTTTCTTCAGTAAATTTCATGGTTCAATGGAGGTATTATCTGGCTTTGAAGCCCAGTGTTTAATATTCTTACTTAAATATTATTAACTGCATGCTACATCCATTCAAGCACATTGTACAAAGTATGTTACCATGTGCTTAAGCATAAAGTTAGATTTAGTATTCTGGAGTTGATTATCAAATTTAGTTTCTTTGTTGGAAGTCTTTGTACGCACAAAATTGATGTAAATAACCCTTCAGGGTGAAGATATTGGTGGTCTGGATCTTGCTACTCTTGAAGAACTTCAAAATTTTCATGTTGAGGCTATAACGAAAATTTGCCACATGAAGGTGATCTTTGTCTATTTTTCTTTTCGTTCAAGCTTGCTGTCTTGTGATGATTTGCTCATGTTGGTGCAATTCTTCAATGCCTGTTTCTTCTTTACTTTGCAGGATCTTTATAAATTGTGTGTTGTGCATATATATATATATATATATAGTAGAACCTCTTTATAGTGATACTCTATATAGGAATAATTTTCATGTAGTCATAAAAAGTTCTGGTCCCAACTTGAGCTAATTATAAATAAGAATAAACTTCACATTGTAATAAGTTATAATTTTTCTAAGTCCCGTTTTAAGGAACTTGTTTTCGCATAGTAATAATTATTTGTATTAACTTTCATTTTACGCAACTTAACACAAATATTTTTGGTCAATTGAGTTTTTGTATAAACTTTGGGTGGCATGGTTGATTTGCTAGAGGAAGAAGGAAATGTATCATTTGAGTTGGTTGAAGATTGTATGGGTTGTGTTATAGTATAATGTATTTATATAATTTTCATTGAGAGAGAAACATTAAAGAGAATGCAAAATTTTAGACTTTTAATGTGACTTTGCATATTCCTAATACTACATAGATACATTTACTAGTTTTTGGATTTGACATGCTCCATTAATTTTTTTTTTTTTAATCTAGTACATATATTATCTTTATACTATTTACACTAAGGATAATTAAGTCAAAACAGTAATTTTTGTAACTACACCTTTATTAAGTTATAACTTTCTCACAGTAATAAAATTAGTTTGGTCCAACCATTATGACTATAGAGAGGTTCTACTTGTTCTGCATGTTTGATGTTACCTGGGTCCTAAAGAATAATTTGCATAAATATGTGCTATGATATCTTTTATAGCAATTTCATATCAGAAATAATAGTGAAAATTTGTAATTTCAACAGGAATATAGGAGTATTGGTGATATCTTTGCTATGACTTGCAAAAAAATTTAAACTATTGGACTTGAAAATTCCGTTGCCTAATATATTGGATGTTATTCATATGCAGTGTACTAATCATGTCTTGTAGTACGCCAAGTTTAAGACATCAAACTTACGGAGATGGAGTTTCTGACTATTGAGGTTAGTTACAATCTACATTTTTCGTTTGTTTTTGTTATTTTTTCTCAGCGGGTGGTGGGAAGGTGAATGTGCTTTACCATGATTTCTTTTAGTTTTTGGGGTATATTTTACTTCTCTTCCCGGAAGTTCCAAATTATTCGCTGACCTCATTTGCCAAGTAATATTGACATATTATACAATTAATATGGTATCAACTATCAAGCGACCATTTACTTCATTTTCTTGCTCTTGGAGATAACCGCTTCAGTGATTCCCAAAATGGAAAGACTCGTCTCTGCTTTTTGTATGCATTATGGGGTTACTGACAAATGTTACAACATAAATGAAGAAATCTATCTGTAATCTTCTAAGGATTAAGAAAAAAAAAAAAAATTTGTGGGATGGATATTAGTTGTGTTTTATTACGTGAATTAGCATTTTGAATTTTTTACCCTCGAAGACACATCTGTTGATTATTTTGCTACATCTTCCTTTGTTTATGCAGGTGTAATGAATTTGTACAGTCATGGAAATATTGACCAAACTAATTCATGTCTCAGACAGACAGCTTTCTTCAACCATTTGGTTGAAAGCATTGATCCTGAAGATGGATTTTTTATTTTTATTTTTTTTGGTTTTTTGTAATTTAATGCTCGTGCAGCTAACTTGAGGCAGAAATGTATGCAAAGATATTGAGGATATCGATATACAAGAGATTTATTGTAACAAAACCTGTCAGCTTGTTTATATTTGGAATATAGCCAGTAACATTTTCTACCGCCATACAGGACTGAAATTTTCTATCAAATCTATGACTTCACAAAATGTACCTATTCTCTATGTATAATGGCATAAGCTATAAATGTCTTTCAATTATTTGCATCAAAGTTCAGATTTTCTGCCAGTGGGCTTATTGATCTTAGAAGCAGTCGAGTAATGCTCTTCTAAGATGCCGAAATCAGCTTTATAAGGCAGCCAAAAACCGTCATTGTAATCTCGATCCACACTGTTGAAAAACAGGAGGGAAAAAAAAAAAACAAAAAATGCTGGTGAGAAACTCCCAGGTGCTATGACACTAAAGGAAGAAATCAAGAAAGTAATAGACAATAGCTCAGGTCAGGACTTGGGTAGCCTATTGCAATTTGTAGAAACCCATCCAATCTGCTGCTTCTCGTTGTTATAGATCACCATTTTGTCTTGCAAAGAGATGTCTGAACAATGAAGAAGAAAAAGAAAATTAGATCGTCGAAAGGAAGGAAATGAAAAAAAAAAAAGCAGTTTCAATTTTAATTTTCTACTACTCTGGCCTATTATCTCTTACCCCCAATAATGTTGTAATCTCCCAGCCCTACTTCAGTACCATTCAAAATTCCCAAGCACACATTTCCCTGTTTCTGAAAAGGAGAAGATCATTATGTTTTTTTTTCTCTAAAATATTTCTGATAAAAATCATATTAAAACAAGTCTCTAGAGATGCTCACTGTGACAATGAGATAAGCTTCAGGAGATAGCTCCAGCTTGACATTTTTTGCCTTTGAGAAGCTCAGTTGCAAGGGCTTGAAGTAGTCCTTGACATCACTGATAGTTTTGACAGGTTTCGGACCTTTCCAGCAGATTGGGAGGGTCCGATCATCTCTCGTGTCTTTTAGTGGCTTCCCTTTCAAATCTTTCTTCAACTGAGATATTTAAGAGTATTAGTTCTTGTCCAACTAAAAAGGATAGCGGAATGTGCTCATTAACATCACTTCTCACCATGTCAAGTGTGGTTTTGTAAGCTTGGAAATTAAAGTAGGTGTAGGAGCTGCCACTGTCAAAAATTACTTGAAGGCCCATTACACCAGTAGCCTTTCCACCATGTAGAAGTTCTGCTGGTCCCGATGAGTAGTGTTTCCTGAAATATTATATGGAAACCACATTATTACAAGTGGCCCAGTAGGGCAATATCAGTGCAAGAAATGAGACTAATGAAACAAGAATGACGGAGGCTTGCGAGTGCTTACTCCAATGAATTGTGTGACATTGGTGTCCAGACCATGCCTGAAGACGGAACAAGATCATCTCCCAGAAATAAAAACCCTCCTCCTCGGCCACTTAAACAGTGTCCTAACACATTCCGTGTTAGACCCAGGCCATTCAGTTGTGACATAATGCTTGCTTTACCGTTGCCAAGACCCAGGACCCCAGACGTGGGAGGAGGAGGGTTTGGACCAGGATTACTTTGATCATATCCACATCTGCAAAAAATAAGATCTTATAATTAACACTTATGAATGCAAATGTAATTAATCACAAGAAGCAAATTCTACAAACTAAAGATTTTGCTTCAAGCCCAAGCCATTTCAAATGTGATTAACTAGGATTTCTCTACCAAATCACAAAGTCTAGAATAAAATCTATGAGCCTAAAGACTTCAGGAGGTTATATTGAGTCAAAAATGTTGTCAACCGTCTGTAGAAAGAAAATTATAGAGGTTGGCAATAGAAAGAACAATGAAATTACCCACCCGAAAGCTAAACGAGGACCAAGCAAAGAGCCATTGGTGAGTCTTAAAGGAAAGTGGTCTGTGACCAACACACCAAGGGATGAACCATGATCAGCATACTCGACCTCGTAGTCGCATTGGTCATTTGGAGTCTCACACCGGACATTTGCTGGCAAGTGAACAGCACTGCAAAGGGGATCCTTACACAGGATAAGGTTGTTACCGGGATTGTAGAGAGAAGCACGAGGCTGTACATTAACCAACATGAAAACACGAGATGAGAGCATGATATGCTGCATGTTAAATAGCCTTACTATGGTTTTTTAATGACAAATTTACCTTAGTGCAACCTTTACAAGGTGCATCACATTGAACCCAAGTGAGGTCACTGCCAGTGTCAATATCAAGCTCATAGATCTTTGGTGGATTGCCTATTTTAAGAGACACAGAGTAGTACCTGGAGATTGAAAATAAACATATATTTGTAAGAAAGCAAAGTTGTGATAAGCAAAATTCACTGTAAAATCAAACTAAGAATGCAGAACCAAAAATTGAAAGAACAAAGAAAATATAGGATAGAAAAATAAGATTTTAAAAATTCTTATGTAAAATCAAATTTTGAATGCAAATGGCTAGCAAGAATCTCAATTATCTAATGCAGGGATTCAAGCTATAGTGGCAAAATAAAAAGAAATGAGAACCGGTTCATCTTTCTGCCAAGAAACTGCAACAGAAAATGTAACGGGAATTGGGTTAATGTTCCAAAGAACCAACTACAAACTAAAACTGTTATGGGCAATGGGTCCATACTGTTCCAAAGACCTGTTAATAAAAGCAAAACTTCAAAAGAGAGAAAAGAGAGGGAGCACACAAGTCAAGAAAAAGAAATAGCCAGGAAATCCAATCCTCAAAATTTCCCAAAACAGCCAAATCCTAAAATGAAAGGAGATTACGACAAGGAAACTACCCAAAAATAAACCAATTAAACAAATCATGAACACCCACAATATCAAAGGATCGATGAACAAACAAAAACTTGACATGCAAACTCAACAAAGCCTTAATCCCAGTGAAGATAGATGGTAACAACAAATTCTACCCACATAATGAGCTATTACAAACCAAGAAACGATCAAGATTCAAGAATATAAACACAACCCAATAAATAAAATCCAAATATCAACAATAAACTTCACGGAAACAGCATTTCAAGCAATCTTAAAAGAATATAAACAAACACACCCAAGAGGATAAACGTTCCCAGTAAGAGGAAAAACAGCAGTGGAGCCAAAACGACGAGCAGCCGTTGACTGGGTTGACATTCTCTTGATTGGAGGCTGACTTGAATCCGAGAAACACTCTTGAAAAGTAGTTGCAAACATGAACAATAAAAGCAACAGCACGAGCATCATTCTTTTGCTTTTTCTCTCCATCTTTTTCGAATCGATCTTTAAGAAATCAAAGCCTTTTCCTTTTCACTTATCTTTTCTTTACTTGGGTTCAGAGAACAGAAAGGTAAAAGGTATTTGATCAAAGAAAAGAAAAAAACAAAAAAAATCCTGAATCTTTTATTCTTTAATAAAGGCTTGAAAACTCTCGGTGTAAGAGAGAACTCGTTGGCTAGCTCTTGTCATGTATGCAGGTGACAGTCCACGTGTCCAGCGGTCGTTTTTGAGAATTGATCAATTGAAAAGGAGAAAAATACTTGTTCAGAAGGATTCGTAGAATCTTCTTAAGAGAAAACAGTAGAATAAGGGATAATAACAAAATAGTCCCTTAGTTTTGGCGAATGTAAATTTAATCTTGTATGATTTTTTACGAACGTTTTGATCCCTGCAGCAACATTTCAGACCCTGAGGTTTGCTTATAATAATAGTATAATAATAATAATACGGATTAAAATGTTACTAAAACAAATTATTGGACTCCATTAAAAACTAAACCTCAGGGACAAAATTGGTATTTTGTCAGTAAAATTATGTAATATGTTTTTGGATCTTTGGAAGTTTCACCGCGGGAACAAGAAGGAACCGTGTCAAGAAACGCGTATGAGGGTAAAAGGTCGAAATTGCCCATAGTTTTTTTAATAAATAATTACATATTGTGTCTTGGGTAGGATAGAGTTGTAAATTGGGAGGTCAGTTTTTAATTTAAAAATGTAGTAGTCAAGCAGCCAATGAGGAAAAAAAAGTGAAAAATGATTAATTAATAACGGTTGGACCTATGAACACAAAAAGTAGTGCCCAACCATCAACTCCATCAAAATTAAATGGATGTATGATTCGCTACATTAGTTCAAATTCAATTATATTTAAACACATCTTTCCATCTAAATTTGATTGGGTCAATTTTATAGGAACTAAAACCATTCATGTAGATTGAAATATTATAATGGACAAATTATATTTTCATTCAGTTGCTTGATAACATGAATAACTCTTCTGAGAAACACTCTTGAAAAATAGTTGCAAAGTTTTGCTGTTTCCTTTACTATTTTACAAACACACCCTTTCCACTTCTAAAATTATCTATCATCTGTAGACAAACAAAAGAGAGAATTTCGGAATTCACCACTCAAACGGAATTACAAATTCCATTCTCTAACAATTCGTATAATACGTTTCAAATTGAAGCGACAATATTTTTAATTTTTATATAAATACTACACTTAGATAAATTGTATAAGCCAAGTCAATAATAAAAGGTCTTGGTTTTATTAGAAAGATCAAACATCATAATCTACAATTTATTGCACTAAAGGCAGCATTTATAGAGTTAACCATTTTTTTTCCATCCAAATAATAGCTTAATGACAATTCTCATCCATAAACTTTTAAAATAATATTTTTCCACAAATAAAAAAAATACACTTTTCAATTCGATGGCAAACAGAGAGCAAACTCGGTTCATGCTACTAGAGTTTTTGAAGAGGAAAGACTGGTGAGTCTTTTGGTGATAGAAAGTTAGATTGTGGTGGTCGTGATTGATTGGAATTAGATTTGGGAGAGGTAGCTACGCAAACCCTAATCACTCAATTTTCTGTGATTAGCAAAGTCGACGGGAGTAAAGTTTGAGGTGTTTTGGTGAGTGATAATTGAGAAAAAGAATAGTGATGGTTTGAAGTCGCAACGACGTTGAAATCAGCCAAAGATTGGCGGGATAGTGGGAAAGTGTCATTAAAAGATATTACTTGAGTAATAAAATTGTATTTTAAAAGTCAATGAGTGATAAAATGTCATTAAACTATTATTTTGGTGAAAAAAAGTTCGTTTACTCTTATTTCTAAATCAATAAATATTAAGAATTTTTTATCCTTACATTACAGGAGTTTCTGTTCCGCCCCCCAAACCCGTCGCCAACCCGCTGGTGCCCCTGTCTTCGCTCAGGTTAGCAGAACGTTGGGAATCCTTTGAGTGATGACGATCCATTGAATCGCCCGACGACGTCGGAGGCTGACTTGAATTTGAATCTGAATGCGAGAGACAGTCTTGAATAGTAGTTGCAAAAATGACCAGAAAAAGCAATAGCACCAGCTTCATTGTTTTGCTGTTTCTCTCCATCATATTCTTTCTTTTTTTCTTCAGTTTTATTCTCTCGATGTGATGATGAGAATGGAACACAATATATTGTAAGCTCCACTCACCTTTGCTTCTTCACAACCACACCCTTCCTCAGTTCTAAAATTATTTGTCAGCTGTAGACAAAAGAGATCATTTCGGAATCCACAGACCACGGGAAAACTTCTTTGAACTGATAACAAAGGTAAATGTATCTTGACAAATTGGAAACAAAAGACAGCCATACGTTCTCATTATATATGTTAAGATTATATCACATTATATTATCTTTTAGAAATCAGTTAATGTATTTTTCATGGATATATGTAACTTCCGTTGGAATATTTACACAATAAAACATGCACAGACATTTATTTATTATATTTCTCTCATGAAAAGACGACGATCAGATTTTCATACCTGGATTTGGCAAATCTGAATCTGATAGAAGGTTGGCTCATTATTAAAACATTAAGGTTGGCAAATCTGATATAAGGTCGGCTTATTATTAAAACATTAAGGAAATGATCACTTACCTGATAAGTTCTTTTTTTTTTTTTTTAATTGTGGAAAAAAATAAAAAATAAAATAAAATAAACGAATGCTCTAATTAATGATTGATACCTGACTTTGGAAAAAAAAAAAAATTGATTTATACAAAGAATTTGGAGAAAAAGTTAAACAAGAGATGAAATTCTATGATATATTTGCATTGTCTTTGGACACTGTATTAATGATATCAACGTAGTACCATAAACTTTCTTTCATATTAAATACATAATAAACCACAACTAAAATGGAATTACAAAATTTCATCCGCAAACACGAACTAAAGAGATGTTACTAAGCAACCAAGGTTGATAACGAGTTAGAGTAGTCGTATTTGTGTCCTAGAAAGATTAGATAAAGAGATTGAGTTATTTTTTAAATTTTTTGTTTTTGTTCTTTAAACACATTATCAAAAACCACAAGTCAATGGTTAATTTAGCCACATCATATACTTTTAAGTTTATCAAAATTCGGTATGATTTAATATTAACTAATTAGTTTATAGATTTTTCAATGAAATTTGATGCGATTTTTCCTTGTAAATTTAATTCAGTCTAATTTAGAAGAATTAAAATCACTCTTGTAAACCGGCGTTAACCGCCACCGCCAAACACTCTTAGCCTAGTTCTACTGCCCCCCCTGCCCCTACCTCCACCCCTACCTCTCACCTGCCAGCATTGGAGAGAGAACGATCGGAATCCGGTGAGTCACTTGATGTAGGTTAACTTGAATCTGAATCTAAGAAACACTCTTGAAAAGTAGCTGTGTTTGAATGAAGAATTGTAGGTCTTTTTAATTCATTTAATTTACACTCATGATTACAGGTTTTTATAGGTAGAATACACTTTACATAATCTCCTAATTATGTTAATACAATATACCGACATAATTAGGAGATTATAAGATATCAAGTATATTATGAATATTCTAAGACTAACATAATTAAGAGATTACAATATATTCCTGAAATATTCAGTAAATCTCAACACTCCCCCTCAAGTTGGTGCATAGATGTCACACATGCCCAACTTGTCTAACACTTGTGAGAAAATACGTTTGGAGACAGCCTTGGTAAGAATATCGGCCAACTAATCCTCTGATCGAATCTTGGGTAATTCAATAATCTTTTCATCCAGTTTTCTTTGATGAAAAATCTATCTACATCAACATGCTTCGTACGATCATGTTGAACTGGATTGTGAGCAATATCACATACTGCTTTATTATCACAATATAACTAGATTGATTGATAGCCCAAATTTTGCAGGAGAAATCTTAGCCACAAAGCTTCACAAATCCCTAGTGCAATTCCTCTAAATTTTGCTTCGGCGCTTAAGCGTGCCACAACATTCTGTTTTTTGCTTCTCCAAGTGACTAGATTACCACCTACAAAAGTGAAATAACCAGAAGTAGATCGTCTGTCAGCCACTACTCTAGCCCAATCAGCATCAGTATATGCATTTACATTTTGGTAGTCCTTATTTTTAGTAAATAAGATTCCCTTTCCAGGAGCATGTTCTAAATACCTTAAGATACGCGTGACTGCATTCATATGTTGTTCTCCAGGATTGTGAATGAACTGACTAACTACACTTAATGCATAAGCAAGATTTGGCCTAGTGTGAGATAAGTACATCAATCTTCCCACAAGTCGCTGGTATCTCCCTTTGTCAACTGGTACTTGATCAACTTCGACTCCCAATTTCAAACCTTTTTCAATTGGTGTATAAGCTGGTTGACATACTGACATACTAGTTTCCTGCAGTACATCCAAAGCATAGTTTCTTTGTGATAGAAAGCTACATAAGATCGAGACACTTCGATTCCGAGAAAATATTTCAAAGAACCTAGGTCTTTCATCTCGAATTCTTCTGACAAGTACTTTTGCAAAGCCTTCCTTTCTTCTGGATCATTTCCTGTCACTACCATATCATCCACATATACAATAAGTGCAATGATCTTTCCTTGCTATTTTTTAAGGAACAATGTGTGATCTGAATTGGTCTGATGGTAGCCAAAAAACTTCATAGCCTTGGTGAACCTCCCAAACCATGCCCTCGGAGATTGTTTTAACCCATACAGTGACTTTTTTAACTTACATACCTTTTGGCTATGTTTCCCTGGTAAAATACACCCTGGTGGAGGATCCATATAGATCTCTTCAGACAATTCTCCATGTAAGAAAGCATTCTTCACATCGAACTGCTGTAACGGCCGATCTAGGTTTGCAGCCAAAGATAACAAGACAAGTACTATGTTGATTTTGGCTACGGGTGCTAATGTCTCTGTATAATCTATCCCATGAGTTTGAGTGTACCCTTTTGCTATTAGTCTTGCTTTAAATCGTTCAATCATACCATTAGCTTTATACTTCACAGTGTAAATCTATCGACATCCAACAGTCTTCTTTCCTGGTGCACGATCAACAAGTTCCCAAGTCTCATTCTTCTGTAATGATTTCATCTCTTCATTCATTGTAGCTTTCCATTTTGGATTAGATAAGGCTTCCTGCACACTGTTAAGAATAGATATAGTAGATAATTGATTCACAAATGACAGATTTAATTCTGACAGACGATGGTTAGACACATAATGGCTCATGTGGTATTTGACCTTACTAGATAGCTCAGGTTTGTATGTTGGTTTAGGAATCCCTCTAGTACTCCGTGGTGGTAACTGTTTCCTAATTGGTTTAGACTCAATTGGTTCAAACTCTAAAACAGGAACATTCTCAATGAATGATGGTTGTGACATACTAGGAGTGAGAGGCTCGGACTTAGAAGTTTCTACGGATGGGTTTGATACCACCTCCACATCTTCATCATCCACTTCATTTTCTTGTCAAACAACAGGTCTAGTTTGAGACTCATAGTCTCCCACATCTTGAACAACATAGTCAAGAGTCTGAATTTCTTCTTGACAATACTCCCCCTGAAGTTCAGGCTCAGAAGAAAAATACATCAATTCTTCATGGAAGACAACATCCATCATCATAAACGTTTGTTGAGTTGGAGGATGATAACATCGATACCCTTTTTGATGAACACCATACCCAACGAAAACACATTTTAATGCATGAGGGGACAACTTGTTATGCTAAGGTTTATGGAGGTGAACAAAGGCGATACAACCAAAAACATGAGGCAGTAAGTTTGGGACGGTTGGAGCATTCACTACGTTACTAAGAGCATGCAAAGGTCTTTGGAACCCAATGGAACTAGAGGGTACCCGATTTATTAGGTAGGCTGCAGAAGTGAGAGCTTTTCCCCAAAAAGATAACGACATGTGAGCTTCTATTAATGAGGCACGAACGACCTTCAATAAGTGCCTATTTTTTCGCTCAGCAACACCATTTTGTTGGGGTGTGTTGGGACAAATAGTCTGATGAATGATACCATGTGTTGCCAAGTATTGTTGAAGATCTGAACTTTGATATTCTCCTCCATTGTCACTTCGGAGGACCTTAATCTGTACATTATACTTAGAGGTGGAAAAGTAACCCGCCCGGCCTACGGCGGGTTACGCATTTTGGCGGGTTGGTCCTGACTTGCTCGCCAACAAAGGCAGGCCGGGTTAGGCCTTCCAATTTTAGGGGATTGGCTGGGCCAACCCAGCCCGCCAACCCTAACTCGTCGGGTTAGGCTACGGGTTGGACCGGGTTAACCCCCTTTTTTATTTTATTTTTATTTTGTTTTGTTTAAGTTTAAATGTTTAATTAACTTTTCAAATGAATAATTAACAATTTATAAATGAATAAATGTAATTGTTTTTAGTTAACTTCTTTTCAAATATCAATAATTCAATTAAATAAAAAAAAATTTGTTAACATTTCAAATATTAATTCAATTTTAATACATTAAAATTGTAATATAAGAAAAATTAAATTTATTCATTCATCAAAAAATAAAATAAGAAATTACAATAATTATTGCCTCGTTAAAAACCTCACCAAGAAAAACACAATGGGACAAAAACTTGGTAAGGAAAAAAGAGTACAATAATTGAAAATTAATTTACAAGTTACAATTTACAAAACAACTAATTTTGAGATTGACTAGGACCTCCCTCATCCATATCATCTATATTACAAAATTAAAATGATTCTATTAAAGTATCATCGAGAACCTCGTATTGATCTTGATAGCGCGACCATTCCCAATCTCGAAGACATGTGAGGACTTCAATCATTTTTTGTGAAAGTTTAGTCCTCCTTTCATTTAAAATTCTTCCAATTGCACTAAATGTTTGTTCGGATGAGACGGTTGAGACTGGAACAGCAACAACATCCAAGGCAAGTCTTGATAATACCGGAAAAATACATTTTCTGGTTTTCCAATATTCAAAGACATCAAAGTTGGCTCTTTATTGTGGATCTGTTGGTAACATTTCAGGAGTTCCCAAACATTGTTGAAGCTCGTTACTTTGTGACTGCATGGCGAATAGTAGATTCGTTGTTGCCGTTGGTGCTTCTGAAGAGGAGGTTGCGCCTGTGCTTTGGGTTTGGTTCCTCTTCGGCCTATTAAATGCACTCCAGGTGTAGAAGTCTTCATTTGTTTCTTCTGATGCAACTTTCCTGTGTATTTCGTGTCTTTGTGGGTTCCCATACCTGTTTTCATATTAGAAATATACCTCTACAAGACAATTTTTTACCTCTCCTATTTGATTGACAAATGCTAAGTTTTGTAAATTTTCAGTTAATGTCTCTAAACCTTCTTGTTTAATTCTAGGATAAAAAATGGCACATAAACAATAAAGAAAAGGAATGGGTTTAAAATATTTAAAAAAAAAAAAAATTTCCATTGCCTTTATTGGTTCTTTTAAAATTTCATTGTTTTTTGTTTTTTTTGTAAATAACTCTGAAATTTTTATAATTGTGTGTATTACCAATGGACTAGTAGGATAATACACAACAGAAAGTTATAAAGTGGATTGGTAAAAAATTTTAAGAAAAAAATGAAATACTTTAGCTATTTGCCAATCATTTTCTACCAAATAATGAGAACCTCTATTATTTGCTACAAAATAACTAATTAAATTAGCATAAGGTAAACATGAATCAAGTATTAAATAAGTACTATTCCATCTAACAGACATGTCTAATACAAAAGTTCTAGGAGACATATTTGATTTTATACAAGCATCTTGAAATTCAATATTTCTTTTATTACTACCAGTAATCCAAGCTAAACAATCTCTAATTCTATCAATATTTTCTTTAATTTTTTTCATACCACTTTTTACAATTAAATTAATAACATGACATGCACAACGTTGGTGAAAAAACTTCAAATTGTTATATAAAGGATAATTACTTTGAAAAAAATCTATAGCTCTACTATTAAAACTTGCATTATCTAAAGTTAAACTTATTACTTTAGTAACAATATCATAATCTTCTAAAACTTCAACAATTTTATTATAAATTTGTTGACCACTATGATCCACATCCATTAATTTAAATCCTAATAAAGATTTATTTAATTTATATTCATTATCAAAATAATAACTAGTCACACAAATATAATCTTGTTTAGCTCTACCACTCCAAATATCGACAGTTAGAGCCACACTAACATGACAAGTATGTATTTTATTTTTTAATTCTAATTTCATTTTATTAAACAATTTTATTAAATCATTTCTAGTTGCAATTTTAGAATAACTTTTAAATCCTGGAAAAAATGAATTTTTAATAAATCTTTCAAAATATTTATCTTCAGCCATATTAATAGGTTGATCAGTTGCAGCAATATATAAAGCTAATTGTTCCCTATATACATCAGAATTATAACGCCAAGTAGTACCCATATTAGTTATTTGAGTTTGATTGGTTTCTCTATTTCCATCTTGAGCAATATGTTTATTAGTATGCCTCTTTAAAGTACTAGTACCATTACCTGAATCAGCTTTATAAACATTTCCACAATACTTGCATCTTGCTTTCTTCACTTGAACTCCATTTTCTACCTCGTAAAACTTATTGAAATGCGTTCAAACGTCTGATGTGTGTCTGTCATCGCTTTCGACAGCAGTTGATGAACCCGCTTCAGCTTGAGATGAAGAGACGAGGACGATGATTACGAGGATGACTTCTAGAACCACCGGGAGCTGTAGGTGTAACAGCATGGGGAGGAATCGGGGGCATATTTTGAGGTGTATCGGATTCTGAGACCGAAAAAGCGGGACTATTTGAATTTCCTCTTGCATTCATGTTAGTAAATTCAGCGGGACTAGGACTAGGATAGTAGTTTCCTCATAGAAATTGATCGAAGAGAAATATCTATCCATTGTAGTTGAAAAAAAAAATTGATGTAGAAAAAATAAAAAATTAAAGAAGGAGAATTGGATATTGGAATATGGAAAATTGGAAATATGAATTGAAAATTGCCAAAACTAATAAAAATTAAAATAAGAGCAAATTGATAACAAAGAGATTAAGAGAATAATTGAGAGATTTCAATAAAGATTAGAGAGAATGAGAGAATTTGAGTTGTGAGAAAATATGAGAGTTTAGGGCCAATTTATAGAAAAAATTGGGAAAATAAAATGACGAAAAAAACCCCTCCAACCGCTATAAAATGGTTATATTTCAAGGGTAAAAGGAGAATTTACAAAAACAAAAAAAAATTAGTTTTTTTTTTTAATTTTTTTCGGCCAACCCACCGTTGCAACTCGGCGGGTTGGAAATAGCCAACCTGCGGGTCAACCCGACGGGTTGGCGATCCTTTCTTAGAAAGGACAAAAGTGCAACCCAGCCCGCCTGGGGGTTGCATGCGGGTCGGGTTCAACTTGGCGGTCTGGGTTAAACCCTCTTTAATGCGGGCTGGGTTAGGGTTGACCCGCCTAACCCGGCCCATTTGTTCCACCTCTAATTATACTGCGTATAAACTATTTTGTGAAATCTCTGAAGCAGCAAATTAACCTCGCCTTTGGATTTCATTAGACATACCTAAGTCATTCTTGTACAGTCATCAATAAAAGTAACAAACCATCGGGATCTACCTAAAGTAGTAACTTTTGAGGACCCCCAAACATCTGGATCGCCAGTGAATCACTTTACTGATTGAGCAGATGAAGCCAATGAACCTTGACGTGGAGAGACAAGCTGCTCATTAGGAGTTGCAAGCTATTTACAGCTTGCTACCGAACAATCTTAACATGGATATCTCCGACCTCCTTGGGGAGTATCAAGTTGCTCTTGCTTCCATGATATCTGCCAAAGAGCAAAAAGAACAAAAGTCAGTCTGCTTCAGAGGGGGATTAGCAAGAAACAGAAGCCCCTAAAAATCAAGCGAACGACCTAGAGGTCGGTGATTAACCAAACGACCCAAAGGTCATGGTAACTGAAGTAAGAGATTCTGGTACTTAAGGCCAGTGATTGTTCTCCCCTCTACTCACAAAGAGTCTTTTGTACTTTCTTTTTGTCTTTAATGTAGCTTCAGGTTGTCCTTTGTAAATATTTTTGCAATATATAAAAGAACTTTTTACTAATTATGATAGGACTTTTATAACTTAAGTACGTCACAAAACCAATAAGCATATATGATCATAAAACTTGTAAAACATTGTAAACAATAAGATTATTTAAAACTTGAGATTACGACACAAGTAATTCTTTGAGAAGAATTGGGATAATCTTATTCACAGCATTTACAACAAAGAAAAATTACAAGTAAAAAATTGATCGAGTAAGCCATACACGAGTTAAGAATTACTAATAATAAGGGCGAAGATGTTCAACATTTTAAACTCGCAGTACTTCAGAACCATTAAGCATTTTGAGGTGGTATGTTCCAGGTCATACCACTTTAGCGACGCGATATGGACCTTCCCAGTTAGGTCTCAATACCCCCACACTTGGTTTTCTTGTACCATGAAGGACTTCTTTTAGTATCAAGTCCTCTACCTGAAAGTCTCTTTTCCTGACTTTAGAGTCAAATAATCTTTTTACCTGCTGCTAATATGAAGTTATCCTTAACCGAGCTTTA